GGTGGCAGGCAAAGTTAAAAAGGTAGTTTGTGGATTTTTAAAAAAAAATGTTTTGAAACCAAAGAGGAAAGATGCCAAGCAAAGGTATTCTGGGAGGGAATTCCAGCAATTGGGACATATTAGCTAGAAGCTACTATTCCATTCGTCTCCCAGCTTTTAAACAATACAGCAGCGCTCTGGCAAGCAAGTCATGTGAAAGATTGTCTGATCACTTTTCATACAACAGACACTCCATATAATCAATAAATACTCACCAACAGTCATTGATTACTTCACAAGGTAATCAACATTTTTGATTTGTGCTTATGTATTACTTCAAGAGGAGCCATTTAATTTCCCTGTTGATTAATTCATGAGACGACATAAGAAATCACATCCTAGAAGTCAAACACAAGGGGATTCTCCAAAATGACTTCCTTCTCAAAATTGACAGGACACACACACATACACACACACACATTTGGCAGATACTTATGAGGTGGTAATTGTCCATTGACCTACAAAGCACCATCACTACACTACAGTAAAAATCCTGTGAAGCACTTTGCGACATCCTCCAAAAGGCGCTAAATCAAATGCAAAGAATATTATTTATTATTCCACAATCATCGCAAACATGCTTCACACAATCTCAGGCCAGCTTCCCTGAGTAGGAGGTTGTTGTGCTATAACAATGGCCAAGGATGGGATTTCATGAATGAGCTACTGAACATGGATTAGTTTCGTGTTCACTTCTTCTTAAACACATACTCCTTTCTGACCATTAAACAACACTGACAGAAAACTCTTATGCTAGAGTAGATTTCACACACTTATCTCCAAAAGCTAGCAAACACCAGTACATTTCTTGGACCATCAAAGGAATAAGGGTCATTTTACCAAAGAAGTAAGGGAACCCGAGAATACTGTATTCACAGAATTCCTAGAAGACTGATAAAAAAATAATGTGATCATTGTTACAGTAAATTACAAAGATGCTGGAAAAAGGTGGAAGAACAATTATACATTCCACTGATTCACCAAACACGATCGATGCACTTAAATAATCTCAACTTTTGATTTTGATATGTGAACAGTACAATATTGCATGAAAACTGCAAGAAGTGCCAGCTCACTCTTAACAAACAAGCTAACAAAATAAGGATGTGACCACTGATAGGGAGGATGCCTTTCAGTAGTTTTGTTCAGAGAGCAGAGCTTCATTCCTTCCTTCCTCTCTCTATCTGTGAATATCAGTGTAAATGTGCCTTAGTTGATAAATGTACAGCTCGAGATGTATGGTGGTTGTCAACACTACTGGTTTAATCCAGAGTGTCTGGGTTTACTGGGTCATCTTGGGGCTACTATTGATGTGATGAATCTATTTTCTTTTCTTTTGTAGATAGCATTCCTTTTCATTTGACCTGAACAAGCTACTGTACCATTTACAAAATAATAATAATCCTTGCATTTGATATAGTGCCTTTTCACATCTTCTAGACGTCTCAAAGCTCTTCACAGAATATAGCATAAAGTGAATTGACTGTATATTTTATGGGCGAAATGCGGCAGCCAATTGCGCACAACAGTGTCCCACAAACAGTTGTGGATTGAGTGACCAATTTATTATTTTAATTTTATTTTATTTCTTTAGGGATTATTATCAGGTGTGTGGAGTAAGAAAACTTGCCTAAGGTTTCACCGTGCCGGAAATCAAAACCAGGTCTCTTGCTTGTGAGGCTAGTGCTCAAACCACTGAGCTACAGGACTCCACAATTTACATACGAATAATCCTTGCATTTGTAAGGACTTATGTTCACAATATTAAAAAAATGTGGTGGTTAGGAAGGCTGCAACATATCCAGTGGTCCAGATAATATTACAAACCACAAACACAAAAGGTTTATGATCATTTTCACTCTTTGTTGCATGTAAATACTTAACAGTATATAGACTGAAGCAATGCAAGATATCAAGTAGCCCATATGATAGTATAAAATGATACAACAAACTGTCTGCCTTATCAAAATCGCCTGCCCTCACAGTTCATTCAAAACACATTATCTTGCATTATTCTAAATGACATGTACAGGAGGAGTTCATTTTTCTGACTTTATTTTGCAACAGCTTTTTTTGTGCCAGTGGCAAACATTGTAACATGAACAAGCAGCAAGTTCCTGCAATCAAACTCCATGATCTGAACTTAAATACTATTAGACTTCATTTTACTTCAGGTTACAATGAAATTGGATATGTTGCATGTACCTTGTAAAATGCTGATACACAATTGTATCGTACATACTACTGAATTTATGGGACCAGAACATTTAGATTTTTTTTGCAAATAATCATTTGAAACTGGTTGTGGGATAGCAGGAACAGATTAAAACACTTGGATTTGATATAGGGCATAATCATGTTGAAATGTCTCACAACGCTTTATTTAATGTATTACTTTAAAGTTTCATGACAGCAACCGTATCGTCCCCATCCTCGCTCGACTCCACTGGCTTCCCATCACACAGAGGATACAGTTCAAGATCCTGGTCGATCCATCGCCTTGCTCCCAAGGCCTCCCTACCTCTGCAACCTGCTAACCTCCTACCAACCTGCCCGCTCCCTCCGCTCAGTGGGTTCCGGCCTCACGTACCCCGCCTCGACCGCCCCAGCATTGGCGGGCAGGCCTTCAGCCACTCTGCCCTCACCCTCTGGAACTCCATCCTGCAGTCCCTCTACTCCGCCCTCTCCTTCAAGACCCACCTATAGACCCTCCTCTTCAACTGTGCCTTCAGTCATTCTCCTTTTCCCCCTGCCATCCATCCTCCCCAACCCCGACCCCCAGCTCGGGTCGGAAACATGAATAAAATAGCCCCACAGGATTTGTAATACCCACTAGAAGAAACAGAGGGGGAATTACACATCACTGTGCTGTAATTTCTCAACGAAAAAACAATCTTGATAAATGGGATAATGCATGTTGTGTTGTACAAGGCTTGCAATTCCACCACTGGTTAATAGGACACATCGATCCATTCACCACCATAACTCCCTATCTTGGGTACGATGGTTACATGGTTCTCCATCATGATTTGAACTACCTGGATCAGATCACACCCCAAACTGCAACCCTGCAAGCAGCCATACAATTAGGACAGCATTTTAAATCTGCTGGTGCCAGCCAAAAAGAAAGCCACATATACGTCATTAATTGGGAAATAAATTACTTCCTTGAGTGTATAACTGAGTAACCTTCTGAACTATGAGAAAATACTGTTTAATAGGATCATAATGCACAGTATCTTCACTTATTGGGGAATATCATCCACCTAGTGAGGACTCAAACACATGCTCGTCCAATGTCAAATGACCACTAGTGACTATCCTCCTGGGGAGAGGTACGCAGGGTCTCCTTAGAGCTCAACTGGCTCCAAGGTGACATGTTTGGCCTCAGAATGTCAGACTCGAGCCAGCCCTCGGGAGTCCGGGTTCTGAGCCAGATGGTTCTGCAGTATTCCAGGGCACTGCTGATGACAGCCCAGCCAGCCTGGCTCATCGGCAGAACTTTGAAGGACAGACCAGTCACTGGGATCAGGGAATCATCCCACTCAGCTCCCGTTAACCCTGCAAGCCAGAATGGGTAGGGTGGTCCTAGCTGGACAAACAGTGGGAAAGTTTGCTAGGCAGTCGTCTCAATGGCAAGCAATGTGGTTTTATCTCTTGGCAACTTATGCCAAATACTCCCCAGAATTAAGTAACCAGGATGTGCCCTCTCGGGAGAGAATGCACATTCTGTTCTAATAAATATCCACATAGAAGTGGGATGCACGGAACTGTTTGGTTTGGATACACTTAAACATGGTGATGAGTTTCTGCATATGTCAGACACCCAGCTGACCAAAATAAAATAATATCCAATAGATATTCCCAGAGTAATTTAGTATTGGATTCAACGCTGTTTTAAGTAGGATTCAAATAAGTGAAAATAGGGCGGGGGCAAAATCATGTATATATTCAGAGTTTAAATTTGGTGACAAGTTATTTGCAGCAAACAAAACTATGATTTGATTGAGACTGGTCATTCAGTCCAATCGATTTCTCTTATGAGTTGGTAAAACACAAGTTGGTAAACCAATGAATGACAATGAATGTGGTTTCAAGCCATTGCCAAATATCTGTGATTTATTGCATTGTACAAAGTCAAAAACACACACTCGCACACAAAAACCCACTCGTTAAAGTCGTTAGGGGGTGTGTGTGTGTGTATGGGGGGGGGGGGGGGTCCAGCTTCAGGTACACAACGAAAGAGCTTACATTTACTTAATAAATGCATTTATTTGCAGAAATATTAGAGGTTGCATAAGAAAAGAAGTTGCTGCAAATAGTTTTAAAGGTTGGAAACTTGGGCATAGAGTGTAATTAAACAGCTAACACAGACCAGCAGTCAGAGTGGGGGGGGGAGACAGGGGGAGTGTGGGGGGGGAGACAGGGGGAGTGTAGGGGGGGGAGAGGGGGAGAGGAGAGGGGGGGAGAGGGGAGGGGGAGAGGGGGGAGAGGGGGAGAGGAGAGGGGGGAGAGAGGGGAGAGGAGAGGGGGGAGGAGAGGGGGGGAGGGGGGAGAGGAGAGGGGGGGAGAGGGAGGAGAGGGGGAGAGGGGGAGAGGGGGGAGAGGGGGAGAGGAGAGAGGGGAGAGGAGGGAGAGGAGAGGGAGGAGAGAGGGGGAGAGGAGAGGGGGGAGAGGGGAGGAGAGGGGGGAGAGGAGAGGGGAGAGGGGGGGAGAGGGGGAGGGGGGGAGAGGAGAGAGGGGGAGAGGAGGAGAGAGGAGAGGGGAGGAGAGAGGGGGAGAGGAGAGGGGGGGAGGAGGGGGGGAGAGGAGAGGGGTTTGGGGGAGAGGGGGAGAGGAGAGGGGAGAGGAGGAGAGGGGAGGAGAGAGGGGAGAGGGGGAGAGGGGGGGGGAGGCCTGACTGCTCGCCTCTTCCAAATGGCTGCTGTGGCAGCAGTGCGGCCTGGACCCGCCAACCCTACCGTGTAGCCTCTCTCCTGTTCGCTCTCCTCGTATCTGAAGGACGGGATGGACACCCCCACCGTGTGGTGCATCACTCCCCGCGGCCCCGAGAGCCTCTGTCTGCAAACACACTCACACAGTCACTCACACACACAGTCACTCACACACACACACTCACTCACACACACACTCACTCACTCACTCACAGTCACTCACTCACACACACTCACACACACTCACTCACTCACACTCACACACAGTCACTCACACACACACTCACTCACTCACTCACACAGTCACTCACACACACAGTCACTCACACACACACACTCACTCACACACACAGTCACTCACACACACACACTCACTCACTCACTGGTCATATATATATACACATATATGTCAGTCACTGATACACACAGAGCAGAGAGGCCGGAGAGCACTGCAATCCGTCTGACTCACCACCACCACAGCCTCTGCTCACACTCACCACCACCACAGCCTCTGCTCACACTCACCACCACCACCACAGCCTCTGCTCACACTCACCACCACCACAGCCTCTGCTCACACTCACCACCACAGCCTCTGCTCACACTCACCACCACCACAGCCTCTGCTCACACTCACCACCACAGCCTCTGCTCACACTCACCACCACCACAGCCTCTGCTCACACTCACCACCACCACAGCCTCTGCTCACACTCACCACCACCACAGCCTCTGCTCACACTCACCACCACCACAGCCTCTGCTCACACTCACCACCACCACAGCCTCTGCTCACACTCACCACCACCACAGCCTCTGCTCACACTCACCACCACAGCCTCTGCTCACACTCACCACCACCACAGCCTCTGCTCACACTCACCACCACAGCCTCTGCTCACACTCACCACCACCACAGCCTCTGCTCACACTCACCACCACCACAGCCTCTGCTCACACTCACCACCACCACAGCCTCTGCTCACACTCACCACCACCACAGCCTCTGCTCACACTCACCACCACCACAGCCTCTGCTCACACTCACCACCACCACCACAGCCTCTGCTCACTCACCACCACCACAGCCTCTGCTCACACTCACCACCACCACAGCCTCTGCTCACACTCACCACCACTACAGCCTCTGCTCACACTCACCACCACCACCACAGCCTCTGCTCACACTCACCACCACCACAGCCTCTGCTCACACTCACCACCACCACAGCCTCTGCTCACACTCACCACCACCACCACAGCCTCTGCTCACACTCACCACCACCACCACAGCCTCTGCTCACACTCACCACCACCACCACAGCCTCTGCTCACACTCACCACCACCACCACAGCCTCTGCTCACACTCACCACCACAGCCTCTGCTCACACTCACCACCACCACAGCCTCTGCTCACACTCACCACCACTACAGCCTCTGCTCACACTCACCACCACCACAGCCTCTGCTCACACTCACCACCACCACAGCCTCTGCTCACACTCACCACCACCACAGCCTCTGCTCACACTCACCACCACCACAGCCTCTGCTCACACTCACCACCACTACAGCCTCTGCTCACACTCACCACCACCACAGCCTCTGCTCACACTCACCACTACTACAGCTTCTGCTCACACTCACCACCACCACAGCCTCTGCTCACACTCACCACTACTACAGTTTCTGCTCACACTCACCACCACTACAGCCTCTGCTCACACTCACCACCACCACAGCCTCTGCTCACACTCACCACTACTACAGCTTCTGCTCACACTCACCACCACCACAGCCTCTGCTCACACTCACCACTACTACAGCTTCTGCTCACACTCACCACCACTACAGCCTCTGCTCACACTCACCACCACCACAGCCTCTGCTCACACTCACCACTACTACAGCTTCTGCTCACACTCACCACCACCACAGCCTCTGCTCACACTCACCACTACTACAGCTTCTGCTCACACTCACCACCACTACAGCCTCTGCTCACACTCACCACCACCACAGCCTCTGCTCACACTCACCACTACTACAGCTTCTGCTCACACTCACCACCACCACAGCCTCTGCTCACACTCACCACCACAGCCTCTGCTCACACTCACCACCACAGCCCGTCACGTGAGCTACTTCATTCCAGGCCCCTCACACACCCTCACACACTGCCTAACACTGCACTAACCAGCCTGACCCCCCCCCCCCCACAGCTCGCACCCCCACCCCAGCCTGTCCCCCTATCCAGCCTGACCTCCCCTCCAGCCTGTCCCCCCCTCCAGCCTGTCCCCCCTCCAGCCTGTCCCCCCCTCCAGCCGGTCCCCCCCCTCCAGCCTGTCCCCCCCCTCCAGCCTGTCCCCCCCTCCAGCCTGACCCCCCCTCCAGCCTGCCCCCCCCCTCCAGCCTGTCCCCCCTCCAGCCTGTCCCCCCCTCCAGCCTGTCCCCCCCCTCCAGCCTGTCCCCCCCTCCAGCCTGTCCCCCCCTCCAGCCTGAACCCCCCTCCAGCCTGACCCCCCCCTCCAGCCTGTCCCCCCCTCCAGCCTGCCCCCCCCCTCCAGCCTGACCCCCCCCTCCAGCCTGTCCCCCCCTCCAGCCTGTCCCCCCCTCCAGCCTGTCCCCCCCTCCAGCCTGTCCCCCCCTCCAGCCTGTCCCCCCCTCCAGCCTGTCCCCCCCTCCAGCCTGTCCCCCCTCCAGCCTGTCCCCCCCTCCAGCCTGTCCCCCCCTCCAGCCTGTCCCCCCCTCCAGCCTGTCCCCCCCTCCAGCCTGTCCCCCCCTCCAGCCTGACCCCCCCTCCAGCCTGTCCCCCCCTCCAGCCTGTCCCCCCTCCAGCCTGACCCCCCCCTCCAGCCTGCCCCCCCCCTCCAGCCTGTCCCCCCCTCCAGCCTGTCCCCCCCCTCCAGCCTGACCCCCCCCTCCAGCCTGTCCCCCCCCTCCAGCCTGACCCCCCCTCCAGCCTGCCCCCCCCCTCCAGCCTGACCCCCCCTCCAGCCTGCCCCCCCCTCCAGCCTGTCCCCCCCTCCAGCCTGCCCCCCCCCCTCCAGCCTGACCCCCCCTCCAGCCTGTCCCCCCCTCCAGCCTGCTACTGTTACACAATCAGAATATTGAAAAATAGTGCTCAGTGTTTTAAACAAATAATAATAATCCTTGCATTTGATATCGTGCCTTATCACGTCTTCAAGGCATCTCAAGGTGCTTCAAAGAATGTACTGAAAAGTTAATTGACTATATGTTGTGTAAAATTAAGTGAGCGCGTTACACAGAAATCAAAATGGATTGCCACAGTATGAAGATCTTTCAAATAAATGCAAAATTCCAGTGAACAATTTTCTTTGTTTTCCCTCTATATAGCAGTTAAACCATTAGATGGCAGTTATCACATTCCTAATCTCTGGAACTCCCACCCTATTGCTTCTATGTGTCTTCAAATCCTGCCTAAAAATCTATCTATTTGATCTTGCGGTCACCTCCCCATTCCCCCTTCCTTTCTCCCTCAATTTGTGTTCAACCATATCCTTGTGAAGCGCTCTGAGACATTATCCTAAATGCAAGTTGTTGGATATACTGTATATTGAATGGAGCCCATTCTAGTTTACTAATACAAGAGCAACAACAGTAAAGTTACATTTGTATAGCACCTTTCACATTGGGAGAATGTCCCAAGGCGCTGGACAATCAGTGTTTCAGACCTGAGCTGAGGGTTGGGAATGGGGAGGGTGGAGGGCAGGGGGGAAAGCAGAGAGATCGAAGAGGAGGGTCTGGAGATGGGTCTTGAAGGAGGCAAGGAAGGAGGCGAGGCAGAGGAACTGCGGAATGGAGTTCCAGAGAGTGGGGCAGAGTGGCTGAAGGCCCGCCCTCCAATGGTGGGGCGGGCGAGGCAAGGGACGTAAAGCAGGCCAGAGGTTGGTAGGGGATTAGGAGGTCGCAGAGGTAGGGGGGAGCAAGGCCATGGAGGGCTTTGAAGGTGAAGACCAGGATCTTGAACTGTATCCTCTGTGTGATGGGAAGCCAGTGGACGAAGATGGAGGTGATAGGATCATGGAGCCTGGTGCAGGACAGGACATCGGCTGCAGAGTTCTGGATGATCTGCAGCCTATGGAAGGAAGAGTTGGGGAGGCCGACAAACAGGGAGTTTGCCTAGTCAAGCCTGGATGTTATGAAAGCTTGTTTGAGGGTTTCGGCGGCCTGTGGTGTGAGACATGGCTGAACCGAGTGATGTTGCAGTGGTGGGGGAAGGCAGAGTGGGTCATGGCGCAGATGTGGGATAGAAAGGATAGTTCAGAGTCAAACAAGACCCCAAGATTCTCGACTGGCTTAGCAAGGGGAGTGTGGGTCCTTGGATGGTGATGCTGTCAACGCCTGAGGTGAGAAGGAGCTGACGAGAGTCAATCAGAAGAGCCTCAGTCTTTTTGACATTCAACTGTAGAAAGTTGACTCTCATCCAGGACTTCATGACTGACAGTGGTCCTGGAGTCAAGGGTGGAGGCAGAGAGGTATAGTTGGGTGTCATCCGCATACATGTCACCAAGAGAGAGCATGTAGATATTGAAGAGGAGGGGACCAAGGACAGAGCCCCGAGGAACGTCACACGAGACGGTCCGGGGGCTAGAGGAGAAGCCGTTTGTGGAGATGAAGTGGAGGAGGTGAGAGGTACGATCTAAACCAGTCAAGGACAAAACCATGAAGGATGTGACACGGTGGAGGAAGATAGAGTAGTCAACGGTATCGAAGGCAGCAGAGAGGTCAAGAAGGACGAGGAGGCAGAGGGAGGTCTGGTCACAGAAGACAAAATGTCATTTGTCACTTTGACCAAAGCTGTTTCTTTGCAGGCAGGACCTTGGAAAGGGAGGCTGGACATGGGGCGCTGATTTGAGAGCAGGGATGGGTCCAGGGAGGGTTTTTTAAGGATTGGAGTGACGACTGTTTTTAAAGCCATGGGAACGGTGCCAGTAGACAGGGAGAGTCAGTAACAGCAAAGGTAGGAAAAATTGCTGTGCAACAATGTTTATTACGACAGTATACTGTTTATTTGGTATCATTATGCATTGGAACACAATATGTGTATAAACACAACATATAATACCTTTATAACAATTGCAACATTTTGACAAGATGAGTACTGTTGTAAAACTGTTCCACTTTGCACAAATGATACATTAACCAAAACAGCAACATAATTGTAAATTTCAAAACATGAAGACAAAACATTCTATTTTATTGATGATAAAATATTAACCATTAAATGATGCATCTAAATAGTATTTTATCTTTGGTAACTTATTAATCTATAATAATAGGAAAACATTTAATTTGTGAGTGATTATTGATCTTTTTATCTCCTAAGGGTGAGGCTGTCCAAGACAGTCTGAGCATGTCGTTCGTACCTATGGGAAATCATCACATGGATGCAAATGGATGCAAGAGCAATGACATTACACGCATTTGAAAGTGGTAGCCTTCTAAAGAGACTCAGCTTAAGAGATCTGCCTATGAGTGTTAGAAATATTAAGTTGCCTCAACGTAAGTACTGTACTTAAATGGAAATAGTCCTGATTCAGCATGGAGAGAAATAGACTTTAAATAGCGCCATTCACAAATAATAGCATCTCAGAGTGCTGCACTTTGGTAGGGTTGGACACCATCGATGGGAAGGGATAGGAAGAGGAGAGGCGACCATAAGCACTTGAAGATGTAAGTTTTAATGAGGGATTTAAAGATTATATAAAGACAGAGCAACATAGAGAGATTGAGGCAGGGGTGTAGTGATTGAAGGTGATGGTGGTGTGAATGGATCGGAGAACGTGCAGCAGACCTATGTCTAACTCAGCAAAGGGGGTCGGCAGTGGAGTGGGATACAAGGACGTGAATGTGCTTCCTCCCTTTCCTCATTCAAGGCCGGTCTCAAGACCTTTCTCTTCGACCGTGCCTTCAGCTCCCCTCTCGACTCTCTACCCCTCCTCGCCTCCTCCCTTCCCTCTACTCACCCTGACCATTTCCCCCCTGCTCGGGTCCTGACCCAACTGTCCAGCGCCTTAGGACGTCCTGCCGACGTGAAAGGCGCTCTATAAATGAAACCAGCGTGGAGTCTGTACTGCGTCGTTCCTAAAACAGATTGAGATTTTGTTCAGTGTTAAAGATCACATGACATATTTTCACAGAACAGGGAGATTCTTTGGATGTTGTGACCAATTCTATCTTCATCCAAACTCAACGACATTTCAAACTCAGGTAATTGTTCATGCCACACAATGAAACATATGCAGAGATTGTCCAATGGTAACTCAAATAGAGTTTTTAGAAATGTGACTGTGCTTGCTTGTATTGAGTGTACATCTATTTTGGTACGTCTTTTGTTGCAGCAGTAACAATAGTGGAAGCAGTCACATTCAAATGGGAAAGTACAATGTAGTGCGTGGGCATTAAACATGGTACAAGCAGCGTCAGAAAGATAGATCACTGACAGTCAGTGTCCCGATGTGCATGTTAGAGACACAGCAGAGAATGTAGTCATTGATCTGGCTGAAGCAAGACTTAGATATTCTCACATATGTCAACTTTCCCTCAGTTATGATTTCAATTTCACTCCATTCCATATACAGGAATCTGAAAATCAACCAGTCAGATACATTTTTGCCCTATTTTCATCTGTCACTGAGGATCCCAGCACTGACTGGCTACAAATTGTTTTTGGACTAAAGTGAGGCCATTCCTTTCATCCAGCACAAAATGCTGGCTAGAAATTGAGACTTCATATTGTTCATTCTCTGATCATGATAAGGAATTCAACATTAGCACAGTACATGTGCTACTTCAAACCAGTGACTTACAACACCTATGGATCTTGCATTTTTGCTAGTTGAGTTTCCATTGGATAGAAACAGAAACATAAATACGTGGAATCTGTGTGGAATATAGTGCATACAACAAGGGGCAGAAAACACTAGTGGGAATAGTTTATGGACTCGCCGAACAGCAGTTACAATATTGGGCAGAGTATTAAACAGGAAATTAGAAGAGCATGTAACAAAGGTAATACAATAATAGTGGGTGATTTCAATCTTCATGTAGACTGGGAAAAAACAAATTGGCAAAAATAAATTAGAGGATGAGTTTATGGAATGCATTAGAGGAGGGCTAATCAGTAATCTTGAAGTTAAGGCTCCTCTAGGGTAGATTAACCATAATATGATGGAGCTTAATATTAAGTTTGAGAGTGATGTAGTTAAGTCATCACTCTCAGACCCTTAACAAGGGTCTTAAATTTAAATAAAGCCAACTTTGCAGGTATGAGGGACGATTTGGCTAAAATAGACTGGGAAAGTAGATTAAAAGATATGATGGTAGACAAGCAATGACAAATGTTCAAAGATATATTATATAATTCCCAGCTAACACATATTCCCTTGAGATATAAAAATTCCATGGGAAAAGTGGTTCAACCATGGCTAACTAGAAAAGTTAAGGAAAGTATAAAATTGAAAGTAGAGGCCTGCAATATTGTCAAAAAGAGCAGTAAACCTGAGGATTGGGAGGGCTTCAGAGATCAGCAAAGGATACCCAAGAAACTGATTAAGAGGGAGAAAATGGAATATGAGAGTAAACTAGCTGAAGATATAAAAACAGATTGTAAGAGGTTTTACAAGTATATACAGAGGAAGAGATTAACAAAAAGATTGTGGCTAGTGGGTGTCGCAAGGATCAATGCTTGGCCTCAACTGTTTAGATTCTACATCAATGACTTAGATGAGGAAATAGAGCTTACAGGCTGAGACAGGATAAATTATAATAGGGAATAAAGAAACGGCAGAGTCACTAAACAAATATTTTGCTTCCATCTTCACATTAGAAGATCCTACAAACTTACCAAAAATAGTGCAGAACCAAGAGACTAACGTTAGTGAGGAACTTAAAGAAATTAATATCAGTAAAGTAATAGTACTAGAGAAATTGATGGGACTAAAAATTGATAAATCCCCTGGACTTGATGGCCAGTGTTCTAGGTTTTTAAAAGAGGTGGCTGCAGAGATAGTGGATGCGTTGTTTATGATCTTCCAAAATTTCCTGGAGTCTGGAACGATTCCCGTTGATTGGAAGGTCGCAAACGTAACACTGCTATTTCAGAAGGGTGGAAGAGAAAAAATGGGGAACTTTAGACCAATTAACCTGTCACTGGTGGTAGGGAACGTTCTGGAGTCTATAATTAGGGACGTCGTCATGAGGCACTTAGAAAGTCATCATATGATTAGGCAGTCAACACGGATTTATGAAAGGGAAATCGTGTTTAACAAATCTTTTAGAGTTTTTTGAAGACGTAACTAGCAGGTTAGATAGGGGGAACCAGTGGATATAATGTATTTGGATTTTCGGAAGGCATTCGACAAGGTGCCATATAAAAGGTTATCACATAAGATTAGGACTCATGGAATTAAGGGTAAAATGGGTCCTTCTCAGATTGGAATCCTGTAGCTCAGTGGTTAGTGTACTCACCTTGCAAGCGAGACAACTGGGTTCAATTCCAGGCAGGGCGAAACCTTGGGCAAGTTTCTTTACTCCACACGCCTGATAATAACACCTCCAACGTAGATTCATTAGGTTGGTTCCTGGGATGAGGGGGTTGACGTACAAGGAGAGGTTGAGTAGACTAAACCTATATTCTCTAGAATATAGAAGAATTAGAGATGTTCCTATAGAAACCTATAAGATTCTTAAGGGTCTTGACAGGGTAGATATTGTGAGACTGTTTCCCCTGGTTGGAAAATCTAAAACTAGGGGTCATAGTCTCAGGATTAAAGGTCAGCCTTTTAGAACTGAGTTGAGAAAACATTTCTTCACTTAAGAGGATAGTGAATTCATGAAGGCTGTGGATGCTCAGTCATTGAACACATTCAAGACTGAGACCGAGAGATTTTTAAAAACTAAAGGAATTAAGGGATATGGGGATAGGGTGGGTAAATAGAATTAGGTTAGAAGATCAGCCATGGTTTTATTAAATGGCAAGGCAGGCTCGAGGGGCTGAATGGCCTACTCCTGCTCCTTCCTATTTACGTTTTATACAATTATTCCAAGTTCATCTGTGAAGATATGCATAAGAAGTCCCATAACATCCTCACAAGGTCAGCAGAGAATAAGGGTTTTAATCATATATAGTTGATGGAACATTCATTAGGATTGTCTTATTGCTCATTTACATAAGTCACATGTAGAGACGAAATTGAGCATAGTGCTTCCAATTGTCCTTTGGTAGTACTAGTCACTGCACCTACTTGACTCTTAGCAGTCCATTAAAGCTACTGCTTTCTCGAATATTTAAAGCACAGGAAAACAGGGATTTGCTCCAATGTAGACAGAATGAGCTCATTCTGTCCACATTGAGCAAATCTGTTTTTCCAATATCCTTTTAAATTCTATGAACTGTTTCAACTGCCATTTGTGGTAAGGAATAACCATAGCTCAACAAAATGATTAGCTCACCAATCATTGAAGGGTCACTAATTAACTTTCAAAACTACTCAAATTTGAAAGGTTCACTTAGATTCCCGCAAGTACCAAAACCCGTTCATAATTCTTTGGAAACATCCTTGCTTATTATAAGGTTCTGTATCAATTTCATAATAATTTGATAGTACCATATATTGTTATATTAGGAACCAGAGTATTCTGCCAAGAACTATAAGTTAGGTGACTATATTCTGGACCAACTATCTTGGGCCCTTTTCTGTAATTAAGGTCCAACTTGGGGGAGAGAAAACCTTTTGATGGCTCATATCATACTTAAAATTATGATTTTGTATCTAATTCCTATAAAACAGCCAATTAATTTCCAAGAATGAAACACAAGCGTCATTCACAGCAAAATCTGAATTCTAGTACTGGCAATGAATTGATAATTACAATAAAATATGGTAGCACTATTAGCAAGAAGAAAAATAAAGCACCAAAATATTTGCTCCACCTGGCTATATTCTGTGTAAACGCACATGTGAGAGAAGTATAAAAGCCTGCATACTTGGGGGAAAAAAAGCACACGGAACGCAAAGGGAGAGGAGGAAGGTTTCAAAAATGAGGAAGATGAGAAAAATTATGATTTGCTTTAGGTAAACAGGAAGGAGATTTAGGATTTGTTTGAGGTAAGAGATAGAATAAAGAAGTATGGTTGTTAAAGTTTAGAGAAATACAAAGTGTCGTTAAGAATAAATACAAAGAAATATTGTTAACGTTCAAGGAAATACAGAATTATTATTAATGTTCAAAGAAAGTTTGCGTTAAAGAGTATAGAGTTAAAGCACGTAGGTTTAAAACAGTGAATTGTAAGAGGCACGTTAATGAATAAGAGTGAAAGAAGGATAGTGGTCTCTGATTCCCTCTGTTCCTGGGTCTTGACCGAATCTTTATAAATTAGAAGCGTACGCAACAAAACATACCATTTTGCTTCGTCTAAATTAAATGGAAAATGGGAAAACAGTGTAATCTACAGAAGCACTACAGGTTGAACACAAAATTTCAAAAAAAAACAATGCTGGTGATGCGTGAGTACATCCCTTTATTATCACAAAATTCATGATTTCTGTACAGGAATGCTAATTATACGACCACAATTTGTATTTAATTATGTGAAAATTCAGTAACAGATCTTCCAAGGATGAAACAGAAGTGTCATTCACAGCAAAATCTGAATTCCAGCACTGGCAATACATTTCACTCTGCAAATTTTAAGACAGTAGTGTTCAATTCAGCAACTACTGCAGAATTTCATTCCACAGTCCAGTTCATTCTGACTGGATCATGCCATGCAGCTGGTTAACAAAATACAATAAGATGAAGGGGATCTATTAACCACTGCTGCAATACAGTATTACATTACATTATAGTGGTTATTGGGTGGAATTTTGTATTCAGCACTCTTCATGTAGAATCCAGTTGTAAACAAGAGAGTCAGGCCACATTTCATCATCTGATCCAGATCACCATTACGTCGTCTGATTCAGATTACAGCTTCATGCTATTGCTTTGGCTTCAGGCAGGAATGCCTCCCAATATTTAATCAACTGAAAATAAAAATTAAAAGATTAGCACATGCACAGTATTTCCAGGAAGCAACTCAGAGGTCAGCTGCTAAACAAAGCACCCAGGAAGTGAAGTCAACCCGACTACTTAGAACTACCAGCGCATTTGCATGCTGTCAGTGCTCAGCAAGTAACAGTGGCAACCTGGAAATTGGTCATTTCTGTGCTTTGTTCCAATGTGTGGCCCAGTACATTGCAACCAATTGAAATATGAACCAATATTTCTCCTAGATATAGAGGGGATCCACACTTACTACATTCTAAGGCCATCCAGTTACTTCAAACTGTGGGTCCATTAAATTTATTTGGTAGATGGGTGGGCACAGTGGGCAGACTCAGAAGCTATTGGAAGTTGATACTGGGTTTCCAACTTCCCAGTATTAAGAACCTCCTGTTGTCCACAGTGCCCACCCATCTACCAATTAAACTTAATGGACCCTCGTGGAGTCCTGTAGCTCAGTGCACTCGCTAGAGCACTCGCCTCGCAAGTGAGAGACCTGGGTTCGATTCCCGGCAGGGTGAAATGTTGGCCATGTTTCCTTACTCCGCACGCCTGTTTACCTAGCAGAAAGTAGCAACCCGGTTGTTAGTTGAATAGCGGATCGCTTTTCCGAGGGTAATAATTCCTTCAAAAAAAATATAATTATCCCACAATCCACGGATGTTTGTGGGACACTGCTGTGCGCAGTGGGCTGCTGTGTTTCACCCACAAAATATACAGTCAATTCACTTTACAGTATATTCTGTGAAGTGCTTTGAGACGTCTCGAAGACGAGATAAGGTGCTATATCAAATGCAAGGATTATTATTATTGTACATAATTTAAAACTGTATTAGTCAGCTCCCTCAAGACAGATTTCTAACTGTCCTCTGAATTTAGGGAGCGCAGGGAGGCAAGTGGCATTTCTGGCTTCAAGGCGACCAATCCGGCAAAGGAAGAATGGAACAAACATAATTTTTTGGTAGACAGGTGATTCAAAATTTGAGCCAGGCAGTTCTCGACAACAACAACTTGCACTCATATAAACACCCTCCACGCAGGGAAGTGTCTCAGAGCGCTTCTCACCTCAGCTACTGATAACATCAATCTACATTGAAGCCAGTAATAATAATCCTTGCATTTGATATAGCGCTTTTCACGTCTTCTCGACGTCTCAAAGCACTTCACAGAATAGACTGTAAAGTGAATTGACTGTATATTTGTGGGCGAAACACGGCAGCTAATTGTGCACAGCAGTGTCCCACAAACAGTCGTGGATTGAAAATGACCAATTCATTATTGTTTTGTTTTTTGGAGTGATTATTATGAGGTGTGTGGAGTAAGGAAACTTGCCCAAGGTTTCGCCTGCCTGGAATTGAACCCAGGTGTCTCGCTTGCAAGATGAGTGCTCTAACCACTGAGCTACAGGACTCCACAAAACTCTGGGGAAGCTCTGTGTCATTTTTGACTCTCAATTATCCTTTAAACCTCACATCTGTGCTCTGACCCATTCAGCTGTCCCCCACTTCCGCAGCATCGCCCATCTCCACCACGACCTCTCCCCTTGGGTCATCAAAAGTTTTATCCATGCTTTTAGCACATCCAGGATTGACCATGCCAACTCTCTGCTCACTGAACTTCCCAACTCTTTCCTCCACAAATTGTAGACCATCCAGAACTCTGCAGCTCGTATCCTCTCCCTCACTAAGTTGTGCAAGCCTATCACCCCCATCCTTGCCTGGCTCCATATCCCCTGAAAATCGAGTTCAAGATCCTGATCCTTACTTTTAAATCCCTCCCCTGTATTGCCCTACCTTGCCTCTGTGATCTAAGATTCTACTAACCCACCTACTCCCTCCACTAAACAGGCACTGACCTGCTTTACATCCCCCCAACCTGCGTGTCCCACCAATGATGGTCAGGCTTTCAGCCCTTCTGTGCCCAGTTTCTAGAACTCCATCCCAGAGTTCCTTTGCCTTACCCCTTCCCTTGTCTCTTTCAAGGTTGGTCCCAAGACCTTCCTCCTTGACTGTGCCTTTGACCCCACCACCCCCTTGGCCATCTTCCCTCCCAAATCCAACCCCCAGCTCAGGTGAAAACCCTCGATTGTCCTGCGCCTTGAGATATCCTCCCAGCAAGAAAGATGCTTATATAAATACAATTTGTCGGGCTTGTTATTTCGAGCCACTGACAACAGACCAACCTATGTGGCTCATCCATGTGACTTGGTAGGGTAATGTCATGTGACTGGGAACAAGATTCTTACTACTTGGTTCCTGATGACCCTTCCTGCGGGTCAACGCTTCCTGCAAGTCAACGCTTCCTGCAAGTCAACGCTTCCTGCAAGTCAACGCTTCCTGCAAGTCAACGCTTCCTGCAAGTCAACGCTTCCTGCAGGTCAACGCTTCCTGCGGGTCAACGCTTCCTGCAAGTCAACGCTTCCTGCAAGTCAACGCTTCCTGCAAGTCAACCCTTCTATTCTGGGAAGTGCTTTGAGAAGTCTTGAATGCAAGGATTATCATATTATTAATGCTCTAACAAATCATCAGTCCATGCTTCAAATGAGCCATCTGATCCAAACAAACCTACATGCTGTATTACCCACTTCCTGGGCACCCCCGTCTGCACCCAGGCATCAGCCCCTTTGATGAAAATGAAAAATCTATTGCTGATATCACTGGATGGTGTGAATTAAGTTTTCACAATTCTCCCCAAAAAGCCGGATTAAAAAAATTCCAAGACGGAAAGAGCACATTTCCCAAAGTTCTTCCCCAGGACTTCCATTTTATCATCATTACTGTTCTGGTATTTACCTGTTGCTGTGTTTGTACTAAAGATTCCAAGTACTTGATTATAACAGTTTTGAAGTCTTTTACTCTTTCTTTCTGCAGAATAGAAAAAACAAGATTCTCATTAATTGAGCTAATCATTAGTTATAATTAGGGAAGGTTAGAGAAAAACTCAACTACAGACCTGTCCGTTATCAGTTGTGGGAAAATTACTTGAGTGCGTCATCAGAAACAGATTAACTGAACACTTAGACAAATATAAGCCGCATCAAAGTGTCAGCATGAATATCTGAAGGGTAGGTCATGCCTGAATAATCTAGTGGAATTTTGAGGTCACAAATATAAGGAAGGATCCATGAATGTTATCTTGATAAAATTTCAGACTGAATTTTATAAAGTTCCACTTAAGAGGTTATTAGCTAAAATTAAGGCACATAAAATTTATGTTTCGGACCTAATTTTATGTAACATTTAAGTTCAAAACACTGACTGTCTAGCACCTTGGGACGTCCTCCCGACGTGAAAGGCACTATACAAATGTTGTTGTAAAATTGTAAGAAACTCCATGGATTGTTATTTAGTTGGGAAGTAGGAGGCTGATTACCTCATAGCTGACTGGGAGCCCTGCAGAGAAAAGGAATAAAAGACATTCTCTGACTGGCAGGAAGTAACAAGTGGTAATACCCTCGGATTTGTACTTTGCCTCAACTTTTCACCATATACTGTACATTAATGACCTTGCTAAAGGGGTAGAGGGGAATATTTCCAAGTCTGTACAAACAATTGTAAAGATCAAAGCCTTAAATTATGAATTAGACAGATTAGGTGTGCGGGTATTACTAGCAAAAAGAGCATGGGAAGCTCCACTTGGGATCCAAGAAAGAAATCAAAATATACTCTGAATGGAGAAAGACAAGTTGTGGGTTTAGGCGTGCAGGTTTACTGAAAGTACTGAAATCCAGTTTGCAGATACAAAAAGCAATCACAAAAGCTAATTGGATAATTGGAATTCAGAGGGTAAAAAAAGTGATGCTTCAGTTGTACAGAGCCCTTGCTCAGACCTGATCCATAACAGTGCATTCAGTTTCAGGAATCATTCCTCAAGAAAGGTTTTGGAGGATGTGCAGCCAAGATTCACCAGAATGGTACCTGAAGTGGCTAAATTGTGAGAGTTATTTTCCCTTGAAGGTTGAGGGGTGATCTGATGTTTAAAATGAATAAAGGATTTAAGGTAAGAATGTTTTCCTCCAGTAGGGACCATCTTAAAATTATAACTAAATCAATTAAGAGTGATATCATAAAGCAAATATTTGTGGAAATGTGGAATTCACTGCCTCCAAAAATTGTAGAAGTTGGGCCAACTGGAATATGTAATAGGGAGATGGATTAATATTTGATAGGCAGGGGTATCAAGGCACATTGTGAAAAGGCAGGGAAATAGTATTAAGTTGCAGGTTTAGATCTCTTTCTATCTTGTTTAAATCTCTCAGAACAGGCTCCAGAATTTCATATATACCTCAAATCGTCCTATTTCCTTTCGAATGGTTTTTGAGATCTGTTCAAAGTCACGCTCTCCTTGCTGCACTCTCGCTTCCCACTGTGGAACCAAAAAAATCACAATCACAAACATATCAAGCTATTAATGATACTCAGTGCAATTAATAGCTTGACACAAGCTACTCAATGCAAAAACATTTGCCAGCAATATCACCAGTTATGATTACCCATCAAAAGTGCCACACCCACTTTTGAACAGCCACCAAGGAAATTTCAGCAACTTACAACACAAAAGACTGCATTTAAATCTCTGGATAAAGATGAGATTGACATTACATAACATTTCCCTTGATTAGCAAGTAGGTCTGAATTACTATTTTATAAAATGTAGGGGGGCACGGTTAAATATGTTCAATGAAGATATTTGGATTGTACCAGAGCAATGCCATTTACAACAAAATTAGGCAGTGACCCAAAAAGTTTGTTAGTGGGACATTAAACTGTAGGAGACACTACAGCCAAGCCAGATGCTGTCCTCACCAGATAGCTAAACAAAAAAGATTAGAAAAGGTTTTGAGAAGATAAATTGTAATATTCCAGCTTGTTGGTATCTGCAACGAGGGAGCATTAAGTTCAGCATTGTCACTGGAATTAATGGAAATTAGAATCACATTGACAAGGCTACAACATTATAATGCCTCCACTCCTCCCCCACCACCCAGTTGAGCATCGCATTCGCTTATAATGGTCTACTGTGGAGCAATGCGTTCCTAGAAGTGCTATATACCTGATAAGAAATGGAGCTCTTTTAGCACAAATTTAAGTCAAAATTTTAAATTTGATTATTAGGTCAACTTCAATATACAATAGTTGCAAAATTCTAACAATTTTTTTTAATAATTAGTGCTAATGTACAGCTGTGTTCCAGTAAAGCAACAACATTGTTAAACAGTCACTCAAAAATGTATGACTCCACAAGATGCAAAGGGTTGAAGAGATTTAGCAAAGATTTCATTCAAGGCAGGTTTACCTAGTCAACTATCTTCTTATTTAAGATAACTTTAAAATGATCAATTGCTTGTTTTTAATCTGCACAATTTATAAAGGGCAATGTCACCTGGCAGGCTCCATCAAAACATTCAATAATTCATTGCCAGGGGACAGACATTTTGTTTGAGAGACTCGCCATGTTTCTGTTGCACAGAATTCCCCAGAGCTGCTTCTCAAATGCCCAGCCTATTTTTAGATGCTGAAAATTTGAAGATAATGTGCTGTATTTTGCAAAGAGATACACCAAATTTTGTCAGGTCTTATGGATTTTTACAGCTTGTACCTTCCATAAAGGTCTATTAACATACATTGTGCAAAAACGTTAGGGAATTATATTGCAGCTCAATTACAAACTTAAGAAATGAATTACTTTATGCAGAAGGATCATGGAAATTGTTTTAAAATAAAATATTTGTACTCAAAAAATGTTGGAATACACAAAATTTTAAATTCCTAAAATTAGAACTTTACAAGTTTCTGTAAAGTCTAGGTGAATAAAATGCAAACTGTGTTAAACCAACAGAAAACTATAACTTGCAACAAATGCACTACATGAACAAGTTGAGAATATCTTTTGAGAATACTCAACCGAGAGATGTTTAATTAAATGAACACCATTGCAATCCTCCTACTTCCTTAGCGACAAGGTTATGGGGAAAGGACAGGTAATTGGGACTGAAAGAATTACTTTTAAGTGAGCCAGCACAGACACAATGGGCTGAATGGCCTCTTCTGTGCCGTAAATTTCTACGATTCTATATCCTTGCATAGAACATTGCAAAATAGCTATGCAACTTTTTCCTCTTTCCCCTTTCCGTAAAAAAGTGGCTTCTAAACTGTTCCAATGTCTAAGACTTGATCTTGTAGTATTGGCCTTATTCTTGGGTAAGATACAAGGTTCCCAGTACGAGATTCTTCCCACACCTGTTTTTTTATCCTTCATTTGCATCAGAAATGTTTGCATCCTCCTCTATTTTAATACTGCAGCAATCACCATTTCACCAACTTTTCCCCATATAAATTAGCACAATAGGCTGCTATTTGGTCCATTTCTTTGCATCAGTGATTTTTCCTCCAAGAAGCCATATATCTTAACCCCAATTTCCTGCTTTCCTCATACTCGAATAACCGTCCCCTCCATATTCCTTCCAGTCGTCAAATACAACACCTTCTTTCTTCCTTAATGTCTGAAGTCAACTCAGAAATCTCTAAATCTAATCTATTTTATGAGATTTCACAACAATCTTGTACACTTTTAAAAATCTAAGCTTAGCATTCGTTCACTACTTCTTTTTACCGTCACCTGAAACCATACTTTGTATGCTCAAGCTCAAATATAAGATTAATTGCGAAGCCAGTGTTCCTTAATAGGTTAATAGGTCAGGAATAAGCTCTGCCTTGCCCATTAAATCCCCAGGTCTCTCTGTATAGTACTTTAAGCTACTCAAGATGAATTGATCCAGGCTTCACCAGCTAAATAAGATGGAACACTCAATACAATCGCAAGTGTTCCATTTCTGTCCATGTAAATACTTTAAAAAAATTAAAACTATTCAATTTCTGTCTCCCCAAAAATTGCTCATCTTTACTAAATATGACTTAAATGAACACGCAAACTTAAGACACTTCTGGTGTTATATTTGGGAATTGTTTAAAGAAAAAATGAGCTATACATTAGTCAGTAGCATACCTAAAAACATGTACCAGCCTTGTGTTGATTAAGTTAAAATTAATTTATTAATAACATCCCCAAAAACTAATTTTCACAATCTTTCACTAAGTACTGCACTCAGTAAAAAAGTTGTATTTGGGAATTTTCCAAAACATTTACAGTTGTGGGAACTTGAGTAATGCAACTAAATCCCAATTTAAATTCAAAATGTTTAGTTTGGTAATCAGTTAGGATGTCCAATTGTAAGTCTTCTGTCCAAAATGAGGCAAAATTTAAGGTGACTTGCAACTTTACTCTCATGTCCCCAAAATGTAGCTTCAGTTTTAAGAATGGAGATATCCCTTTCAAATGTTATATTCTGCAATCTGTGGATCAAGTTAAATTAGTTTCATTTTTAACAAGCATTTAAATAACATTCTGTAAAAAAACTTCAGTAATTGTACTATAATTACTAGAACCATAGAAAACTTCCTACCTCCTCAATTTCCTTTGTGAAGCAGGGCAAAACAAATTATACAAATTAAGATGAGGTTCTCATTTTAACACCCAACTCCATTTCATTGGCCCAAAAAGTGGTTGTCAGAGATTTTATTCAATTATATTAAAAATGATCACTTTTAATTTGAAAGTTGAAATAAAGTTTGAGGAAGGGAGTTGGAGTATAAATGCTATTGTAACTTGCAAAGGATTAAAACCAAGGAGAAATAACTCTTTAGAAGATATGCAGCAAGACAGTTAAGTAAACAGTGATATAGGGCAAGAACATTAATCATAATAATCCTTGCATTTGATATAGCGCTTTTCACGTCTTCGAGACGTCCCAAAGCGCTTCACAGAATATACTGTAAAGTGAATTGACTGTATATTTGTGAGCGAACGCGGCATGCAATTGCGCACAGCAATGTCGCACAAACAGTCGTGGATTGAAAATGACCAATTTATTATTGTTTTTTGTTTTGGGGGGATTATTATTAGGCGTGTGGAGTAAGGAAAGTTGCCCAAGGTTTCGCCCTGGAATTGAACTCAGGTCTCTCGCTTGCAAAGCGAGTGCTCTAACCACTGAGCTACAGGGCTCCACATGTATACTCAGCTCTTCTCTCCTGTTCACTACAAAGCCCTACCATGCATCTTGTTTACACCATACTAGCTAATTTTGATGCTTGTTTTTGAATATCAAACTATTCTGAAGGTTTTTCTACAGCAGAAGACGAGCATGCACAGCTTTATTTTGCAGGATGCATAAAAACAGAAGGTTTTGCATGCTCTGTTATATTTACTATACAGTGATGCTTCACATCAATTATGGTTCACTGAAGTAGTAGGAAACAGTTGTCATAAATAAGAAGGTATAGGTTCAGGGCTGTGAAGGGCAATATTAGGACAGATACCAGTAAGTAGTCTTTATGCATAACAGTAATAAACAGCTGGAACAGATTAATAACATGGGTGATCAAGATAAAAATACTGGACTCATTTAAGGCACAATTTGATAGAGAAGTTGGTTTCCTGTAAAGATACAATTGATCGACCAATGGGTATTCTTAAGGATTTAAAAAAAATAGATGCAGTTTTAATGCGTTGGGGTGCCCTCCTGATGTGAAAGGCACTGTAGAAATGCAATTTGTTGTTTTTTGGATGAAAGTCAATTGGAAAAAAAAACTATTTTCTCCTGAATTTCAAATACTGAATTTGCTGATTTTGATCAGAATCTGTAATTGTGCATCCACATATCGAAACTTGCCTTACTTTGTGTTAAATCTCTCCACCCCTGGATTTTCTCTAGTTGACAGAAAAAAATGGCCAAAACAGAGGGATTTATTTTGTGAATAAAAACAACTAATGATATACTTAGATATTATTTATCTTAACATCTCTCGTCAGCCATTGTTCCATATACATAGCAAAATGTAATATGTATAAAAGTTTAAAGGTTACTACAATTGGGTACCTAGACATGATTTTGGAAATGAACCACAAATAAAATGACCAGACATAAAATAAAGCTACATTCTTTTCAGTTCCAAGCTTTGTATCTATGCACTTTATCAATTGGTCAGTACAATTTTAATTTATAGGTACAATTCCAAATTTTTGCAAGAGGTTTATTTAAATTGTTTGATTCATATGGTATAAAACGAGTTTTAAGAAAAGTTTTAAGGTAATATATTAAGGGAAAGGGTTTGTTAATTCATGAAAATTCAACAGATTTCACATTCTCACCCGTGACTGAAAGTTTGTTGCCTAAATGCACATCAAGAGAAAACAGGTTTCAAAAGTAAAGCTGAAGCAAAATTAGAGTAACACAACCTTTTAAGTGTATGATGGTTATACTGAATCTTAACCAAACAGAAATCTGTTGGCAGAATTTTTGATTCACGTGCACAAAGTCTGGTATAGTACTGAGCTTTGGAGAAAAACCTAATTGCCAATCTGTAGTGAGGTTGTTGATCACATCTCTACCGATACAGGTTCTACAGCTGGCCTCAATATCCCAGGTTTGAGGAAAGGGAAGAGGAAAAATTCCTGTAATGTCTAATCCAATAACACGTGCTGAAAAGTACACATCCACTGATACTCCCTCCACCCACCATTAGCATATTTTGGGGCATTAAAACAGTACCTCGATAACAACAACAACTTGCATTTATATAGTGCCCTCCACGCAGGGTAGCATCTCAGAGCACTTAACAGTGGCGGAGCCTGTCACTGAGCCGGAGTTCGGGGGCTGGTGGTGATCGTAATCAGTCGAAAAGGAAGGTTTTCAGGCGGGACTTGAAAAAGGGGAGGGAGCAAGGCGGAGGGATTAAGGGAGAGTGTTCCAGAGTTTTGGGATGTAGTGGCTGAAAGTGCGACCTCCAATGGTGGAGCAGAGGGTACAAGGGAGAAGTCGGAGGCCGGTGCCAGTCAATTGGAGGCGTTGGGTGGTGAATTGAGGAGGCCTGAGGAGAGAGACTAGTTGACCGTGTCAGCCAGCAGAGGGGAGAGGGAGAATTGAGTGACCAGCAGCTGAGGGGGTGGGGGGGGAGGACAATACAGCCAAGTGGATGTTTTCAATTTTTGAGGCAAAGAAGTCTAGGACCTCTTCGCACTTGGCGTTTGATGTGAGGATAGAGAGAGCTAGAGGGGATGTACGGAGGTGGTAATGGACGGTGGAAAACAGTGTCATTGAGTTGTTTTTGGCTTCCACAGCACCGAGTCTTCAGGGCATTAAATATTGGATAATACTGGGAACTAATGTTTTAAGCAGTTTATTAGTCATACTGTTGTGCTTGAGCAAGTCAAACAATTTATGATATTGTATTTGTAGAAAATCACTTTTAATGGAAACATTTTTACTGAGTAATGTTTTTAGATGTCTGAAATCATCCAGAATTCTGCAACCCATGTCCTCTCCCGCACCAGACTCTGTGACCCTATCACCCCCACCCTTGCCCAACTCCACTGGCTTCCCATCACACAGCGGGTACAGTTCAAGATCCTGGTCCTCACCTTCAAAGTCCCCCATGGCCTTGCTCCCCCCTACCCCTGTGACCTCCTAACCTCCTTCCAACCTTCCCGCTCCCTCTGCTCAGCGGACTCCAGTCTGCTTCACGCCTCCCACCCCCCCCACCACCTCACCATTGGCGGGTGGGCCTTCAGCCACTCTGCCCTCACCCTCTGGAACTCCGTCCCGCAGTCCCTCTGCCTTGCCCCCTCCCTTGCCTCCTTCCAGACCCATCTCGAGATCCTCCTCTTCGACCATGCCTTCAATCACCCTCCTTCTCCCACTACCCTCCACCCTCCCTGATCCCGACCCCCAGCTCGGGTCCGAAACACTGATTGTCCAGCACCTTGGGACGTCCTCCCGATGTGAAAGGCGCTACACACGTGGAGTCCTGTAGCTCAGTGGTTAGAGCACTCGCTTTACAAACGAGAGAGTTCTGAGTTCAATTCCAGGCAGGGCGAAACCTTGGGCAAGTTTCCTTACTCCACACACCTAATAATAATCCCTCCAAAACAAAACAATAATAAATTGGTCATTTTCAATCCACGACTGTTTGTGCGACATTGCTGTGCTCAATTGGCTGCTGTGTTCGCCCACAAATATACGGTCAATTCACTTTACAGTATATTCTGTGAAGCACTTTGAGACGTCTAGAAGATGCGAAAAGAACTATATCAAATGCAAAGATTATTATTATTATTACAAATGTAATTTTGCTGTTGTCGTATCATGTAATATATGCAAAATAGTTTGGAGATAATTAGGTTCTGCCACAGCACATCTTGAACTAAACCTACAACACTGTAAATCAGTGAGCACATGCAATTCATTTAACTTAAGTCAAATAGTTTGAACTAATGTGGATTATACCCATCAGTATAGTTCAATGGAGATCATTTAATCTTCAAAACAGAAAAACTTTACCATAAAAAAGCAAAGTCCATTAGAAAATTTTATATGGAAAACAGAAATTTATGTTAGTTAACTCTAATAAAATAAGTATTATGTTGAAAGGATTAAGATGTGTAGCGAGAGATCCCATTCTAAACAGAGGACAGCTGGGTAGGGAGAAGAGAAAAAATAAATACTCACTTCTCTAATCTCTTCTTTAGCCTGTTGCATTTTGTCAGGTTTATTTGCAAACTGGAGTTTGGCCTCCGCCTCCCTTTTTTTTTGCAGATTGGCTTGAGCATCCTGCCATTTCTGCCAGCATTTCATTCGATGGTCAAACACTCCCTACAGTAGAAAAGGAAAAAACATTTGAAGCACACATAAAAATTTGGAATTTTACAAATTCAATAATAATCTTTGCATTTGATATAGTGCCTTGTGTCATCGAGATGTCTCAAAGTGATTCACAGGATATCCTGTAAAGTGGATTAACTGTGTATTTTGTAGTCGATTGTAACAGCTAGTTGTGCAAAGCGATGTCCCATAAAGCAGCCCTATATAGAGTGAGTGACCAATTTTATGTAGGGGATTTATTGGACAGGACACCAAGAGAAACTCCCTTCTCTTTTCGAATAGTGCCTTGAGACCTTCAACGTCCACCTGAACGGGCAGATGGGACCTCGGTTTCAACTCTGGTTGGCCATTTACCTTAACAGAAGATATGAGACGAACATAATCACTCAGGAGCTCTGCAAACAGATAGAAGTCAGCATAAGCCTGGTCCTGGTGAAGCTGGTCGATCTTTTCTTCAACTTCTGCTAGTTGTGAAAGTGCTCTTGACAGGGCAGTGTGATCTTCAGAGTTACCCAGCATGGCTGCACTCTTAGCAAAGGCAGCTGTGTTGGCAGAAAGTTCTGCGGGGGGAGAGAAAAGAAGAAAAGCATTGCATGGCCTTGGATTTATTACTTCATACATGAAGGAAAACAAAAATCAACTGTTTGCCATGAAAGACCTTTCTTTTCGACCGCGCCTTTGGCCACCTTTCCACCCCTCCCCCTGGCTCGGTCCCGGGATCTTAAACTGTAAAGCGCTCTGAGACGCTGTCCGGCGTGGAGGGCGCTATAGAAATCCAAGTTGTTGTTGTAGAAAACTATTATCAGCACATTAATGATTTTCTTCCACAATTTTTTAAAATCCTGAACTAACCATAGATCTCATACAACATTGTGAATTTTAACATCTGCTCTATAAGTTTAAGCCCCGCAAGTCAGCAACTTGGATTTATGTACCCCCCTTCACCTAAGATAACATCTAGTACCGCATCAAATATACAGCTGAATGTCAAGCGGGGGAATGGGGGGACGAGGGTGGAGGTGTGGTTAAAGAGGTAGGTTTTGGGTGGGTTTAAAAACTGGGGAAAAAACTGCTCCTCAAAGTCTACAATTGCTTCCCCCCCCCACCCCAGTATAATCCAAACAGATCTAGACTGTCCACCCTTCAATTGTGACATCAATAAGCCATTAAATTTATAAAATTATTGTTTATTCCAAGCCAAATGGAGAATTCACAAACCTTTCCTGTGGCAGACAAGGAGATCAACACTAGTGTGTAGTTTTCTCAACTGCTGGTCCAGATTTTCAAACTGCTGCTGCTTTTCCTCAAACCACTGTTGCAAGAAGAACGGTGTTAATTTACCAAGATCAAATCATTACAAATTAGCTTACCACCGGTAAACTATCTTGCTTCTTTTAAAGCAAAAACAAATTAACCACAGCACAGCCTACCACGATAATGGTAAATCAAAGAAAATAAGTAAATAGCTATCCCATTTTTTGTCTTTTCACTGTTAGAAATAAATTGAAAAACTCATTAATTCATCTCATTAATCAGGTTCAAAAATCAGCTCTTACTGCATCTGATTCATTCATCTTGATTGTCATTTTGTTGACAGCATCTGCGGCCTTGTTCACCATTCTCAATATGCCTGCTCCACTTAGGGCTTGTGTATTAACCGCACGCGGCAGCTGGAATTGAATGACAAATAAGGGTGAACAATCCAGTTAACAGCCTTGCACTTTAAACAGACAAAAGGAAAGGGACACAGCATTTTCTTCTCTCACAAATTGCAATATACTCTTGGTCTCAACTCTGTGCTCAGGCTAAATACTCAAAAAAACTCTAATGTGCATTTTCTTGGGCAGATGAGCAGACACTAATCATCTTTTGTCAAAGGGTCCATTAGACCCTAAATACATTCAAAGGCAGATGATAATCTGAAAAGGGTTGATTTCTGGGTTGTCACTGATAATGTCACTTAGTGTGTGCCAGCTTGCACTGCTAAAAAAAAGGCTGAGCATTGTCAATGCCACTTGCATGTGCACCGAAAGAGAGCAATCTGATGATGTACAAGTCAGCATTTATTTTTAGCATGCAGGAAGTCAGCTGGTCTGTACCAGACAGGTTCACAGCATAGCCATATTATAAAGGGGTAGAATGCACATCACATTAATTACATTTCCAACTACATTTCTGAACTTAAACAGTAGTGATAGTAGGTTTATTCACTTTATAGTACAAACAACATATTGGTTTCACTTGGTTTTTCGGGAGGGAGAATGAGAAGAAAGAGGGGGAGGTGAAAAAAGTAAACCTTAGTTTGCTGGAACAGCATTGGCAAAGGCCTGACAGTAAGTTCTGGTCTGCCTCAGTTCCAAGATAATAATGGGAACAAAGATAAACACTTCAATTATCCTCATATCTTGAAGCTCAATACACAAGCTGCCAAATCATTTTCAACTAATTTTTAAGATATTTTATTTATGCATACTCTGAACCTAAGGTAACTTCTCTATCATGACAGGGTTGAGGCATTCTATCCAACAGGCAATGGAGGGCAGTTCAAATTCAAGTCTAATTGCAGTTGGCAGATTTAGAAAACAGCTCCTGTAACTAGAACCCAGCAACTTCCGAAAGATCCGATTGTACTTGGATCTTAATTACTGTACTAATATGGAATATTTTTGATGCAAGATTATTTTATAGTTAACAAAACTCTCCTTCTTTGGCTACTCTAGCAATTCAGAGGAATCTAAAATCTTCCTGCAATCAGTGATTAAACACAGTAAATTTAAATTGATATAGCTTCACTGGACACAAATTACAAGAAAACTATTTAAGGAGAAACAGAGATATATTAAGTTTTGTACACACTCTCCCCTCCTTTCTTGAAGGTTTCTTGGTTAACAGATTCTGACAGCCTTCTGATACCTTACCGCCATTTTTTATGTGAGCCTAGAGACTAAGGCAAGCTACTAACTAAAAGGGCATTAAAACTAAGATTAATACATTTCATCCTGCATTCACATACGCAGTCTTCCAAGCAATGTCTCTTGACAGGCATCACTAGGAACTTTGTTTCCTGCTCTAACTCAGCGAAAGAAAGATGTTGTCTATTTTTGTGCCCAGTATTGTGTTGGTTGCAGGACTTGTATAGTTCACTATTCCATGTGTTATAGTCGTCCATTGAGCAATTCAGAGACCCATCACTTGAAAACAATTTCCCTTTTTAAATTCCTTATCTTATTCAAATTTAATAAATTATCAAAGACACATACCTCATTACTTTCTAAAAACTGTCTCAAATCGGGATCTTGCAACAGAGTTGGATGTTTTACAGTTCGCTGTAGATACCTGCGTTTTAAAAAGGTTAAAGCACTGGTCAAAATCCTCTTCAAAGCATTTGAAAAATTTGCCAATGTTTAAGACTTTTATGCAAGTCAAGTGTATAGTTATAATCAGTGGAACGTCAAATGACATTTAGTTTGTTTCCAGCGCAAAGCAGAGCACAACTTTAAAAATTTCAGCATTTCAAATGTCAGTTTTTGCCTTGCATTAAAAAATACAAGAGTCAATTGTCTTCTATCTGATGCCAACAGTCTACAGGCATTCATAACTGACCTTTAAGTACGCCAACTGGTTCAAAAAAGGGCAAGGAAATGTCAAGATTCTGAAATTTATTATTCTGTGCCATCAAGATACACAAAATACCATACATCAAAGTGAATCATGTTAAGATAAATCAAATGGATGGGTCTCACATCTTTTCAGATTGTTAAGTAGCACCATAACTCACAGAACAATGATTTTGACTTGGTTTTTTTAATGTAGTTTTTTTTTGTCTGTTTGAAACGTAGCCTGAGCCTTCAACAGGCAGTCTCCAGCTCAAGTTTCTGAACATTAGTCATACAACTACTCAAATGCTCACCACTTGACTGCTATCAAGTTGCCTGTAACTAAAAGTGACCCATACCTTGTACCAAGCCTACTTTTCAGTTAGCAATTCATTAGTGTTTGCACATCACAGGACTACTGAACATATTCTAAAGAACATCAAATTTCTGTGGGTCATCAGACTAAGGATCAGAAGTTTAATCACTTTAAGTTACTAACACCAGTATGCCTTCAATGAATAGTCAAAAGAATCATTTAAAACAAAACTATTTTCTGTAAAACAGCATGAATATCAAACTTGTTAAGGGAAGGACAGAAAGGAAGAAGATTCCCTCAACTGTTCTCCCTCCTGAAGACCTGTACTTGATAACAAAAATTATTCAGTAATTTAGGAGTAATTCACAACATGAACATCCCTTCAGATATTCAGCTCCTCTATCAGTGTTCCATCTGAATAGGTTTAGATGGTGACTCAATATGTATGGAGTCAGAGAATGTTTAAATAAAGCATAATCACAATAACTTCCGAGTCTACTGCTTAATATTTTTGGGTGTACCAGGTGTCTGTCTATGTATGGAAACCATCACCATGTTTAAGAGAATCCAAACCAGACCGAGTTCCACAAATGTATGGCACCTCCACATGGAAGTTTCCCCTGCACCTGGAATGGAATCTGCACTCTCCCTGGAGGAATATACTCGGCTGATCTAATTCCAGAGAGTAATAGGTGTAGGCTGGCAAGAGCAAAGACTTGACAATCCCAGATTATGCACTGAGGGTACTGCTGGAGTTTAACTCGTTAAAATTGCATAGCTTGCTATTGAGAGGACTGTCCAGTTAGGACGATTAAGGCTTTAGCTTGTAGGGTTAACATGAGCGAGTGGGAAGAATTACTGCTTCCAGCAATCAGTCTGCACCTCCAAGTTTTGACAATGAACCAGAATGGCAGGTAGGTTGATCATTAGCAGTGCCCTGGAGTCCTGCAGATCCGTCTGGCTCAGGACATCTGAGACCACCACATAAGCTAATTTGATTTAACATTCCATTGGCAAGCATGTCAACTTGGATATGCAAAAGACAAAACCCTCAAAACAGTAGCAGTATAAACTGACAGTACGCTGGTCATTTTTCAGGCGTACATGGACCAAAGCAAGCTTTAAAATCACAAGTATTGTATACATAGAGGTAATTGTTCCCGATTTCCTGAACCTTCCAAGCTTTGAACCATAACTGATCCAGTTCATATTTCCTTTCATGAGGTAACCTACCTCTCCAAGGCTGCCCTTCTTTTTTCAACAAATTCTGTTGAAGAAGAATCTTCTTTTCCAACTTTAACTTTGGTCATGCCTTTAAAAGTATCAAATGAATATTCCTTTAATTTTATTAAAAACTGAGGCATTTTATAAACAGAATTAATCATTGAATCGATTTTCATGTCAAAAGCAAATAAATTCTCATCAAATTAATCAAATACATGGATATGAAACACTTCACTTTTTCCACCATCATGATAAGTCATGGACAACATTCCTACCTTTGTTTAGTACCTGGAGCCAGAGTAACTCACCAGTTTTATTTATAATAACCCTTGCATTTGATGTACCAACTATAACAATTAAAGGATTCAAAGCATTTCACAGGCAATTGCTGCCAAGTGAAGTACCCCACAAACAGCATGAAGCGTATGACTAATCTGAAAGATTGTTGTCCAGGACACATAGAGAAACTGCTTTCTCTATAACATTTACCTGAACAGGCAGTCAGATCCCCGGGTTAAAATCTCATCGAAAAGACAGCATCTCAGACAATGCCGCTCGCCCCAAACTGCATTACCGTGTCAGGAATGAGTTCAGAGTTTAGGTTGACATGGAGCTTGAACTCAATCTTATGACACAACGGCAAAAGAGCTACCGATTTAGCCAGGCTGACACCATTTAATTAAAAACAAACAAATGTCACACTGGACAAGGAGTACCAGAATGTTTAAAATTAGATGAGTTTAAGAACCTTCCATCAAAAGTGCAAAAAACAAAAGCAACTTTGGAACTGTAGGCTTTTTAACAAAGGTCTGAAACCTAAAAGGAGCTGCGGCTGCAACTGCCTAGAGTATTCCTCAGACCTCATCAACAGTACGGTTTCCAACTTTGGCCAACCAATCTTCAAAACTATGACAATCCTTGGAGGGCTGCAGCAGCAACAACAAATTGCATTTACAGTACCTTTCATGTCAGAAGGATGTCCCTGTAGTCTGCAGCAATAATTAGTTAGATTAATACATGGAACAAAACTTTGATGAGAAGCTGTGTAAATAGGTTATTTTCCTAGAATTTGGAAAGCTGAAGGCTGGTCAAACTGACGTTTAAAATAAAGGAAATTGCCAATCTGTATATAGCCTATCTTCTCTCTGACAGATGGATCCAGAAACAGAAAAGTAAAAATTTCAGCTAAACCAGTTACAAGAGAAACCAGAAGATATTTCTTCAACCAAAAGGTGTAGAATGCACTACCAAAAAACTGTAGATACAAAATTGACCTTACGTTTGATATAGCGATCTGAGACGCTACCCTGCATGAGGAGCGCTATATAAATGCAAGTTGTTGTTAAATGCAGGTTGTTATAGCGCCTTTTTCATTGGGAGGACATCTCAAAACACTTCAAAGTAAAGTGGAGTAACTATTTTGTAGGTGAACATGGCAGCTAATTTGCACACAGCAATATTGCACAATAGCCATGAAATTAATGACCAATTTAATTTGGGAGACTGTTGGCGTTGGCAAGGACATCAGAAAACCTTTGATATCGACTTTCACAGGTGAGTCAGTTCGGTTGTATTTACTACTGTTTGATAAAGCAGGCAGCCATCCCTGGATCTTGTGGAGATGACAAGCGGTGAAGATCAGCAAGCTTGGTCAAAATGACACTTTAGCCAAAGCCTCTGGCAACATTGAGTTGTTGCTAGAAGATGTGGAGCAGGCAGCCAACTTCTTCACAGACCCTCTAATATGAGCTGGTGCTAAGTGATTCCATACAAGGACTGGCACTCCCTCAACTAAAAGTTTGTTAGGATTCTGTGCAAAGAGACTCCCATTGTTTAGAAACATATATACCAAGCTCGAATCAAGACTGCAAAGGGAAGGTGTCCAGAAGGTGCTTTGGTGAATAAGATGGGTCTTTTGGTAGCGCTCTGGAATGATTAATCAAGCCAAGTCATAATTTGCCAAACAATTATGGGAAGGGGGTTGCATCGTCAGAGATGGATCTTAAAAATCCCATGGCAGTATTCGAAAAGAGTAGGGAATGTATCCCGGTGCCCAACCACAGAATAGTCAATCCGCTTTACAGTTTATCCTGTGAAGTACTTTGAGCTGTGTCGCAATGACGTAATAAGGCGCTATATCAAATGCAAAGATTATCGTTAGATGAGAAATGTGTGAAACCTCCAGTACCACAATGAGAGCTTTACTACAAAATGAAAGTGCCAACATTTCAAGCACACTAAATTTCCCAATTATAATGCATTATTATGACATAAATTTAGTCAAATTGGCCAAAGCAATTTTATAATTTTTCTTACCTACAATACTCTTTTCTGGAGCAGGAGGAACTATGTAGCCTATATGCATATACTTTGTAGACAATTTGTCATGCAGACCCAGAAAGTCACTAAATCTCCTTTTGACAGTAAATTCTCTGCTGCTGAACATGGATGAAGACGTCTGTGTAATCAAAGAAAACAGAACATGCATATAAAATCTCAACATTCATGCAAGTCTATTTCTTATCTTATCTAGTGTTCTCATAAAACAAATATGTGGAAGTACACTTGTAAAAATGCAACACTCTCATCACTTGATCCTTCAGTCCTTGTAAGTAGGGGAAGGAGGAGGAGGGAGAAAAGGTAAGCAGGATCTCTTTGGGAGTGAGTTCGCTCCAAAGAAACATGTTTGGCAATAAATGACTGGAATTACGTCAATCCCTGCAGCAGTCCCACTTTCCTGATACCTGAGCCAGGCTAATCTGCAGTATTCATGAGCAATGTGTATCTTGAATCAGCCATTTTAACAGGACTTGGAGTAGCAGACTAGTTACTGAAGGTTGGAATTTTTTCCACTCTGCTCCAGTTGACACGAAAGCCAAAGCCTAATGAGTAGGATGGTCCAAGCAGAATAAGCAGCAGGTAACTTCTCAAGATTTGCAATAGTAAGCTTTGTTTTCATATGGATGAAAGCTGGCAGTACCCCCAATTCATGCTTTAGGGTCCCCAAGCCTTGACTTTTGCCCACCTGGACCTTAGGTGAGAGGTGAGAGTGCCATCAACTGATCCAGGTTGATACGTGGTAGTAGTTAGTAGTAAGCTTATGGAAAACATTTATGAGGGGAAATGGAAGAATTAGTTCTCAATTTTCTGTGTTAAGTGAGGTTATAAGTGTTGCTTAATCATTCGCTGTGACTGCAAGTATGGTACACCAGCTGTGAATCCCAAAATAATGAAGATATAGATCTATTAAATGAGGTTTAAAAAAATCTTTCAACTGCACTTTTCTGCAAACATCCAGAAATCATTGCCCGTATGAACCCTGATGGTTGGATGTATAGTTTAGATTTCATAAATAATTCAAAATGTTTGATCGCATATAGAAAATTATGGATTCCCTCCATTATAGCAAGACATTCTTTAAGTATAAAGGGTAGCATCGGAGCACTTAAATTGTGGAGATGTTTTAAATTTAAAATTTAAATTAATACAAGCAATACATTTGATTTACTAAAATTAGCAGTATTTATATAGCAATTCCACACAAATATATGAATTAGGATATCCATAATTATGTTCCATCGTCAGGTTCATGTTCAATGAAGCTTAAATTCTTGGTCTGCCCTGCCATAAACAGCATCTCAATTTTGAAAGCTTAGTACCCTCAAAACCATAATGTACAAAGTGCATGATAAAGAACTATGTCCTCCTCATTTTTATATAAATCATAAGGAATAAAATGTGTTAAAGAATATGCAAATAGACACACTGATAGAAGAATGTGTTGCCTAAATTAGTGGGGCTGCAAATAATCTCTTTTGGAAATTCAAACCTGCCACTGCTCCAATGCTCCAAGATGCTATCCTGCATGAAGGGTTCTACATAAGTGCAAATTGTTGCAAATACTTTTAACAGGAAACCAAATGAGCAAAGAGCAGCACCAAACTTGTCCCCACTACAACAGTAAGTATCAACAGATAGGAATATTGCCACGTTCTGAGGGGTAATTCAAACTGAAGGGAAGAGTACCAATATTGTGGTTTTAAGAACTAAAAATATACCAAAGGGCATAAATGTCATTACCTTTGTTGTTACCCTGTAAGCCAGGTAAGCATTCATGCCATCACCTAAGGATATGAAAGAAAAATTACATTAAAGCCAAATTCATACCCCACAATCTGCTTTGTGGGATTTGCAATCACTTAAGGTGACTAAAAGAAAAGGAATGAAACTAACTATTGGCATGAAGAAGTTGCTTGCTGCACCTAACCAGTTTCCCTTTCTGTTGAAAGCACCAGGCTTACTTAATTGTGATTAAAAATGAACTAGCATTGATTTATTGTACAACACTCTTTTCAAAGAGCCGGCACAGGCACAATGGGCCGAATGGCTTCCTTCTGTGCTGTATAATTCTATGAACACACTACAGGATTCAGTTGCTTATCACAAATAATCAGCAAAAGACCACATTAAAAGTTCGGAAACTAAGTAACTTAGTTACTTAAAACTAGATTTATGAGAATTACTTTTTAATTTTCAGCAGAGAAAACAGCACAGAAAAAGCCTGTATCTCCATTCACCCACTGAAGTGTTTATCCAATTGCTTTGTACCCAACTTTGGTCATTTAGTGACGAGGTATTCCATCAATCTTGTTACGGATTTGCTAATTGGTGGAAATCACATAAGTTTTCTTATTTGTAACTTAAATCCATCATTTCAGCAAAGTAGTTCTAACTTTGCAAGTCTCTCCACATACCCTCACAATTTTCCTAGTGAATCTCCTCTGTCCTAAAATAAGGAGATGCAATACCCCAACAGCAACCCAAACACATTTTGTAGAAAGCTTACATTAGTTCTTTACTTTGGTATTTAATATCCGGCATATTAAACCTAAAATACAAGTCTCTGTTCCTCCAAACCATTTATAACAAACATTTAGTTTTTTTAGTTTTATAATTTTTCCTTCTCTCATAAATTCCACTTGCTACATTTTACCTACCCACTCTCCTAAACCATCTGCTGCAGTCATACACTTCCTGCCTCAGTACACTATGTCTGTTAATTGGTATTAGCATATTTAAGCACCTTGTTTCCTATAAGAGTTCCGGTTTCCAGTGCATTATTTCAAACGTTAAAAGTACTATTTACTTACCAACTTTCTCAGGATCAGAAACGGAGACATGAATGTCAAATGTATCCCCATTTGCTTCTTCCTCGAGCTACAAGCAAAAGTGATTTACAAATTGACATTAAAATCGTGTCAAATAATTTTGACCATAGACTGCCAATGTATATACATAAAATATATACATACATAAGTCAAAGAATGTTATTTAATCTCCAATCTCATAACCCCCCAATTCCCAGTTCTATGTGGCCTTGGGAGTCAAAATCTATCTGATTATAGAGGAAAAAACTACCAACTGCTGACTCAGGTATAAATGGCTTCCTGAGGCTGGAACAATTCCAGATAAGCTTCCAGACTGGTTCCTATGTTGACATGGGGAGCCACTATAACTCAATTTAGTATCAGAGTAGTTGAAGGGTTGAAAAGGAAATAAATAAGAGTATATCGCACTCCATTTATATGACCAACTTGTGACTATCCTGGGTTGGGGGAGGAAGGAAAAGTAAGATGGGTCCCTTTTGTAGCTTAACTGATAGATTCTCGAATATTACCAGAAAATACTCTGAACAATTCACTAAAGGCTAATTGCCTTTATAAATAGATCTCATTTTACCAAGCTTCACATTTTCAGACCTCTCATTTGAAGCATTCATCCTTAATCAGTAAGTATTCCTCTCCTGTGAGAGGCAATGCTCATTCCCTCATAACTCAATTTAATAAAATACTTCTAAAAAAAATTCTGAATTTTACTGAGTAGAAAGCAATCAGGCCTGTGCTGGCTCTTTAAGTTATATAATCCCTTTTACCTGCTTTTTCTCACACCCCTGCAATTACATTGTTTTACTTAACCAACTAGTTCCTCTGGAAAGCTAATAAGATTCTCACTGCACCTGACAAGGCATTCCATGCCCGAACAAACCCTCTGTACAAAAAAAATCCATCGGAATCTCCTCTTTGCTCTCTTTCTAATCATCTTAAATTAATGCTTTCTAGTCTGACCCACCAACCAGTGGAAAAGTTTCTTCCCATCTATCTTATGCATCAGCCTCCACGGCTGCACACTTAACCTCACAAAGCCAGTCAGGAACCTGGGTACATTGTTTGACCCTCAACTGTCCTTTCTTCCCCCACATCCGCGCCATGACCGGCACTGCCTACCACCACCTCCACAACACTGCCAGACTCTGCCATTGCCTCACCCCTCAGGCTGCCGAAACCCTCACTCACGCATTCGTCACCTCAAGGCTCGATTACAGGAACTCCCTCCTCATCAGCCTTCCCAACTCTTCCCTTCACAAGCTGCAGAACATCCAAAACTCTGCAGCTCGTGTACTCTCACGCACCAGGCTCCGCGATCCCATCACTCCCACTCTCGCCCGACTCCACTGGCTCCCCATCCCCCAGAGGATCAAGTTCAAGATCCTTGTCCTCACCTTTAAGGCCATCCATGGCCTTGCCCCCTCCTACCTTGCTGACCTGCTGACTCCCTACCAACCTGCCCGCTCCCTCCATTCAGCGGGCATCAGCCTGCTCCATGTCTCCCGCCCGATCCGCCCTACCATCGGTGGCTGGGCTCTCAGCCTCTCTGCCCCCACACTCCATCCCACGGTCCCTTCGCCTCGCGTCCTCCCTTGCCATCTTCAAGGCCGGTCTCAAGACCCTTTACTTCGACCGTGCCTTTGGTCTGCCTCTCACCTCTCTGCCTTCCCTCACCCCTACACCACCCCTCCCCCATGCTCGGGCCCCGACACCTGACTGTTCAGCACTTTGGGACGTCCTCTTGACGTGAAAGGCGCTCTGTAAATGTAATTTTGTTGTTGTTATTATCAAAATCCTTCACAATTTAGAAACATACTGCCAACAGGTCTCTCCTCAATATCTGTGCCAGTGAAAATAAGACCAGTTCAACCAATCTTTGCTCACAGGTCAAACCACTCACCTTTGATGTCATCCCATTAAATCTCCTCTACACCCTCTCTATTTCCCTGACATCCTTCCTAAAGTGGAGTGACCAAAACTGATACATTTGTATACTGTGATCTATTGATATAGGATAAGCAGCACCTCTTTGGTTTCATATTCTATCTTCCTATTTATAATATCTAGGATCCCATTAGCTTTCTTCACAGATTTGTCTACCTGTCTTCATGGTTATAAAGATTGTATGTTAACCCCGAGGTCTCTATCCATTTTAAATGTTACCATTTAGCATATATTTGCCATCATCCTTCTTCCCGAAAATGTGTAACCTCACACTTTTCTGCATTAGATTTCATATGCCACTTCTCTTCCACAATCGAATAGTCTACTAACCCAATCTATTGCCAATATCTATACCAACCATTTCATTAATACAACTTTTCAATTCCTGAAACAATGGAGCTCCTGGAATAAAATTATTTCCTGCACATGGGGAAGAAACTATTCATGCTGAAGAAAACATTTTAATCTAATCTAAGTTGTTATCCTCACCTCTTCCTTAGATCGATCAAACATTGGAGTAGATATCATTTTCAATTCTGATCGTGGCGTCACAAGGGTTGGGGTTACTGGTGTGATCGCTGGACTTGGTTCTGGAGAAAGTATAGCTTCCCTTTCAGGGCTATCTAGTGACACCTCCTCAGTGGCCTCTAAATACCAAAAAAAATTATATGAACCAATCAGTTATTCAAAATATGCTTAAACAATTTCTCTATAAATAGCAAGTTTTAACTCTAGCTTTTTAATGTGTTGAGGGAACAAAATTATTGAGAAGTCTGTACACTTCACATGCCCTACATAATATCTGTAAATGTGTGACACCAAAATATTGGTTACACCTTGCCTTTCCCTAAACCATCTTTACTTTAAAACAAACAAAATGGGCATTGGATTTTGTTTAAGTGGGAAAGGGTTGAAAGACAGGGATGCTACTAACTTGGAGAGGAAAGCTAGAAACAAGTATGCCAGTTTAATAATAAACCAAGAGTCCTTGCATTTGATTTTGCGCCTTTCACGTCGGCAGAATGTCTCAATGTGCTTCAAAGGATTTACTGTAAAATGTAGTGACTGTTTTGAGGCAAATGTTTACCAGCAGATATGACCTTCATTCTTAGACAAAATAGTCAAAAATTTGCATTACCAGCAAAAAGGTCTTCTCGGTCATCATCTAGTAGAATCTCAGGCGATTTGGGCCCATTAGACTTTGCACTTATGTCTTCGGCAGGAAGGCTGGCGGGTTCAGGAGATGAAGGACTGGACTGAAATGCAAAATAGCATTATCAGCAAGTTTTAACCATTAACTACAGTAATGCAAACTTGCTTAACCATCAGAAAAAGAAAAAACAAAATCACCACAGCAATGCAGACTTCACTAAAACAGACAATCTTTCATCAAACAAAATCTGGAACATGCAAAAGGAAGTCAGCTAAGGGACAGTTGTTTCCTTATTATTTACTGGGAAAAATAACAATGGACAAAGGAAGCACTGTAATTAATAATTTTGCTGTTCACATAATACAATGTTTTAACACCCCTTGCAACATATATATATATATATATATAGTCTTTTTAGTCACTCCAACGTATTTGCAGACAAATTAAAATAGCAGAACAATGTTCTGCAATTAAAATGACAGCCAAGCTAGCAACACTGCTTAGGAATACTCCACTATAGTTCATAGAAACTATCATAAATGGAGGTCATGAAACCCATCATGTCTGTGCCCTACTGAAACTAATCTTCCGATTACCATATTCTTTATTCCTTAATCCTAACCCTATTCTTCAGAAGACAAGTTGCGTTGCTCATAACAGCAAAGCAACAGAGAAAGAAGCCTATCCACCCAATGTGTACATTTTGTGCACTTTAAAACCAATTCATCGGACGGAGCATGTTGACATGTGTAGAATGTCAGAAGATTTTAAAAAATACAGTTAAATTGAAAGGCAGTCACACAACTGGCTCTTTAATAAAAGCATTTGTTTAAGGTTAACAATTAATAGCAACCAACTTATAATGCGCAGGCATGAATCACATCTCCTGAAACCACCTTTCTAAAGCAGAGCTCCAGTGCGACTCACAATGTCAGCAACCTCCCCCCCTTACAAGGAATATTTGGCACTGAATCACCAAACACGCTATATAATGCAGAATTATTCCTCCATGGATTGCACAGGTACAGAAAAGACCATTGTGGTATATCTGACCTAACATTTAAAAAACAATCCTGTAGCACTTGGATGACTTTTAAATCAATTTCACCAAATAGCAATCTAATTCCCTTGAATTTGCTAACAATCTGACTACCAATGTCCTCCAGTCTATTCCACATATTCAATCATCAAGTATTAATCTACCTCCACTTACATACTCAAGTGCCAGTTTTGCTTAACATATTCAACTTACTAATAACCAAACTGAAAACTAACTTTGGAATGGGTAAGTAGCATTGAGAAAACATCTACTCACACCTCAAATGTCTACATTTTATTAGAGTTTACTGAAAGTCTGGAGATGAAAATCTTCACAGCAGACCACTGATTACTTGTTATGGGTTTCAGCAACTGCTGCAAATCATTTCTCTTACTTATTAATCCTGTTTCATTCCATAAATGGCTTGCATATATAAATATATATAATATACATATATATATATCCATATATACACATATTATATAAACAGGTTAAGATGAAAACTATTCTGAGGCAAGACAGTAAACTTACCGTTCTGCACACAACAGTATGTGACCCTATACACTGGAAAGAAGCAAAGGTAAGCTTGGTTAATCTATTCAAACATCACAAATAGTTTCTTTCCATTCTGTCCTTCCCACACTACACAGGAAAAATGTCTCAGAAGCATACAATCTTCAATGTACTTTGAACATAGCTTTCACTAGTCAAACATGTGATCCTTGTCCAAACAATCAGGTCAAAAATGCTTATATAGTTTGTTTCAGTACTGAAGTTACAACACTACAACAAACTTCATTTTAAAAAGGCTAATTTTTAAATAATTTGTCTGCATTAGATATCATTGGAAATAATCACTAATTTCTGTAAACTAGGATACAGCAGATAAAAATCAAGGTTTCTTCGGGCTTCATAGCTGATATGCCCTTTTGGAAAATTTTGCACTACCTAATTTCCCAAATAAAACAGAATTAAAAGCTCACTGACAGCAACCCTCTGACAGAAACCAAAAAAGGCACAGTTTCCCTCCCACGGCAATCAATTCTGTTCTCTTCTGAGAGCACTAGATTCATTTCTGCAGGACAAAGGTTTAAATAATTCCAATCCTATGATCACCCAACATCTACGCACACCTCAAACAAGGTTGGAGGGAAGCAATTAGTAGTGGGCTACCTTGCTGGATGCTGTCACTAACTTAGGCCACCAAGGTAGTGTATTTAAAGCCATATACCTCAGCTGAAATTAGCTAACCCAGTACAGACCAAGAATAAATCTAAGAACTGAATGGCTCACGTAATCACTATAGAAATGTGCTGAGCAGTTGGTGAAGCTTTAAAGTAAATCAAGAAGATTTGTTTAACAAACCCAAACTTAATCAGCTTTAAAACCAGAGTAGTAGAGTATATGCAAGGACAATCTTAGGAAGGATATACTAGCCTGGGAGTCTGTCTTGGAACAGTTCACCAGACTAACACCTGGCCTTAAGGGGCTCAGCTATGATGATAGGCTTGGTAGAGTGGGCTTATTTTCTTCGGAGAGGAGATTGGCGGGTGATTTGATTAAGATTTTAAAATAATGACGGGTGTTTTTAATGTTCCCAAGACTGTACAAATAGGTATCCTCCCGCCCAGTGTATTTCTCATGTCAAAAAACAATTCAAAGTAATGCTTTCCAAACAGCTACTTCACACTCAAGATTGTTGATGACAAATGCAAGCAACTCTACCACCAAGTAATATGTAGGTGCCACAAATGTAACCAGAAGCAACTTTATGTGGTACAATAAGGCAATCATCTGCACTCACCAGTTGAGAAAATTAAGGCACATGGCATTAAATGTAAATTGGTGGCATGTATAAAGGGATGTCTGAAGAGATGGCGAGATGGAGGGGTATACAATCTTGGATCAGTGATATGTCCCACAATTCTGTGTTTGGAACTCTCATTTCCTCCACACACACTCCCCCCCCACCTCCCGCCCCCTCATCTGCATTAATGTTTTGCAAATTAGCAATGGGGAATTGCAAAATAATGATTTACGGTAAGGTGCTTTTTGCCACTGAAATTGCAATCTCATTCAAACAAACACCAGGTCTATTTAGAGAATAAACTGCGACATACCTAAAACGTCATTTAGCCCTCAGACGTATTGCACTAGTCTGCGCAACTCACATTATAAGTTCAACTTTAATGCCCCATGGATCGAGCAACTCCAACAGAAATCTGTATTCTAATGCTGTAAAAACAAATACCATTTACACATTACAGCACATTCCAAAGCACTGGTGGTATCAAACTGCATGATTTACTCTGCATTTCTAAAGTAGTTTTAAAGTCCTGAAGAACAACTTTATTTTTAGCTAAAAAAACTTTCCTTCTATCTTAGAGACCTATCTACAGTAAAACTCGAATGAGTCGTCTATAAATTGCAAAATTGCCTTATTTGTACATGCATCCAAATTCCATTCGGTTTCCTACCAAAAAAAAGATTTCTTTGCATTAGTTATATTTAATAAATTGGATAAACAGCTAATTATTATGGTTTCTCAAATAATCCTAATTCCTATGCAAATCATCTCCTAAATTGGAAGGCAGCTACCACACTTACCAGCAGCATTGAAGTATGCAAGTGCAGTGCTCTGTTTGGAACAATAGCGAGAAACAAACTGTTGATCCACATGCAGACTTACCAGCGGCTGCAGTGATGAAGTTCCACATTCACATTTACTGATTGCAGTACTGCATGCGCAATACAGTACTGTATACTCCGTTGAACCAGGCGCAAAAAATGAGGTACTTGTTTACTGTACTTGTATAAACTTTGACTTATACATAGAATATGCTGTAAAGTGAATTGACTGTACATTTGTGGTCAAAACGCTGCAGCCAGTTGCGCACAGCAATGTCCCACAAACAGTCGTGGATTGAAAATAACCAATTTATTATTGTTTTGGAGGTGTTATTATTAGGCGTGTGGAGTAAGGAAACTTGCCCAAGGTTTCGCCCTGCCTGGAATTGAACTCAGGTGTCTCACTTGCAAGGTGAGTGCTCTAACCACTGAGCTCGTGTTTGTGTCGGCTCTTTGAAAACAGTGATCCAAATCAATCCCACTCCACTACCCTCTCCCCAAATAATTATCTACTTCTCGCTTAAAAGTTGTTATCGAATCGGCTTCCACCGCCCTTTCAGGCAATGCATTCCAGATCTGAACAACTTGCTGTGTGAAAAAATTTCTCCTCACCTCCACTCTGTTTCTTTTAACAACTATTTTAAATCGGTGTCCTCGGGTTACCGACCCACCTGCCAGTGGAAATAGCTTCTCCTTGTTCACCCTATCGAATCCCCTCATAATTTTGAAAACTTCTATTAAGTTGCTTCTTAACCATCTCTGCTCCAAGGAGAATAATCCTAGCTTCTCTAGCCTCTCCTGATAACTAAAGTCCCTCATTCCTGGTACCATCCTGGCAAATCTCTTTTGCACCTTCTCCAATGCCTTGACATCCTTCCTAGTGTGGTGTCCAAAACTGAACACAGCTGAGCTGAGGTCTAACCAGTGTTTATAAAGGTTTACCATAACTTCCTGACTTTTGTATTCTTTGCCCCTATTTATAAAGCCTACAACAACAAACAAGATTGCATTTATAGAGCGCTTTCACGTCGGGAGGACGTCCCAAGGCGCTGGACAGTTGGGTCAGGACCCGAGCAGTGGGGAAATGGTCAGGGTGAGGGGAGGGAAGGGAGGGAGCGAGGAGGGGGTAGAGAGTCGAGAGGGGAGCTGAAGACCTAATATCCCATATGCGTTTTTAACATCTTTATCGACCTGGTCCTGATACTTATATATGAACCCCCTTTAAGATTGTACCATCAGCTTATATTGCCTCTCCTCCCAAAATGCATCACTTTGCAAGTACTCTCCAAAATTCTATCTGTTTGAGCAGATCCTCCCTCTCCCCTCTCCCCGTGATCCATTATCCGATAAATAAATGTAAGCTGTTGTAGAAAACTGAACTGTATTTATCAACAGCAGAGGTGCTGTCTCCAGTAGAACCATGAAAGACATCTCCCAAAGTAGGTTTCAGGTTTGCTGGAGGCAGCTGCATAAAATATAGAGAAATCTTGGTTCACTTGGTAAATTCATGTTAATCAGGAGAACAATTTTATTTCTGTTAGGTTGGGTTACATTCAATATCAGCAAGTGGCAGTGATCAGAGATGTCAAAATCTTCTATTTCACATATTGATTAGTGGCAGTTGAATGCAGTAGATGAAACCTTAATTACTTTTACAGGTCAGTGGGAAGTACTCTCTCCTATGAGTCAGAAGATTGTGATTTCAAATCTCACAATGGGAACTTGAGGCCTGACAATACAACGTAGTGTTGGGGGAGCATTGCATTGTCATGAGACAAACTGAAGTCCTGTCTGCCTGTTTGGGTGGGCATTAAAGATCTATCTCCAAATTGAAAAAAAAGTGATTTTCCTGGTGCCTGGCCAAAAACAAAAAATGATCATTCACTTCGTGATTATTTGCAGAATATTTCAAAAGAAATGTAATGATTAGTTTTTAAAGAACATACACTGGACATTATAATCAGGCTTTATTTCCTTTTGGATGAGAGTATGATTTGCTCTTCAATTGATGTTTTTCATTCAAAGTCAGGGGATGTCTGTGCTGAGGAACAGACAAATGTGAAATAGAAGATTTTGACATCTCTGATCACTGCCACTTGCTGATATTGAATGTAACCCAACCTAACAGAAATAAAATTGTTCTCCTGATTAACATGAATTTACCAAGTGAACCAAGATTTCTCTATATTTTATGCAGCAAACCTGAAACCTACTTTGGGAGATGTCTTTCATGGTTCTACTGGAGACAGCACCTCTGCTGATGATAAATACAGTTCAGTTTTCTACAACAGCTTGCATTTATTTATCGGATAATGGATCACGCGGAGAGGGAGGATCTGCTCAAACAGATAGAATTTTGGAGAGTACTTGCAAAGTGATGCATTTTGGGAGGAGAGGCAGTAAAAGGAACAGTATCTTTAGAAACCATCAATAACAACTTGCATTTATATAGCGCCCCCCACACAGAGTAGCATTCTAGAGCGCTCGAGAGTGGCTGAGCATGATGCTCAGGGGAGTGGTGAGGTGACTGTAAGCACAGTCGAAGAAGGTCTTTGCCCGACTCCACTGGCTCCTCATCCACCAGAGGATCGAGTTCAAGATCCTTGTCCTCACCTTTAAGGCCATCCATGGCCTTGCCCCCTCCTACCTCTCTGACCTGCTGACTCCCTACCAACCTGCCCGTTCCCTCTGTTCATCAGGCTCCAGCCTGCTCCATGTCTCCCGCCCGACCTACCATCAGTGCCGGGCTTTCAGCCTCTCTGCCCCCACACTCTGGAACTCCATCCCACGGTCCCTTTGCCTCGCTTCCTCCCTTGCATCCTTCAAGGCCGGTTTCAAGACCTTTCTCTTTGACCGTGCCTTTGGTCTCCCTCCCACCTCTCTGCCTTCCCTCACCCCTACACCACCTCTCCCCCATGCTCGGGCCCCGACATCAGCACTTTGGGACATCCTCCCGACATGAAAAGCACTCTATAAATGTAATTTTGTTGTTGTCTTCAGGCGCAACCTGAAGATGGGGAAGGTCGGGGCAAAGTGGAGGGATTGAGGGAGTGTGTTCCAGAGTTTGGGTCCGCAGTGGCTGAAAACGTGGCCACTGACAGCAGAATGGAGGGCACGAAGGAAAGGCAGGAGGCCTGAGCCAGTCAAGCGAAGGCATCGGGTTGTGGTTTGAGGATTAAGCAGGTCGGAGAGGTAGAGTGCTGCCCGAGCATGAAGGGATTTGAAGACAAATGTGAGGATCTTGAAATCGATCCATTTGGTGATGGGGATATGAAGTTCATTAACATCAGGTTCTTCCAGGTTGACTGCAACAAGTAATAAAGGAAAATGGAAAAATGGGATTCCTCTAGTATGTTCCAAACATCAAAGTTTAACTGAAAAGTTAAACATGCCAGGGTATCGTATCACACCAGAGTAACATTTTCGTTTTTCATACCAGCTATCTTTGTGACTGCTGAGCAAGACATAACTCAAGATAATCAGGATCTCAAGCAAGCTGTTATGAGGGAAGATAAAAACAAGCAGGAACAGTGAGGGAGAGGTCAATGACTTGCAACCTTTCCACTAAGCTGGTTAACACTGGCACAGTGCTGGAAGATCTTGTCCATTCTCATTGCTAGAGAACAATGGATGGAGGAAGGCAAGGAAAAGAATACACCAACAAAGCATTCATGCACTACGGATAATACAATTGAAGCTTTCATAAAGTACATGTGCATAAATTGTGCCATAATAGTATAAAACTGGAGCAGTGCGATTATCTTTTAACATTTCCCACTTCATAATGATTGGAATAAAAAAAAGTTGCTTTTTTACTTTGAGACAGACGCTACAGGCTTTCTGAATAAATACCAGAATTTTTAATGGTCAGTAATGATATGTGAAACAAGATATGAACAGTTTCAGAGCTTTTGAATACTGAAATACACTATGTGGCTCAACAAAGGATTAGAAAATAATTTGATATTTCAACAGGTAAAATTACTAGCAAGTAATTTTCCCTTTCCACTGATTCTCAGAAGCCATTTTAAAATCTTTAGGGTCAGGTGCTTGTAATCACCTATTAATGTAGACGGTATCAACATAATCTAAAACTAAATTCATGCTGTTATGCGAAACTACATCCATTTACAACAGAAGGTGGTTGTCTATGGTTTGAGTGCTTAAATTCAAGATTCTCTCTCCACCGTAAATAAATTATTGCAGTATAATTAAAGATGAACACCTAAAAGTATATATTTTCAATTAAACTTGAACATCTAAAATTGTACACTCATTTCTGCAAGAATCGTAAAACTCATCTTTGAAAATTGACAAACACTTAATGGAGGATTTATTCCATTCTTAACCTTCACAAATGAGCTTACTTTGCCAAAACATTTGAGCTCTGGAAACCATTGATAAGTATACCTTCTCAGAGCCCCTTCAGTGTTGGATAATAATTAAATCATGTCAATATTTCAACTGGCTGAAAAACTGCTTTAAAGCCAGTTTTTAACCAATGAAATATGGTTTTATTAAAAGGCACTTGAAAACAGAAGGCAAGTGATAGTTTGTTTTATAAAAAAGTAATAATCCTTGCATTTGGTATAATAATGTGATGAGGGGAAATTAACTAAAATAGTGCAAGACTATTAGTTTACTTGTTAACTGCGTGAAACAAAATTGTTTTACATGTGTACAGCAAGAAGGCTATTAGCAGGTTATACCTTGCTTATACTGTTATTTTAGCTCAAATTAAAATAAAAAATACAGTTGGGAGGGTGGTGAGGAGCGGGAAAGAAGTTCAGGAGGAAGACAGGAATCTATCTAAATGTTGAGAACAAGGTCACCTTTTCTCACTGCTAAACAACACGTCTTTTTACTAAGAATCAAACAGATTCCACTTGAACTCCAAACTACAAAATTGCGTGCAACGATTAACAAATTGCAACAGAGCAAAATGAGCTGCCAACTTGGTCTGTCTTAAACCACTCACGTCGGGTGCAAAACTCAACAAGGCATTCAAAAACGGTTTAGAAGCGAGTAATAATAATCCTTTGCATTTCCAATAGCGCGTTTCACGTCAGGGTGACATCTCCAGGCACTTCACGAGTACCATGAAGCGTAATGCAATGCTCCTTGGAGGTGAATGCATCAGCCCATTTGTGTACAGCGATGGACAACAAGTGGGTACTAAGCGTAACTTTATTTACGTGTGTTTTTTTTAACACCGAGGCTCAGAAAGCCCAAAGGCGGGTTCGCTGTTTACTGGATTGGGGACAGGAGTTCACAGGGAATGCGGATGGAGGAGCGCCCGAGCTCGGGCTGCTGCTTCTCGGCTTTTGTATAACATCAGTGGCCGCCGACCCCCACACCGGCCCCCGGCGCCTTGACAACATAATGTAAAACCCCAGACAACTCCCCCCGTCCCCTCTCTCTCTCCTCTCCCCCCCCCGGACCCTACACTACACTGCAGGCCCCATCAAGCCCCGGGTACAGCGGCCGCGGACACTGGGCCGAGCGAGAAGCCGTCAGAGGCCGACACCGACCAGAGGCAGCGCAGGCCGCTCCCCGCCATGCCGGCCCCGGAGGGAGAGGGTGGTGGCCGCTCACCTCCAGTGTGCTGGCTGTGCTGACAAACAGGTCCTCGCCCTCATCCAGCTCCCTGAACTCCGAGTCCTCTGCCTCCACGTCTCCGAAAGGGGGAGGCTCCCGCTCCGCCGCCATCTTTCTGCTCCTCCGCAGGCACACGAGTCATGTGACAATTGGCGAACGCGCCTGCGCGGCTCCTTCCCTCCAACGAATCACGTGCCGTTCCCTCGCGCGCGCGCCCGCGCTCGCTCCCGCTCTCCCCGACGCCGTTGACGTCCGGACGGACGTGAGCAGCGCCTCCTCCTCCTCCTCCTCACCAATCACCGGAAGCGCTGCGAGCCAGACGACGACAGCGCGCGCGCGCCCGCGTGCCCGCGTGTCATGTGACAGGCCGAGCGGAATCACGTGGACCGGGAGGCCCTCGTGATCCCTTGAGAATCACGTGACGATCAGCTGCCTTCGTGTTGATGTTGTGTTGGTCAGTGGTGGGGGGGGTCTGACTCCCGACCCACATGGAAATCCCACAGGGAGATTGTCGGGAGTGGGATGCACACTCTCTTCCAGCTGAAACCGCACCGCTTACCTTTCAGCCAATTCGGCGCCGAGGAAACACAACAGTGGACGAAAAGTGAGAGACTTGCGGAAGCGAAAAATAAGCGCAGACAACAGTGAAGAAAAATAAGAGCGAAAGAAAACCCGAAAGCGAACCACAAAGCAGAAGAGAGAATTAGCTTGAAAAGTACAGGGCGGCGGAAGTTTCCCCTTGTCCAGGAAATAGCTGTGGTACTGTGGATTTACATCACAGTGTTTTGTGCTAACAATCAGTTGAATGAACGATGTTGCCAATGTATGCGGATGATGCCCAATTCTATCTCTCTGCCTCCACCCTTGATTCCAGGACCATTGCTGTCCTGACAGAATGTCTGTCAGACATCAAGTCCTGGATGAGAGCGAACTTTCTTCAAGAAGACCGAGACTCTCCTGATTGGCTCCTGTCAGCGCCTCCTCACCTCAAACGCTGACAGCATCACTATCCATGGTTGCACACTCCACCTTGCTAAGCCAGTCCAGAACGTTGGGGTCTTGTTTGACTCTCAATTAACCTTTCTACCCCACATCTACGCCATGACCCGCTCTGCCGTCCCCCACCTCCACAACGTCGCCCGGCTCCGACACTGTCTCACACCACAGGCCGCCGAAACCCTTTTAAATGCCTTCATTACATCGAGGCTCGACTACGCAAACTCACTGCTTGTCAGCCTCCCTCCACAGGCTGCAGATCATCCAGAACTCTGCAGCCCGCGTCCTCTCCCGCACTAGGCTCCACGACTCTATCACCCCCATCCTTGCCCAACTTCACTGGCTTCACTGGCTTCCCATCACGCAGATATAGTTCAAGATCCTGGTCCTCACCTTCAAAACCCTCCACTGTCGTGCCTCACCCTTCCTCTGTGACCTTGTAAAACCTACCAAACTGCCCACTCCCTCCACTTAGCACTGGCCTGCTTCATCTCCCCTTCCCTTCCTGTCCCACCATCAGTTGGGTTGGGATTTCAACCTACCTGCCCTCATTCTTTGGAACTCATTCCAGGAGCTCCTTTGCCTCGCCTTTCCTCCTCTTCTTCAACCTCAATCTCAAGACCTTCCTCTTTGATCAGCCTTCAGTCATCTTCCTCCCTACCTCTGCCCACAGCAATGTGATTGGAGTCATGTTTAAAATAACAGGGATGCACACATAATAAAGAGGATTTGTTAAAGACTAGCTGTACCTGTTGCAGCTATGCTTGCAACCAAAGGATCCAGTATGGAATGTAGATTGACACACAGACAGACACACAGAGAGACATTTCATCTTTATACTCAGCTGGGAGCACTTCTGTGGGAGTATTCCTTTTGGGAGGACTCAGTGGGAGGACTCGGCCCTTTAAAAATGTAATTTTGTTGGTGCCGCAACTGAGCTTCGCCTGTATTCTTTATTTTGTTCCCGCCACTTGGCTACCTGCGTGCTGTGTGACGCAGGATGCCACAGTCAGCCGGCGCGGCCACCAAATGTACCTGCAGTGTACGCCTACACATGTAGTGCTCTGTGATGCATGATGCCACTGCGCCACTTTGACTTGACGGGAGGTGTAATTGCAGCAAAAAAATGCAAAACTGAAAATAACTCATGAATGATAGGAGATATCTGAACACAAATATGCCCATGTCAATCCTAGATCCAAGACCTTTCCGATGAGGTATAAATCATGTCTCTACATCAATCAGTTATTGAGATATTTCTTGAAGCACAGACAGACATTGTCATTTTGTTAGTATATATATGAAGAAGAAAAAGATTTTTTAATGTTCTGAAATATAGCCTATCTAGTGGCCCGTGTCAATAGTACGTAATTGGTAAGCAATAATGTCTTGCTTCTGTTTTCTACTTGAACAAAATATATTGCCTAAAGATTCTTTCAATATTGTAACAGTAAAAGGGTAGTCAAAGAAGACATTAAAACCCTAAGGAGCCCAAGGGGTCTTTGAAACGAAAATGATCAGGAGATAGGGAACATATTAAACAAATACTTCCTAGAGGTTTTAATCAAGGAAGACACTTAAATATCATCTGCCCAACATCCAGCAAACATCGCTCGAGCTGCAGGACTTTAATACATATAGTGATGTGGTTCTAAAACCAACAAATCCCTTAACTCTGATGACCTGTACCACAGGATACTTAGAGAGACAAGGAAGGGGATTTGTGCAAAACTGAAAATTATGAGGAAGTAAAATGCCACTGTAGAGATTTCAACAAACGGGAATCAAGCAAATCTGGTTCCTATATTCAAGAAAGGTAACAGAACCATATTGCAACGACAGATCCATCAGCCATCTCAATAATTGGACAAATAACAGTCATCTGCAGAAAAAAAATGGAAGATTACTTATATAAAATAATCAAAGTAAATGACAACCAGCATGGATTCAGAAGAAGTAGATCTTGTTTAACAAACTGCATAGATTTTTATTAAGGATGTGAAATTGACTGTGGAAACCATATGATGTTGTGCACCTAGACTGCCAAAAGAGATTTTACACGAAAACACATGAGAGATTCTTCAAATCTGATGTCACTGGGTATTCTGGGTAAGTATGGACATGGATTCAGAAAACAGAGGGATAACAACAACAACTTGCATTTATATAGCGACCTTCATACAGGTTTGTGTCCTGGGAGCTAGCTAAAAAGGATGTGGTGTGGATTTTCACACTCAGTACAACATAGTTAAATTTACAAATGACACCAAGTGGGGAACTGTAGAATAAGGAGAGGCAGCAAAGGTCTTACCATTCAAACAGAGAAGGGAGTTTCTCCTGGTATCCTGGCCAACAAACCACAAAATAAAATTGGTCATTCACTTCATAGCTGACTATAGGATATTGGTGTGCACAACTAGTACTCTGGTTAGACTGCACTTGGGAATACTGCATGCAGTTCTCGTCACCATGACAAAAGGAAGCAAGCCCTAGAGGTAGTGCAGAGGAGACTAACAAGGATCATCCCCAATATTAAGGTAATGATCTATCAGCAAAGATAAGATAGGACTCTTCAGTCTTGAAAAGAGGCATATCAGAAGAGACCCTGTTGAGATATATAACATTTCAAATAAGATTTAAAAGGAAGCCCAGATATATCAAGACAGCAGAACAAATTCAGGGCAGCAAAGAGAGGATGGCATTCTGAAAGAATGGATTACATGGGTTGAAAGGCTTTCTTCATCCAAACTGAATTTGTGAGATGAATGGACATATTATTTTGATTGAGAAATTGAAGAATTACAACATTAGGCTCTGTAACAAGACTCATACTTTATAATCTACATAACACTTATTCCTTTGCATTAAAAAGACTATGTGCAACCACTAACACATACACTCAAAGGTGACAGGGTCTCTGAGGTGACAGAGATGACATTCCCTTTGAAGCCTTGTCCAATTGTTTGTCTGGTTGTTGCTGCGGGGCTGACTGACACCATTGCTTAGAGGAGAGAGATGAACCATGGAGCGAGGAGATATTTTGGTCAATGACATCGTTGTGCATTTCTATTAATAAACAAACATATCATATTTTTATGTCAATTTAATTTCATGAAATGTACAGCCTATGAAATATACATATCATCTTTACAATATTATTCCTTACCGAAAATAATACAACATGCTATTAGATTTCTAATCATCCAATACATCTGTAATATAATAGATGTATGAAAGAAATCCTTTACAACAATTACCTTCCTCCCCACCTCGCTCTTGGTTAAAAACAACCAACTCAACACAAATTGGAGATAAATATTAGGACCTTCTTGTCTTATACTGCTCATATTCAACAACAACAACAACAAGATTCCATTTATAAAGCGCCTTTCACGTCAGGAGGACGTCCCAAGGCGCTGGGCACTGACCTCACCATCTAAGTGCACCTACCTATATGACTTTTGTATGAGAAAATCAATAATAACAAGTCAGTCTAATTTCTTCCCACACATACACACCATCTGGGTTTGGAAATAAGGCAGACCTGCTTCCAGGCTTCCACCAGTGCTATACCAAGATTTTTTATTTCCTAATATATGCATAAGACACAAACGTGAAGGAAGCTGTCCTGTCTATTTGGTGACATCCACTGCAGTATTTGCATTGGAGGTCAGTTTCACAAAGATATAAGCTGTACACTCATTTCGCTCGCATTTCTTCTATGTCTCTGGTTTTCTACCAATCAAAGAAACAGAACCCAAGAGCAAAGTGCAAGGTCAGATTGTATTTCTGCACAGATTGTGTTTGCTTTCCTTCACTGATTAAAATTTATGCAGGATTTACCCGTGACTTGCTGTCTACAAGGAAAAGCATTGTATTACCTTCTTTTTTCAATCACCTTCTTTATAAAGAGAGAGTTTCTAAGGTCTGAATTTCCATCTAGTTTTTGCTTGTGAGACATTTTGTCTTAAAATTTAAGATTGCACAGAATTGCGGAAAATTCTTCAATTCAGTCTTAAATTCAAAGTTTTTTTCTAGAGTTCGTAAAATGACTTTGCTTCCCAATTCAGACTAAATTGTCATCTGTGATGTGTTAATCATTACCTGTAATAATGATAATTACTGCATTACATCATTAGAAAATTGTGCCCTATAAAAAAAGCATTTTTTGACAGATAACAGGAAGCATTTCTTTATTAAGAGGGTAATTAATGACAAGAAAAAGTTATCCACAAGGATGATTGAGGCCAGAATGCTGGACTCATTTAAGAAAAAGCTCTATACAGAACTGTAATGGGAGGACAGTAAGGTTGGTATTGTAGAAAAATGGGTAGTAGATTTAAAAGGGAGGAACTTCTTCATACAAAAGGTGGTGAGAATGTGGAACTCACTTCTGGAAGCTGTGGTTGAAGTAAAAAGCATTAATGCATTTAAGATGAAACTCGATGCATACAAGAATGAGAAGGGAATCCTGTAGCTCAGTTATTAGAGCACTCGCCTTGCAAGCGAGAGACCTTGATTCCTGGCAGGGCGAAATGTTGGCCAAGTTTCCTAGGTCCACACCTCTGTTTACCTAGCAGTACGTAGGAACGTGGTTGTTAGTCGATTAGTGGATTGGTTTTCCAGGGATAATAATTCCTTCAAAAAATAATAATAATAAATTGGTCACTCAATCCACGACTGTTTATGGGACACTGCTGTTTGCAATTGGCTACCGCATTTTGCCTACAAAATACAGTTAATTCACTTTACAGTATATTCTGTGAAGCACTTTGAGATGTTTTGAACCCGTGATAAGGCACAATATCAAATCAAGAATTTTTATTATAAGGGTATAGAAAAGGTAATAGGAGGGGTGGACATTTATGTGGAGTATAAACACCAGCATGGACCAGTTGGGCTGAATGGCCTGTTGCTGTACCATATTATTCCACGTAATTCTACCTAATTATATGTAAAATAAGTCAAAGAGTCTTCTTTATCCGAACTGTTCTTCTGATCTTGTGAATGCATGATTTAAAATGTCACAGGGCACAGTTTCATCCCAACATGTATAGCATGGGAAAGCACAACAACAAATTGCATTTATGTAGCACCCCTTGCACAGGGTAGCGTCTCGGAGCGCTTGACAGTGGCAGAGCACAATGCCGAGCCGGCGGGAGGGGGAGCTGACCGTAGGCATGGTTGAATAGGAGGGTCTTCAGGCGTGACCTGAAAATGGGGAAGGAAGCGGCAAGGAAACGGAGTCCTGTAGCTCAGTGGTTAGAGCACTCGCTTTGCAAGCGAGAAACCTGAGTTCAATTCCAGGCAGAGGGCGAAACCTTGGGCAAGTTTCCTTACTCCACACAGAGCCTAATAATAATCCCTCTAAAACCAAAAACAATAATAAATTGGTCATTTTCAATCTACGACTGTTTGTGGGACATTGCTGTGCGCAATTGGCTGCCGCGTTCGCCCACAAATATACAGTCAATTCACTTTACAGTGTGTTCTGTGAAGCGCTTTGGGACGTCCTCCCAACGTGAAAAGCGCTATATCAAATGCAAGGATTAAATTAAATTTAAGGCGGAAGGATAGAGGAAGGGTGTCCCAGAGTTTCGGGGCATAGTGGCTGAAAACACAAAACTAAACTGCAAGTTTGTACTTATGCAGCTTTTACTCACTCAAGACAGACTTACCTTTGCCTTTGTGTTGTCTGAAACTAATTTCAGATGATGTCTGTATGGATGGAAGTCTCTGTATAGTTAACTCTGTAAATTGACAATAAAATATACACTGATAAATTGTAAGATACATCTTAAATTCATAACCACGTTGACTGATTTTGGAAAAATGTTTAATGCTCCATGGCAGTCTATGGTGATTCACATTTTTCCTTGTGTTGAGAATCAGACTAACTATTTTTTGCCATACAACCTAAAGTTCTAATGGGTAGGGTGGTACTAGTTGAACAAGCAAGGGGAACTTGCCAGACAGAAGGTGAGGGGCAAGCTGCTTAAACTCTAGCAACTCACACTCTATGAATCTATGCTTAATAATCTCTAGACAAGCAGGTTGCATCATCCAGGAAGAGAGTGTGCATTCCATTCCAGACAAATGAATTTTCCCAGCATAGGTGGCATGCATACATAAAACTCTTATCCTGGCCTGGATTCTCTTAAGCACAGGAAGATGGTAGCAACGCTCTGATGCATTTCATGCTGAAATGTCTTGCCCACCAGGAAGCTACCTACCATCCACCCAGCGAGGGCTCAAATGCACACTTGTCAGATGTCGAGCGACCAACTCATGACTATCCTCCGTGGAGGGGGATGGGTAGGAGGGGAAAGGTAAGCAGGGTCTCCTTTGAGCTGAACTGGCTCTAAAGTGACATGCCTGGCAATGGAATGTCAGAATCAAGCCAGCCCTCTGGCAGTCCAGGACACTGCTGATGACAGCACAGCCAGTCTACGTCATCAGCAGGATCTGGAAGGGCAGACCAGTCACTGAGAGCCGGGAGTCATCCCACTCAACCAATTATGCCCAGCAGTGTCCCACAAACAACTGTAAATTGAAGTGACCAATGTTTTAAAAAGGAATTATTACCCCCGCAAAAACGCAATCCGCCAATCGACTAACAACCAGGTTCCTACTTAATTGCTAGGTTAATTGCTTAATTGCTACTTAATTGCTAACAGAGGCTTGTGGAGTAAGGAAACTTGCCAACATTTTGCCCTGCCTGGAACCGAACCCAGGTTTCTCGCTTGCGAGGTGAGTGCTCTAACCACTGAGCTACGAACTTGAATATTAACCTGAATAAGCAGATGGGACCTTGATTTAACGTTTCATCTGAAGGAACTATATTTAGAGTTTAAGGCTAATTCAATAGTACTTTCAACAATTTCTATATATCGATCACACCAAGACATCTTTCCTGCCCCCACACCCCTCGGCTCCCACTGCTAGTTCGGGTCAAACCCTGGTCTGACCAGTGCCTTGGGACATCCTCCGCTTGAAGGGCGCTATATAAATGTAAAGTTGATGATGTTGTTAATTACCTACCTTCAATTTTGAGAGAGCTCTTTGGTAAAGGTATGTGCAGCAATGATGGATGCTTTATTGCGAAGTAGCTTCGGAGTTTGCTGTGTGGTGAATTCTTCCCTTTTGTTTCTTGCAGTGTTTCCTCTGGTTTCTTGCAACTATGGAGGGGTGGGGTATTCAATGTGATAATTATCACAACAACAAAAAGTGACAGGGTGGAGGAGGCTAATTGTTAAGGTGAGATGGGGGTGTTTATTCCCAAACCAGTTGTTAGAAAGATTGGTGAGGACAGAAAAGAAAACATTTTCTATCCTTATGATAATTATGACAGATGATAATTGATCACATAATGCATTTTACCTCTTTAGTGGGATGAGTGTATCCAATCTGAGGCACTGCATATCCTTTATCCCATTAATTTCTGCCTGTGCCTTGATTCAGATGATCTAATTTTTTTTAGAATTTTTACATTTTGAGTTTTGACTAGAAAAAAAATTGTAACACTCATCGATTCTATTTCCCACATAAACGATGAACTAAAATAAAGGATAAGCGCTAGTCATTGCTATTCTTTTAAAATAAATATTTTCACGCAAATAAATGCATTACCTGACGTTTTGCTGAGCAATTTGAATTCGTTTTAAATCTAGTTCTAGAATTCGTGAAGTGTTGAAAAACAATTTTTCGGATGGTGTCAAGGGTCGTGGGTAAGCAGTATCCCTTTCCCAAACACCCTGAAGATACTGCTGAACACACACTGGCTTGTTGTTTGAATAGATTGATTGAAGTCCTTCATGGATGCTCCTAGGAAGACCTGATAACTGCTGGAAACAAAAGATAATAATCCTTACATTTAATATGGCACCTTTCACGTCAGTAGGATGTCTCAAAGCATTTCACAGGATATGCCATAAACTAGAATGACTGGTTATTTTGTGGGTGAACCCGACAGTGGATTTGTGCTTAGCAATGTTCCACAAATAGCCATGAAGTGAATAACCAATTTTATTTGATCAGTGACTAGTTGTTAATTGTGCCAGCATCTAGTGTTTAGGAAGTCCGAGGACTGAAATGATATATGGCCTTATGCTTTAAGATCATTTTCTTAAACTGTAAGATCATCTTGAATTTTGGCAAATTCTTAAATACACTCTTGGAAGATGGGCTTCTCGACAGAACCTAAAAAAATGTTCTCAGAAATTAGGGGAGAGGGTATTTTCCAAAGAGATTTTATTTTTTGCTAGCTGATTAAAAAAAATGAATGGTAATCAGAAATCTTCCCTCAGAATGCCTGGAGTTTGACAACTGTAGGTGATGATAATGGTAAAAAAAATCTGTTTTGAACTATTTACATTTGAAGTTCTAGTTAAAGAGATATTATCTAAGAAGTACCTACATCACGAAATGTGCCTGGTTGCAATGATCCTGTTGATAGTTGCAAGTGTTCACTAACAGAATTCAGTGACTGATGTCAGCTGACCTATGCCAAACTCTCCAATTGATGCTAAACACAGTCATAGTGAACAATATTTCTCCTAACGTTTGGAAGGTTTTGTAATATTAAAAAAATTAAGAGTACACAGATGGAATCCTAGTTGCATTCTGATGTACTTAGAGAATTTTCTTGGAAGGGAACAGTTGGCTTGAACAGCTCCATGTTTAGGGCTAATTTAATACAAAACTAAGTTTGAATCTTGTGATCCATGCAGTGTAAATAGAGCATTCTATTCATGGATTATAATTTGTTAGGCAATGATTTGTATTCTCTTCATTAGTAGTTTAAAACATTCTGAATACCTGCATAGAGGAAGCGACGTTTGAAGAGCGAACAGCTTGTTCATAAAGTGCAGAAGAAGGTGCAGGTACTTGGAGAATCTGCTTGTTCTTTATTGAGAGTTTTCGACGCAAACTTACTTTAATCTTGTTTTTCATGCAAGCAGGCCTAAAGTCACGATTGATAAAATATATTGAAAACAAAATGAATGCACAAGGTATCATAATATATAAGGAGCCCTGTAGCTCAGTGGTTAGAGACTCACCTTGCAAGGAGAGACACCTGGATTCAATTCCAGGCAGGGCGAAACCTTGCGCACGTTTCCTTACTCCACACGCCTAATAATAATCCCTCCAAAACAAAAATAAATTGGTCATTTTAAAATCCACGACTGTTTGTGGGACACTGCTGTGCGCAATTGGCTGCTGCGTTTCGCCCAAAAATATACAGTCCATTCACTTTACAGTCTACTCTGTGAAGCGCTTTGAGACGTCGAGAAAACGTGAAAAGCGCTATATTAAATGCAAGGTTTATTATTATTATATAAACTGTTTAAAGAAAATTGGATAATGATAGTTTCTTCTTCAGAGTGAATTTGATATCAGTACAGGCTTTGTTTCCATTAAATTTAATAACACTATAACAATACCTTGCACTTATACAGCTCCTATAGTTGTGGGAAAGGCATTGGGAGGGGTCTAATTTGTGAGATGTTCTAACCATATGCAAACATGTGTAAAGAGGGAATTAAAGATACTCCTTAATTACATAGTTTGGAATCAGCAATTTGTCCTGAAAGATTCTGTAATCATAAACCTAATGAAGGGAAGCAATGAAGTTAGAGGCCTTGACCTTTAACAGGCTTTGTGTTAGGGCAAGAACAGTAACATTTAGGACCGTCATGTGGATAGATGTCTTGATACTTTACATGGAGATTAGTATCAGGAGCAAAAAATATAATTTTATAAGTATTTTCAATTTCCACACCGGGCACCCTAAAAGTAGAGCTTTTAAATCTGGAACTAACCAGGAGTGTGGGGGAAGTCAGGGAGAGCAACAAAGCAATCTTAAGAAATTGCCTGGGAAATAGAGATTTTTGATCTATATCTCTGAGACCACCACATGCATTTAGGCAGATAGCATCAAAGATAAGGATAGGGGTCAGATACAGAGTCATAAAGAACCACATAGATCAGATGAATTGAAGTACAGCTCCGAGAGTGACAGAGAGATTGGGTAGATCATAAGTGTAAATCCCGGAATGCAAGAAGGAGCTAAAATCAGAGATAATATGAAACAGAGGGACCCCAATTACCTCCATTGAACCTATGTTGTTGCGAGCTCCTTTGTAAGACAAAGAACAGAAGTCTCCTCCCAATTGTCTGCACTTTTCTTCCACTGTGTTACATTGTTCCTTTAAAATATGTGTCCATAAACCTAATAAGGCCCCACCTGAACCATACGATTGTTTTTAAAGGCACAAAAGAAGGACATATGGCCCATTGTGTGAAGAAATATGTAATAATGTAATAATTCATATAATAAATCATTATCACTTAGTTGAGATGTTTCAAAACGCTCACAGAATATATTGTAAAATCCATGTTAAGTGGATTGACTGTGTATTTTTGGGCGAATCGAGGCAGCCAATTGAGCACAGCAGTGTCCCACAAACAGTCGGGGATTGATCGACCAATTGGTTTTGAGGAATTATTACCCCGGAAAGCGATCCACCAATCGATTAACAACCAAGTTCCTACTTTTCGCTAGGTAAACAGAGGCATGTGGCATAAGGAAACTTGCCTAAGGTTTTGTCCAGCCTGGGTCCTCTCGCTTGCGAGTCGAGTGCTCTAACCATTACGCTACAGGACTCCACAAATGTATCTCTCGGTACTGGTAGATTTTTCAGAACAAACAAGATAGTTCACCTAGCTTCTTAAGAACATAAGAATTAGGAGCAGGAGTAGGCCATTCGGCCCCTCGAGCCTGCCCCGCCCTTCCATAAGATCATGGCTGATCTTCAGACACAACTCTAATTACCTGCCCTATCCCCATATCCCCTAATCCCTCTGTTTTTTAAAAATCTATCAGTCTCAGCCTTGAAGATGTTCAAGGACTGAGCATTTACAGCCTTTTGGGGTAGTGAATTCCATAAAGTCACTACCCTCTGAGTGAAGAAATGTTTCCTCAACTCTGTTCTAAAAGGCTGACCCTTAATTTTAAGACTGTGACCCCTGGTTATAGATTCTCCTACCAGGGGAAACAGTCCCTCTGTGTCTACTTTATCCAGCCCTTTAAGAATCTTATATGTTTCAATAAGATCTCCCTATTCTTCTGTACTCTAGAGAATATAGCCCTAGTTTATTCAGCCTATCCTCATAGGTCAGTCCCCTCACCCCAGGAACTAACCGAGTGAGTCTACGTTGCACCCCCTCTAGGGCAAGTATGTCCTTTTTTAAATATGGAGTCCAAAACCGCACACAATAAAAAGTAGCAAATAATGTATCTGACGTACCTTCCTTTCCAGGATAGTAATGGCTTTATTAAGAACAACCCAGATTCCTCCTCAATGTTTTCCAAGGTGCTCATTAAAGTGTTGGCAAGCTTTGACCTTTGTTCTGTAAATTTTAAGGATTGTTCATTCCATATTTGCCTTTTCTGAAAATATTTGAAATAATTAGTAAATGTAGAGTTGCAGTTCTGAGACTGGTCTCAATATTGTGGGAACCCATTTCCGATATGAGCTGTTTTTGAAGCATGATTCCCATGAGTCCCATGAGTTAATTCTCCCATGAGAATGTGCTCTAATTCTGGTTATCAGAATGAATCCCTGCTTGGATGTCTAACTACATCGTAGAGGAATTCTGCTCTTATTGATCTACTTCTGAAGTAGCATTCCCATGGCTCAGAGTGCATTCTTCTGGTTACCGATTACTGGCACATGCCCGTTTGGTAAATTGGAATTGTTATTGGGGGATCCCTTTAAGAAACCCTGCAATTCAGCCCGAATGATACAATGAAGGGTGTCATTATCTTTCTTTCAAGGTGAAATAATGTGCAATTGATTTCTCTTGAATTCTGAGCTGAATATATACCATATACTGTAATATTTAATTGTGTATTTAGGATACAATACATTAACTGTAAATCAAAGTCAGGTGTAGTTTATTAGCTGTATTAAATATCATTAGATTGTTTTAGAAATAGTTGCAATACCCTGACTATATCATTTTGAAAGTCATGTTAAATAACTGCAATAAAATACCTTTTCATGTAGCTCCTCCATTCTTTTGAAGACTTCTGGATGATCCTGTGAGGCAGCAACTTTGCGTATGATGTTTTCTTCTGTTTCTTTTAAGATGACATACTGAGAATATTGCATTACTAACTGATTGAATCTCTTCTTCTGTAAGCCAATATATTCTTCCATGTTCTGAATTGCATTCTGTAAGAAGTTGTCAGCAACAATGAGTTCATGTCAGTAGAGCAAATACTGGAAAATTAAATTATTTAGAACAAAGCAGGGTTGGTAGGCCAACAATTGAAAACTTGTTAAGAGGACGATAAAAAAGACTTATGACACTACAGTAGAGCCCTATTAAAATCTACCAGTGGGGGTTCACAAAATCCAGACAACAGAGCCCAGTTGCTGGTCAGTGGTTCTGTATTATTACTGTGTATGCACAGGGTGTATGAAATTATGTTGGCTGCGACCAGATGACTTGACACTTGGTTTCTGACGGCCAGTGTTTTTAAGTGCCGATGGAGTGCATTTGGGATTTTTGGGGTAAGTAAATATCAATGTCCACATCACCTGGTGCTATAGGTGAATCTATGTTATAACAAGATTCTAGTGTATTCGAAAAGAGAAGAGTGTTTTTCCTGGTGACCTGGCCAACAATCCTCCAAATAAAATTACGATCGTTTGTGGGACGTTGCTGTTCCCGAATTTTGCCGCATTTCACCCACAAGGTACAAAATCACTCCACTTTACAGTATATCCCATTGACACTTTGTGACATTCTCCTTATGTGAACGTTGTATCAAACACATGATGTTTATAAGCATTGTATCAATAAAGACGTAAGCAATAAGCAGGCTGTTCAATTTGGGACTGCGAGTGGAAAATTAGAAGAAAATGGATGTGAAATAAACAAGCTTTGATTGAAGCAAAATTGTTCTCCCTCTCTCCTCCCACCTACCTCCACATTCACAACACACAGAGTAATGGATCTGTGGAACAGATTCCCAAAAGCAGTTAATGATATGTCAATTAACTTAATTAAAAATAAGACAAATGAGCATCTGATCAGGAATGGGATTGAGGACTAGATGGAGATAATGGCCTACAATACTTTATAGTGAATCCCGTGAAATGCTTTGAGATGTCCACACAACAAAAAAGAGACTCTTTCAAATGCAAGGATTATTATTATCATTATTATCATTATTACTATCATTATCAAAAACTTTGTGAAACACAATGCTTCCAGAGCTGACAGGACCAGTGGAAATGTTATGAGAAGCAACCAGTCAATGAAAAATATTGTAAGCTACATAGATATCCTGAACAGTTGCTCAGATATCCTTGAGGGCAAGGGAGAAAATTGTTCTCCTGCAGAATAAATACACTGTGTAAAAATTGTCTACAGTCAATGCAAGGAACAAACTTGATGCGCCAAATTTCATGTTTATTTTCTTAAATGCTTGTTTCTTTTCAACAGTTCTTGCTTAAGTTCTGAAAGTCATTGCATTTAAAAACATAGATATTTGTCAATATCACCTTGTAATTGTCTTTGGAGACAAAGTTCCTGTTGAGACCCTGCCTTAAAACTCTGGTATTATGTACTGCATCTGTTCTCATGAATAAGACAGTCAAATCAGGATCCTGCAGTTCATCTGTTACAGGGCAGCCTTCTGTTGTGTCCTGTGGTATCTTTGTTTGACTGAATGCATCCATTTCCTATGCATCAAATATACAAATTAGGATGATACATCAATCAGAATAAGAGCAGTCCTTAACAGGGGCGTTTTTTGTATGGGCTACACATCCCCTTATTTAGTCCTCTCCCTTTCAGGATTCCTGGGCCTCGGCCATGGTTGCAAAAAAAAACTGGGGTGCAAAGTATCCTCTCAATGGTAACATATGTGAAGAACAGACATCAGGAGTTATTTCTGTATGCAGACTGTTGTCAACAGTTGAAACGAGTTACCAGAAACCATGGTTGAGGCCAGGATTCATTCAGAAAACAGTATTCTTTGTTTGTATTCTTGTATTGAAATCCCTCCACTCCTCTGCACCCCCCTACCTCTCTGACCTCCTCTCTCCTCAAAACAATACCTGTTGCCTTCGTTCCTCCGGCTCTGGTCTCCTCCTCTGCCCCGGGTTCTCTGCTCCACTCTCGGGGCCGTGCCTTCAGCCACTATGCCCCGAGGCTCAGGAATTCCCTTCCTCACTCCCTTCACCTCGCTCCCTCTCTTCCTATCCTCAGGTCTCTGCTGAAGACCTTTTCGACTGCGCCTTTGGTCACCTTCCTCCCCCTGGCTCGGCCCCGGGATCCGTTACTGTGAAGCGCTCTGAGATGCCGTCCAGCGTGGAGGGCGCTATATAAATCCAAATTGTTGTTTGTTGTTGTTGTTGTAGTGGGAAGATGGCAAGTGTTCTGAAAGGATGAGATCAATAGGGGCCAAAGTCCAATGTTTTTGAGTCAACACTGACAGTGTGTGTCGTCAGGTTATTTGTGGGGGGATAGAGAGAGGAGTGAATGGACAGGTTATAGCAATCGCAGCTGAAGCCAATCTTTTCCTTACCCATTCCCTACACATGGGCATATTCTAGTAATAGTGAGCAGGATCACTGCTTGATTCGCTTTTCCCTTACCTGGATGCTGAGGCTAGCTGAAGCACTCTGACTGCCAAGAGCAGCTGCTTAAGTATACACCTGGATCCTGTGACTATTAACTGAACCATCAGGGGAGTTGATTTTCAAGTAAAGTTGACTTACCACTGCATGTCATCAATAGTGTTTACCTACAGGGCTCAATCCACCACCCATTTATTTTTGCCTGATTTCAAAATGCTGGTGTAAAGGCACGAAAAGCAAAGTAAAACAAGCAGAATAGCAAATACATAACTGTTGTCATTGTGAAGCATTTTATGACTTACTTGTTGCAGGCAAGTTATCTGGTCCTTGGCCTCGATGAGAAGCTGCTTGTTTCGGTATTTCTCCTCTTCATATTGCTGAGTCTTCTCATCAAATTGCTGTTGCCTGTGCAAGAGAGAATGTGTCTGACACTCATTGGAAGCTGAAGCAATATTCTCTTTGAAACCACATCACCAACTGTGTGGTACAAAGTGTTGGTGCACCGAACTGTTAAGCACACAGCACCATAATAATAATAATCCTTGCATTTGATATAGTTTCTTATCACGTCGTTGAGACGTCTCAAAGCGCTTCATAGAATATACTGTAAAGTGAATTGACTGCATATTTTGCAAGTGGAACTCGGCAGCCAATAGCACACAACAGTGTCCACAAACAGTAGTGGATTGAGTCACCAAATATTTTTAAAATATTTTTTTAAGGATTATTACCCTCAGAAACCAATCCACAAATGGGCTAACAACCGGGTTCCCACTGTTTTGTAAATAAAGGCATGTGGAGTAAGGAAACTTGCCTTAGGTTATGCCCCGGCCAGGAATCAAACCTGGGCGCTCTCGCTTGTGAGGCGAGTGCCCTAACCAATACACTACAGGGCTCCAAAATGGCAAATTCTCAAGTCTCGGATGTTTATTCTTGGGGAAGGGGGGAGAGGTACAGGAGGTGAGCTTGGACTGTAGCAGGGAGAGATATTGAATGGGAAGACATAATAAAAACAAAGATTAATGAACTTCAACAGATTTAGGCATGAAACTCTGAGATACTATTTGGGAAGATCGTCCAAACCATTGCATTTTGACCCTAATATATTATTGCAAAGCAGTTTTCACCAGATACTACTGTTTTGTTGTTCTTCGCTGTGGTCACTTGTTCATTTATTTCAAGACAATATGCATTGAACTGGGTTCCTAGAATAATTTCTTCCATTACCTTTACCGACATTGCTCTGGGTTTGATGCATTAGGGTTGAAACTTTGGTATTTGTGACAAGGACTCGCAAATAGTAACCCTCTCTGGTAACTGGAAATGGGTCACACTGACTCATGGGATCTCTATGTCTTAGCCTCAATCAGTCTGGTAACTTATTGAGTACCCAAGATCAGCTGATTAAGGGCAAACCGAGGATCTTCTCAGTCTGTGTGGCTCACAAGTACAGAGCATTCATCTGTTGAGCTCTTTGCGGGAAACAGAACACATCAATGTCACCTTGCACTGAATCAAAGTATGGCTCAGAAGCATAGTCCAGATTCCACGCAGAGTTCCCACTGCATTTCCGGGAAAATAATTATCAATGCAAACTGAAAAGCACATCTCTTTTTCCCTCCCCTCAAGATTCCTGAACAAGACTGATCAAACAGAATTAAACTGCACGGAACTATGAGGACAACTTTGTGCTCCATCGAGAACTAGATTAAAATTGTGAAAATTAATTCATTTTGCTTCGTATTAGTGATCAGAGGCAACCTTGGGGTAAAAAATCTTTCATAATATTCTCAGTATGATAAAACTGAATCAGTTATGAAACATTGCATTTTTCACCCTCTAACTCCATCTCTTCAGATTGAATTCAAACCTTGGCTTGGGTTGCAAAGGGCATCTTTCTATACATTCTCCACAAACCAGCCTCCCAAATGTATTTTTTTGGAGGCTGCTGCCTATTTTTATTTGAATCATGTCCACGTTTGCTGTTTGCAGACATCGCAGTGTACCTCCAGCTGGGAGAGCAGGCAAGCAGAACGACTAACCTTTTACTCCACGTCAATTTTTAATTTCATAAAACAAACCATCCATACACATCAAACGCTGGCATGATGGATACAATGTGTAAAGGTGTTGTTTCTTGCTTGTTTGGATGCGGCTGGATAGATGATTGCAGACTGCCAATTAAACCACTGTTTAGCTGGATAGGAGGCTTGATTGTCATACTCTCCAATTTCCAAAGTTTACATGGGAATAATACGAGATTAGATTTAAATCCCAGACACATCTGAAATTACTTTGAAATAACCCAAAACCGGAGAGTATAGAAAAAGATTAATTCACTAATCTTTTGTGTCTTTAGCTAAACACAGCCAGTGGCAATAGTAGCAGTAAAGGATGTCAATGAATGGATATCTCTTATTCAACAATTCATTAAATAACTGAGTCTATGAACCTGTTTTAAGAAACACTTACAGTTGTTGCATTTTATCCTGAAACTCGGTTTGAGATGATTTCTCCGCATACTCCACTCTGGAATGGAAAACAGTATTCTCTGCAATGTCTTGAAAGGAATTCAGGCTGGTCTTATCCTGTACAGAGGCATTGAAACTGATGGTTGTTCTCTCACGGGATGACCCATCAAAGGATGATACAGCACACTCCCTCTCTTCTGTGTTTAACAAGGCACTGAGGACTTGAGTCAAGAGTACAGCAGTAGAAAAAACAAAATGGACAGTAAATTGTAACATGTTTTGTCAGTTGCTTCAACTTTATTTAACTTAAGTCAACTTCTTGTGAAATGAGAATAATTAGCTACCTTGATTAAATCTTATAAATATAACATAATCACTTTAACAAAGTCTTTGAGTCTTTATGTGGAGTCCTGTAGCTCAGTGGTTAGAGCACTCGCTTTGCAAGCGAGAGACCTGAGTTCAATTCCAGGCAGGACGAAACCTTGGGCAAGTTTCCTTACTCCACACGCCTAATAATAATCCCTCCAAAACCAAAAAAAACAAAAAAAAATAATAAATTGGTCATTTTCAATCTACGACTGTTTGTGGGACATTGCTGTGCACAATTGGCTGCCGCGTTCGCCCACAAATATACAGTCAATTCACTTTACAGTGTGTTCTGTGAAGCGCTTTGGGACGTCCTCCCGATGTGAAAAGCGCTATATCAAATGCAAGGATTATTATTATTTATTATGTTGCCAAATTGTGAAAAATGTAATGATCCTGCCTTTTGCATCAACTCCTCAGACACTTGAATATAAGGAATATAAAGAATAATTTTAAACAAAAGCTAAAATACCACAGATGCTGGAAATGTGAAAAAACAGAAACGTCATCGACCTGAAACGTTAACTCACTTTCCTCTCTCCATAGATGCTGCCTGACCTGCTGAGTGTTCCCAGCAAGTTCTGTTTTTATTATTAAAGAATAATTTTGTCCACTTCATGGTAGTAGTAATAATAATAATTCTTGCATTTAATATAGCAACTTATCATGTCATTGAGATGACTCAAAGCCCTCCACACGATTGTAAAGTGTAGTGAATGTACATTTTGTAGGACAGCAATATCCCACAAGCAGCCATGAAGTGGGTGACCAAATTTATCTGGAGGATTGTTGGCCAGGACACCGAGAGAAACTCCCTTCTCTTTTTCGAATAGTGCCATAGAATATTTAATGTCCACCAGAACAGGCAGATGGGACCTCATTGAACATTGATATCATGGAAAATCCAGAGTAAACTTTGCCTGGACCTGTGTTTCTGCATATTAATAATGTTTGCTAAAAGGCTGATTTTTGACAAGCGATAGATCAATTGCAAAAACATCTGGAGGGGAAAATAAACATATAGAAACTGGCAGTCTGTAAGAGAAATACAAACTATACCGCTACAGTGGGTATTATTTCAAATAAGTAGTAATATGTTTTTCAATCAACGATGACAAAATTTACCCAGAATAATGACCTCAGTTTTAAAAGATGTACAATAGCTTTAAGGTCAGAAATGATATTACGAAACCCTCAGTGAATGGAAAAATATTACTAATAAAGAGGGAACAGGGAAGAAAGACAGGATGAATTGTTTGAATTGGAAGCAAAGTGCAGAAGCTGGAGCAGGGTCAGGAAGCAAAGAGTAGAGGCAGAAAGAAAAACAAAATGTTATTATGAGTTTTATTCATCCTTGCTACTGGAAATCCTTTTGAAAACAGACTTATATTGTATTATCAAGTTTGCTATTAACCATTTCAACTTCCAATGAACACATCAAAAAAAATCTGTGCTTTAGAATTCAGTGACAAATAACTATTATTTTATTTTCTATATAAATGATCCCAAGTGTAGTTTATTTCCAAACATCCTAGTGTTACAATGTTACAATATTGAATGATTGAGCAGCATTTTGAGCTTGTATTGTCTGACGTTTGGTTTGTTTTCCTCTGGAAGGCACCTTTTGACAGTGGATTTAATTTGTGGTGATTTGTAAAAGGCTTCAAATAGAAGCCTACAGGAATCTGATGTGTCTCGGGTCAACATGCTGGAACTGATTGTGGACAGCGATCTCATTCCAATTTCTGTGAGGTCGGATTGCAGGCAAAGGAGGCTTTTGGTAAGAATTTGGCTGAGATCAGCAACTAAACAGAATTCAGGCATGTTGGTATAAACCACATCTAGCTTCCTACAGGATTGTGCATTTATGAATTCCACCAATTAGACCTTAGTGCCAGGGAGATTACTCACTGGAACAAGTGGCCATAACATCCTGAAGTAGGAGGGGGAAGACGGTTTTGGCTCCTCAGTCTCCCATCATACCTCAGCCAAAGTAAAGGCTGCTCAAGAATTGAATGCCTTGTGCTAGCTCAGTGGTACTCAACACTATCTACACTACAGCATCATCCAGGGCCATCTCAAAGGAGCCTGACTTGATTAAGAATCGCTTTCACCAAGCACCAGATCAAAGCAGTTTCGGAAGCCAGGTTTGCATGTTAGTTTGAACCGTTTGTTCCATAATCTATTGATTGTGAGTTGGTTTGTATTGTAGGGAGGTAGGATCTGCTTGGCTTCTTTCTTTACTTCCTTCTCTTCAACCATGCCTTCAGCTTCCCGCTCGACTCTCTACCCCCTCCTCGCTCCCTCCCTCCCTTCCCTCCCTCACCCTGACCATTTCCCCCTTGCTCAGGTCCCGACCCAACTGTCCAGCGCCTTGGGATGTCCTTCCGACGTGAAAGGTGTTCTATAAATGAAATGTTGTTGTTGTTGTTTGCTGTCTCCATTGATCCTAAGAGGTGATGGCAGGCTCTTTCTCCACCGAAGACATCAATGACTGCTCTCATACCACATTCAGATGCCCTGCAGCAACAGTATTACACTTCCAATGCCATTTTAATTCCAAGTAGCAAGCTATAAGTCTGTTGTATGCAATTAAAGTAACAATGAAGGTTTTTGTTCAGCAGTTTAAGAAAAAGTTATAAAGAATTTTGCAATTTATATCTGAACGCAATGTTAAAATGTTGCTGTTAGACAGTTATTATTGGAGGCTGAGCTGACTGAGTGCTGAATTTTCAAAGACTCAGTGAAACATCACAAATGATGAATATTATACAATGGTAAGTACATGCTGTAATTAAAAGCGATTACTCCCAATGGAGGAATATAGCGTTTACAATCGATTTAGTCTTGCCTTTTGATCTAAACGCAACTTCAAATAAACACAGAAAAGTATAATAAATTACAAAGTCAAAGTCCTGGACTTATATCTTACTTGCTTTCATTGACAATAAATGATCTGTGATTACAGTAAGCAGTTAGCATTCGGGGAGGCTTGCTTGGCAGATCCTTCCTCTAGGCACTACTAATATGGCTCTGTGCCATTGTATACTCCTACCTGTCAAGAATTCATTTAGGATACGCTGACTGCTACTGGCCATGGAGCAAACTTGGCCTAAGATGTCCACATCTGGGCTGTATCTCACCATTGCAATCTCTTGAAATGCTTGAGCAGCAGAGATCATTTCTGTAATGATTCACAGGTTATATTATTAATGGTTTTGTTTGATATTTTCTGTAATCTTTACAGTAGTATAACCTCTCCTACACAAACTGCTTTTGCCCACATATTAACTGAGAGATTTATCTAAAAACTTGTTACAAAACAGATAGGGAATGTATCACACTTAAAATGAATCATCATACCTCAGGGATTAATACACATGGGCACGACGTGTCTCGGTCTACATGATTTAAATATAGAATACAAAAAAATGAGAAGGAGTTGCAATCACAGTTAAGTGGTCCAGGGGAAGTTATTGGTAGGGAGAGCAAAGCACAAGTTGTTTATACATACATATATATGTTTGCAATACATATATATTAACAGGATCTTGTGATTGAAGTAGAGTCACTAATATGGCGAGTTGCACCATTCTGGGGGGAATTTAACCTAACAACATAGTGGATATCCTGAGAACTGAACCATCTATTTGTATGCTTCCTTGTCTGCTTCAGTTTAGTTGTAGAGAAAAAGACATAAGATCAACCAGTAATCTTTTTTATCTCAATGGATGGGTGGGTATTTTATATTATAAATAAGAAATTGTATTCTTGTCAAATGTATATTTTTTATGCACAATATACTATTTTAATTTAAAAATTGCGTATCATGCAGAACGATCATTGAGTCAGCAGTTGCAAGTTTAAGAGAATGCAATTGATGCAATAGAGTATTGCTCCAAAGAGTATTGTGTGGAAGAGTCTCAAAGCAAACAACAATACAAACATAAGTTACAAGATTTGGGCCATTGTAATGTTTGTTTAGTTGATAGCTTACCACTTTATCCACCATACTACATGGAATGTTTTATAATTATGAGTTGCAACAAGTAACACAATGATTGGTGTTACTCACTCATGAAGCATCTTAATCCACAATGTATTAAAGAAACTACTGTTCGTTGTCACTAACGTTTTGAAAGCAGTGTTGAAAGAGCCATTATAAAGTGTGCATTCACAAGCTTAAACATTCAGAAACATAGATAACCACCTCAATTTTTCATGTTAGTTTCACTAACTGCACGTAGATACATTTGTTCCATCTAAAGATTAGATAAGTGCACGGAAGACCCTATATTAATCCAGTATATTGGTTACAATAAACTGTTTTGAAAATGATACGCTGTCAAATTATAAAAGCCTGTAGTGTTTGCAGAAAATAATTACAACGTGATACTGTGCACTGGACAACATTTACCCTTTTCAAACAATATTTTGCTGACGTAATCTTTAAACTCGATAATCTTCGAGTACAGTTTGATGTATTCCTCAGTCAGTGGGTGAAAGGTAAGGTCTGAAGCTGTTAGCTCAGTGTTAGGCACGTGTTGCATTGTCGTGGTTCTCCCTGGTCCACTGTGTTCAGCACAGTCTGTAAACAGAAAGTTAATCATGTGAGATTGCTTAAAGGTTTCCTTCTCATTAATACAAGGAACACATTAAATTTGTTCCTAATACCATCTTGACTAATGAAGACTTTACCTACACATATTTTGAGGTGTTTATAATAATAATCCTTGGATCTGGTAAAGCATCTTATCACCACATCCAAACCTCTCAAAGCGCCTCACAGGACTTACTGTTAAGTGAAATGACTGTCTATTTGTAGGTGAACGACGCAGCCAAATAGACACAGAAATGTCCCATAAGCAGCCATAAAGTGAAGTCTAATGTTTACAATGGTTTGTTCCTGGTCACCAATTTCTCACAGCTGGCTTGTCTGATCATCTGGCCCACTTAGGGTTAAGAAACTGACTTTATGTTGTAAATTTCCTGGTTTTACGTCCACATTAAGAGGTTTAACTTGGAGGAGAATCCCTGAGGTAAAACTCCTCATATGGTCTCAATCTACATCAGAAAACTGACTGTATCAGGTTGGTTTCTTGTTTTTTTAGAAAAACAGCAAATAGCAAGCTGAACGGGAGTATCTGGTTGCAGGGAATTTGAGGATGGGAACAGCAGTATTTATGGGATTCCTTAAAGAGATCCTCATTCTAATTAAGATAAGGAACACATAAGGAATAAGGATAAGGAATACTGCAAATTCTGCCCAGGAAAGGTTATTACTAAATAAATCCTTTTAATAAATGTGCATATAAAAGAGATGCACTGCGTTATTCAAATAGATTTTCATGTTATGACAGTTAGGGGATTCAATTAGGTGAAATTTCAAAAAACACAATTTTTATTATGTATGGGTGAAAATTTCCAAATTGTTTGACCGCCCACTTAGCAGTAGTGAGCCAAGAATACAAGTTGCGCTTCCCACTCTTTTATAAAATTGCAAATATTAGATTCCTCCCTCCTCATTCAATGTCATAAACACCTCAAATGATAATGCCACAGGGGCATTGCATACATACACTGCTAAGTGCTCTGAGATGCCATCCGGTGTGAAGGGCGCTATACAAATGCAAGTTCTTGTTGTTGCAATTTTTTAAAATATGTTTTCAAGGACCCAAATGCAGAACATTTTGTTGTTGATAGCAATTGACTTTATGGTGAGAATGGGATGGTGAGAATGTGGAACTCACTGCCGGAAACTATGGTTGAAGTAAAAAGAATCAATGTATTCAAGAGAAAAACTTAATGTGTATATGAGGGAGAAGGGAATAGAGGTGTATAAGTGAGAGGAATAGTGATGGTGGGGGGCTTGGTGTGGAGTATAAACACTGTCATGGACTAGTTGGGCTGAATGACTTGATTCCATGCTGTATCTCTATGTAACTCTATGAAATGCTTTGTAATAAATGGTTACTTACAATCAAAACACTGCCTACTACAGTTCATAACACTGGTTTGCCTGCAATACACAAGACTGATGTTTACATAGATTTGATTTCCTTCTGTAGGATCATAATTATTATTACTTGAGATTCAACATTATAGAATATCTAGAGTTGATATCGCAGAATTCACTGTTCGTGTACGACAGCAAGAGTAAAGATCGTAAAAATTTCCTGCTAGTATTGTGATATCATCACCAGCATTCCAGCATCTTGTTACAGGCAGTTTCATACAGTGGGAGTTAATCCATGTTATCAAAACAATTTTCAGTACTTAAGATAAGAGGTGCGTGGTGAGATACGTATATTAAAAATATTTTAAAAAAAACACTACTGGAATGCCTCCAGTCATCAGGAAGCTTCTCACAACAAATAATGTTAATAAAGGTTCATTTGCCAATGCCCCATCATCTATTCATGCATACACTTTATGCCAATAACAATTACTGGCATGTTACCTTCAAAGGAAAGGAAGTAAAAAACCATGAATGTTGGAAATACAAAATCATAAATGTACAGATAGCAAGATCTCTTTTGATTTTTCAGAAAGGGAGATGCATAAGAATTCTATGTGGTATATAAGTTTATTTAAAAATTCACATCCAGTGATTATCTTCCTTGGGGAAGTGGGGTCTCTCTGGAGCTGAGTTGATTTTCTCCATGGCCACATGCCTGAATTGAATTGATTCTCTATGGTGGTCTCTGAAGTCCCATTCCCTGAGTCAGCAGATCCACAGTAATTAAGGCACTGCTGGTGACAAACCAGCCAAGCGTTGCTCTTCAGCAGGAATTGGAGAAGTGGATGAGTCACTTGGGACAGGGATTCTTCCAATTGGGTCCTGTTAGCCCTACAAGCCAGAGTCCTAATGGGCAGAGTTGTCCTTGGTGGACAAGCGGTGGCAAGATTACCTTAGCTGGTTAAATTCCAATACGTACACTGGGGTTCCCAAACCTTGGCTCTTGCCAACCTGCATCTAATACTTTCCTGGATTAGGTGTGCAGGGTACATTCCCCCTTAACTCTGTGCAGAGAATGCACATTTTATTCCAGGTACAATCAAATTCCCATAGTTCAGTTTGGTTACTCTTATTCTTAGGTAATTTGGTACAGTGGAGTACAGTGGTACAGTGGAGTCCTGTAGCTCAGTGGTTAGAGCACTCGCTTTGCAAGTGAGAGACCTGAGTTCAATTCCAGGCAGGGCGAAACCTTGGGCAAGTTTCCTTACTCCACACGCCTAATAATAATCCCTTCAAAACCAAAACAATAATTAATTGGTCATTTTCAATCTACGACTGTTTGTGGGACATTGCTGTGCGCAATTGGCTGCCGCGTTCGCCCACAAATATACAGTCAATTCACTTTACAGTGTGTTCTGTGAAGCGCTTTGGGACGTCCTCCTGACGTGAAAAGCGCTATATCAAATGCAAGGATTATTATTATTATTAATTTCCTGGCTCAGTTGCTGGCACTCACAGACTTCTGAGTAAGAGGGTTCAAACGCTACATTGGGATTTTGAACTCCCAGTCTAGGCTGACACTCCAATAAAGTGCTGCATTGTTGGAGGTGCCGTCCTTTGGATAAGACACTAAACCAATGTCCCATCTGCCTGCAGAGATCTCATCCGCCTGTTCAGGTGGGCATTAAAGATATCTTGGTAGTATTTAAAAAGAGAATGGAAGTTCACCCATTGTCCTGGCAAACAGTCATTAAGATAAAATTGGGCATTGCTGTGCGAACGTTTAGGTGTTTTGCCTACAAAGTATACAGTCACTACAGTTCGTCCTGGCAGGAATGTCAAATAAAAGGAATATTCCTTCTTTTTCTTCTTAATCATACCGTGTGTTTCTGTGCTTACCAGATGACACACAAAAAGCAATCACCATCACATTATTCCTCCTCATTCATTATACTATACTTGCAACAGTAACACATGAGGAATGAATGAAAAGCAGCGCATAGTCGAGCACAATCTCTGCAAAGTGTCCATCATTTTCAGCAGAGATGTCTCTAGGCAGTAGTGCTTGGTTACATTTCAAGTAGTAGCAGGTCACCAGATACTTTGTTTTGGAGTTTCATCTGACTGTGGTGAACGCACATAATAGCTACAGCTTCAATGGAATGTCTTAGTGATTCAAATTGCTACTATACATCTTACTTAGGTTAAATACATTGTGAAAGGTCGATGCAGTGAAAATTGTAATGATGTGTAGGCAGGAGCGGGATTAATGGACTGCGTGGTCTTTTCTCAGTCTCCTGTTCTCTCCTTATCGTACATTCTTATAACCAAGATACAGTTGACGAGTGAATGAACTTTGTACATTGAAACCCTCAATATGTTTTTCTCCTATGACACAAACAGCAGCGACAAGAGTCTGGCACTGTTAGTACTATAAAATCACTGACACAGTGGAATGAATGTCTTCTCTTAAACATCCTGAGGAGCAACATAAAGCTATCATCAATTCCAGAGGAACTCAGGCAGCAACTAAGGCAGGAACTTGAGATATAGACAAATAGAATTCTACGACATTCACCAAAGTATGAGACAATTGTAAAAGTTTTCTAAGATAGCAACTTAAATCTATGGTGGCCATCAGTTTCAGGGAGGAAAATTATATAAATTTATGTTGTCCCCATATCACAGGGCTGGATATGAATGATGGTCAAATCTCCCAGTGTCATTTCACACACCACCAAGAGATTACAGAATTTCCCCACAAATAGGAGTACATAATTGAAAACGGACATTAAACATATCTCAACAGAATTATTCCTCCGCATCGAGCTGATTTTGTGATAGGCTAGTACAATATTTGGACTATTTGCTTAGTAGGGTTGCAAAAATATAGCATGTCATATGATTTCAGTGCACCGAGATGTTATCCTAGGTGAAGAATATTATTTAAAGATGTTATATAAATATAATATAAATGCAATATGTTGTTGTGGTATCGCATATTACATTTCAGCACTCCTATATCCCAATCTTGGCACCAGTATACAAAGATTTTCATCTGTACATGTTTTGTGCAAAAGGTTTGCAAGGAGCTAACAATTTATCAGTGACCCGAATGAGTAACCACAGAGAGACTAATCTGCTTTTTCCATCAGCTCTGCTGTTAGCTGTTGACTGCTCTACGCTTGTATCAGAATGTTTTTTTTGGACAGACCTTTACTTTGGCTGAGAGGTTGAGGCTTTCAGAAGACTAGGTTTGGATGCCAGAATTTCTAGCCAAGTGTAGGGAGTAATAAGAATTAATCTCTTTGCTAATTTCCAGTTATCACTTTGGAGATTAGCATGAATGGTGAAGACGTGTAGAAAATTCCTGTACCAGTAGACATAGAACTCTGCTTGTGCTGGGTCACAGCAACCTGAAATACTGGGGCAGATGTGATTGGTAGATTGTTTGAAATGAATATGATCTGCAGTCATTCATATTGGTGGCAAATTAAATGGAGCACTTTGCTGTGAAGAGTATGTGAGAGCAGTATTATCATATACCTGTTACCACTTTTCTCATACATTACACTTTGCATTCTGCATGTACTTAGGCATGGGGGAGCTTGGAATTCTGTTCCTTGTTTGTTTATAATATTCATAAAATAATAATACAACAACAAAATTACATTTATAGAGTGCCTTTCACATCAGAAGGGTGTCCCAAAGTGCTTCACAGGACATACTATACAGTGGGGTGACTGTGTATTTTGTGGGCGAACATGGCAGCCAATGTTGTGCACAGCAGTGTCCCATGAATAGCCATATAGTGAATCACCAATTTTATTTGGAAGATTGTTGACCAAGATACTGGGAGGAGCTTCCTCTTCTTGAATAGTGCGATGGGATCTTTAATATCCACCTGAACAGGCAGACGGGGCTTTGGTTTAATACCTCAGCTGAAGGATGGCATCTCCAACAATATATCTCCAACCCCACCACTGCATTGGGAGTGCAATGACTATACAATTCTAAGTCTTGATATAGGGTTGAATCCACAACCTTCTGACTTAGAAGTAAGAGTGTTACTAACTGAGCCAGACTGACACACAATATGTGACCAATGTAATGCATTGTACATCAGAGCAAACTGTTTTAAAAATGGTGTAGCTACAAGTGCTGTCATGTTGCCCCGAGCTTCAAGATGTTTATGTGGCAGATGGACTACTGTAGGGCTTATGTGACAGTTGGATCCAGCTGCATGCTAATTCCTCAGTTATGCATTTTGATATTTGGGATGAAAAACTGCTGTGTTCCTGGCACCTCTCATTGTAAAATGCCTTACAGTGTGAAAACTGTGTTTTCTGCAGGGAAGGAATGTCATTCAACATGTGAGCCTTTTCTCCCCTGATGCGATCTCTGGTCACAGTGAGGTCTTGCGAGTTGGCAGGACGTACAGGAGATTCCCACAGAAAATAGAGTTTACATTCTGCAGTGGTTTTTCCAGTGCCTTTGTTTAGCATTTCACACACTTCCTCAATCCCAATTGTCATTTTCCTTGACAACATTGATAATATTATAGAATATATACAGCACAGTAAGAGGCCATTCAGCCCCTTATGTCCGTGCTGTTGTTGCTTTCCCACTGGAGCTCCCTAATTCCATTCCCCTGCTCTGTCCCTACACTCACGAACTTTATCTTCATTTAATTTCACATGCTCTTTCTGACTCAGCTATGCCAGCCATTGAATATCATTCCATTATCTAACAAGCCTCTGTGGGTATAAAAAAATGCTTCCATCTTCTAACCTCCCATTTCATGTTCTGGGAAATGCCTGTGACATTTTCAGTCTTGTCTCCAATGACTTTGCTTGTGGATAGCACAATACTTTGGTTTTGCACTTTGTCTTTTCAGTGCAGATACTGAGCTCAATAAACTTGATACTTTAGCCGTGTTTTTTTTGTAGATCTTCAATATTTTTTTCTATTGTTGCCATCAGGAGACTCCGACGCTGAGGAAGATATCAATTACCTTCTCGTTACATTTCATCAAATGCTTCATAGCTAAAGTGATCTAACATTCTTTTTCCAAGTATTCAGTCAATATTGAAAGACCATAATAGTGGAAACCACACACAAGCCTGTATCACACACAGCTGTCTCCAGAATCACCACACAGGAACATGCTTTCCCATTTGTTACACAACATCTTGTGTTTTCCATGATCCTTATTTTTTGTGGCTACTCAATAGGCTCTTTAACTTTGTTGGATTTCTGTATGAGACAAGATTGTTTTAGTCAAGGATGTGATTTTTCTTAGTATAACATATTTCGATAGATTTTTGATAGGTAAGGGTATCAAGGAATATGGAACAAAGGCAGGAAAATGGAGTTGAGGTACAGATCAGCCATCATCTACTAGAATGGCAGAACAAGCTCAAAAGGCTGAATGGCCTACTCCTGTTCCTCTGTTCCTTTTTTCTTTACTAGGCCACCGCACTTGAGGAGTTGTTCACGTTCAGTATCTTACGCAAAAACAGACCACAGTGATACTGGATAATTTTGTTTTTAATGTGGGGGAATACTTAGCCTCTGCTTCCCTTTTGCTCATGGTGGGCAAATGAGGTCAGGAAATTATTGTGTGCAATAATTATTATGTAGACAAGTATCCTAGCATGCAGTGGGATTGTGCATTGGATACCAGCATGAATCTAGCACACCCACAAAAAATTTAAACACTTCTGGGTTGGTTACACAAAGCATCATATCTCCAGTGTAAAGTGACGGTCTAATCCAAAACAAAAAGAACAATAATCCATGTGGTGCGGGCTGGCATGAGGAAACTGGGGTTCCTTGGAGAAGAAATATAATCCATCCTGAGGGACTTTTTCTTGCATTGAGTTGCCATTTATTGAAGTCTTTGAAGCCATGTCCACTGTATCATAATTTTGACTTGTGAATCACATTCTTCTGATTAGCATGATACTGGCTACTTCTAATTTGTTTAGTAAACAGCTGGTACCCTATCATCGGGGGCTTGCAATGGGATAAATATAATAATAATAATAATAATCCTTGCATTTGATATAGCGCTTTTCACGTCGGGAGGACATCCCAAAGCACTTCACAGAATATACTGTAAAGTGAATTGACTGTATATTTGTGGGCAAGCGCGGCAGCCAATTGCGCACAGCAATGTCCCACAAACAGTCGTAGATTGTAAAAGACCAATTTATTATTGTTTGGGGTTTTTGGAGGGATTTTTATTAGGCGTGTGGAGTAAGGAAACTTGCCCAAGGTTTCGCCCTGCCTGGAATTGAACTCAGGTCTCTCACTTGCAAAGCGAGTGCTCTAACCACTGAGCGACAGGACTCCACAATATGAAACATACCCCCACTAAATTGACCTAATTGTACACTGGAACAATATTCTCCCTCTATAACTGGAGCGTGATCCGCACTGGAGCCTTGCTCATGACACCAGCTGAAAGAACAATAAGATTCATGCCCAAACAGTATCAATGTACCAGGCTCACTACCCTGAGGGCACTTCAAATCTCTTGAGCTGTCTCTTCGACAGCCTGGAATTTTAGTGATGGGTTTTGACTTTATTAAAGACTCAATTGTAAGAAGGACTCCTTATAAATGCTAAGAAAACATGTAGCTTTGGTGTTCATATACCAAGGAATTTGTGCTGAGAACGCAAAAACTATATTATTTTCAGCCCAATTCAAATGACACAGAGCCAACAAGGTAAACCTGACTTCCTGTTCCATATCACTGTGCTGTTAGGAGGGAATTTGTTTCATCCCTGAGAGTATAACTGTAGCAAATGATTCTTACCTCAGCTCTGTTCTTCGTCAAAGGAGACTAGGCTATGACTTGGCACTTAATCCAGCCATGAAAAGCGTAACCAGAAAATAGCACACAGAAATCCCATTAACACCCTTTTTTCTTCAACAAGATACTGAGACAGCATGTGTGAGATTCCCCTGCAGCAATCATTGGGGATAAATTCTACCTACCAATCTGAGGTGAGGACCTTGCAGTAAACGTTTCCTCTGTTGGGTCTTCATGCTCATCTTCATCCCCATTCAAAGTAGCATGCGAGACAGCTCTGGCTTGTTCTTCAATAATCTCATCTAGATCTGCATAGTCACTAATTTCACCTGAATCACCCGCATCAGACTGCGATTTGAACAAACAAAACAAAAACATTTCACCAGTAAGGGAAGATTAATCTTCAAATACGCAGTCATTACACTTCACAGTAAAACCCTGTGAAGTGCTTGAGATGTCAATCACATGATAAAGTACTATATCAAATGCAAGGATTATTATATCAATAACTATAAAAATATAATCTACATTGACACTCAGGCCACATACAGTAAAAGTTCTGTAGTGCACAGACAATTCAGCAGATAGCAGGATTCAAAGTTATAATAATAATTCTTAGATTTGGTATAATGCCTTTTATGTCAGAAATACATCCCAAAATGCTTCACAAGTTATACTGTAAAGTGGAATGATTGTGTGTTTTTGTGGGCAAATGCAGCAGCCAATTTTGCGCACAGAAACAGTCATGAAGTGAATGACCAATTTTATTTTGGGGCATTGTTGACAAGAACAGTGGACGATTCTCCTTCTCTTTTCAAATAGTTCCATGGGATCTTTAAAGTTCAACTGAACAGGCAGACAGGCCTCAGTTTAATGTCTATTCTGAACAGTGGCACCTCCAATAATGCAGCACACTTCCAGGACTGCATTGAAGCATCAGGTTAGACTCTACGAATTCTAAGTCCCAACATGGATCTTGAACCCACAACCTTCTGCTCCGAGGCGAGAGTGCTACCAACTGAGTCAGGTTGACAAGTTGTATCTGTAAGGCTTAGAATTTAATCAAATGGTAACTTTACCCACTGGGCCATTGTAGAACTCATCAGGAATATTTTAAACTGCAGAAATTACTCCCCCATGGCCTCTACATAATGGTGCCTCCTGAGGGAATGCTCACATTGAAAACACTACCCTGGTGGTAATAATCAGCTTTGAGTGTAACAGAAGAGGATACCTTGTGAATTAAGTCAGTGTTCTCTAATGCTGCACTGAATTTCTGTTTCAGTTGAAGTTGATTTTCTAAAGGTTGATTTTCCAAACCATCAGAGCACAGCTGGTGAATGTTCCAATTGTAAATTATTTAAGATGTTCTATTTTATTGAAGTTTACAAGGCATTAAAACCTTAACAACAACAACATAACAATTATTTTAAGAATTGCAGACAGATGACTTCAATGTTAAAACTGAATAAACTATTTGGCAAATTCTGGACACTAAAATTTTACAGAAAATCAAAACGAAGGTGAAATTTCTCCCCAGTGTGTTGTCACACTCTTACACTGCATCAGTGTGAATGTTTCCATATCCCACACCAGCCATCCCTTGGATTATCAATCTAAAATCACTTTCTGCTCTGTGTGAGGAGCCATGCATACTAAGAAGTAGGTTAGGCTTAGTTCAAGTGTATTTCAGAACCTTACAGCCATCAGTCATCGCTGGATTGAAACACATTCCAGAGGTCAAAAGTGAACGTTCCAATCCAGTGCACCACAAGGTATCTAAGTATATACTACACTTGTTACGTAGACACTCAGAAGAAGTATCCTGTACATGTATTTTTTAAAAATTAACTCTTCCCCTTGTTCATGCTAATGGACACCATGCATCGCAATTCAGTGGTCTATCCACAATACAGTCAAGTACGAGTAATGGCAACAATTCACATCTTTGCAATTGCTGGCCTGTTAATTGTTCATCTAAATGGCTGAATTTAACACCTTATTATTGACAAACCATCAGAGGACAGTTGGTGTATGTGTCAAGTTTAAATTATTTAAGCTGTTTAAACTGTTCTATCCTATTACAAGGCATTAAAATCTTAACAACAACAATGTACATTTATACGGTGCCCTTCATATTGGGAGGATGTCCCAAGGCCCTGAACAACTTGCATTTGCATTTAACGTTTAATATTACAGATTTTGCAGAATACCCTTTATAGTGCAACTTCACTAGATAGCAGTTTAATGCAATTAAGTCAGGGACAACAATCAAGACCCACTGCCTGGAATCCAAACTGGGGGCAGAACATTTTGGAATCCTCTTTGGTTTCAAAATTGTGACAGAATTTTAAAAAGGCTATCTGTGCTACACTTTTCCTCATTGGACATTCACTGCCTGGCTGTTTGAGGGAAGTTGCTATGCTAAAATTAGATGCTGCTTTCACCTACAGATACACAGTCACTACACTTTACAGAAACTCTCTATGAAGCACTTTGCGATTTTTCAGCATTATAGTCAATATATCAAATGCAAAGATTATTATTATTTATTGTTAGAATAAAAGGCAACCTTCCAGTTGATAGACTGGAAAGTGAGGTTCAGGCTCCGACAGTCAATCAGGCTGCTTTTTCCTGCTGGTCCTGTGGAGGGGTTGGGGGAGGATCTAAACAGGCTGTTCAATCAGGTGAAAACCTTTGCATCCAATCCCTAATACAGTACAGATATGAGCAGGCTTGCAAATTATGTCATTTTTATTGCCTATAAGCAGCAGTCCTAACATGGTCTGAATGTTGACAGCTCTGGATCACACAATAAATGTAATTTTGCACAGACCCACAAGCAACATTTGACAATGTACCTGTCAAACTCCTTCCAAGTGACATTAATGATAAATCACAGTGGAACTGCTCTGTGTGCTACCATCGTTACCATTGCTGGACATATCAGCAGCAAATGCTTTGAGCATAGTAGCACTGCAACAGGAGCTTCCAGCTCGAACCAATAAATCAACAGCCTAAGGGTTTTAAAAAGATCAAGAGGACGCTGGTAGATAAAGCTAAAATTTAATAATCATCTTCCTTTATGTTCTTTCTTTCACATCATTCTCCAGTTGAAAGGGCACCTGAATAATCTGAGCTGCAGCTTGCTCCACAGTCTTCAAGCACAAGACAAAGTTTAAGCACAGAGAAATGGGCACTGCCATGCTTTTCTTCTCCTGACATGAAACAGCCTTTTCCTGCATAGGTCCATGGCCTGAAGATTTGGCAAAACCAGATTGAACTGATCCAACTGAGACATGGAGATTGGAGGAGCAAGTGGCTGGATTGGAGATTGTGGGTTAATTGGATAGATTTCATTTTGCGCAGAAACTTCCAAGTTTGAATAAAGCAATATTAAGCAGGCGCACAAAAAATTCCACGTATACAGTATCTCAGGAGTTTAATGTGGACAATTTAATTGTTTTGCCTTTTAAGAGTGAACAGATCTTCACTGGAAACTTGCTGGTTCAGCAAATGGCATTAATATGGACTATTTCTTGTGAAATTCTTCAATGATGAAACTGCTGATGCATCTTGAGGATTTGATGAAAGTCTGATCTGGTGCTAACAACTTCAACAGTAGGGTTCCCATGGGTTGACCTGATGTACATGATGTACAATCAGTTACTTGGAAGGAATCGGCATTTGGATTGCTTATTACAAAATCCCAACAGGAATCACTGCAGGTCGAACAGTACCAGGACTGATAGGGCATTGGTTTATTCCCAGGCATGATTAATTCTTCTTCCCAGTCAGATCCTAAAGATGAAGAGCAGACCAAAGGGAAGGGAATAATACTGCACACTACTTCTAGACAAACTATTTCTAGAAGACCTGCAAGATGATTAAAAATAGCCTTATAAACCGAGGAAAGCTAAACTTGAACAGGTCTTTCACACAAAAACAAATAAGGCAGATTACATCTCATCTGAAGCTAGTTTCCTTTTTCATCCATCCTTCAGAAGAGACGTTAATCTTCAGTCCTGGTTGCTTATTCTTCAGGTAACCGTGGAACATCAAATAGCACTATCAAATAGTGTCCCTATGTCAAGGCCAATAATCTTCCAATTAAAATTGTTTTTTCAACGCCTGGTTGTTGATTGGACCTCGCTGTGTACAATATGACTGCTGTTTGTCTATAAAATCAGCCACTACACTTGACAGTAATAGCTTTATAATAATCCTTGCATTTGATATAGCGCTTTTCACGTCGGGAGGACGTCCCAAAGTGCTTCTCAGAACACACTATAAAGTGAATTGACGGTATATTTGTGGGCGAACGTGGCAGCCAATTGCGCACAGCAATGTCCCACAAACAGTCGTGGATTGAAAACCTTTAAGAAGGTTTGGCATGTTTTGACATGATAAGTCACTGTAGAAATGCAAGTTCTTTTTTCTTCTTTCTTTTATTGCACATAGCAAATAACTTCTTTCTGTGTATGTGCCTGACTCAGCTGCTAGCACTCTTGTCTCTGAGTCAGAAGGTCGTGGGTTCAAGTGCCACATTGTGACTTTGAGCTCATAGTCTAGGCAGAAACTCTAGTACAATGTTACATTTGTCAGAAATGCTGATCTTTGATTGAGACATTCAGCCAAGATCTCATGTGCCTGTTCAGGTGGATGTTAAAGATCCCATGGCACGATTCGAAAAGAAATGGGAGTTTCTCCTGGTGTCTTGGCCTGCAATTCCCCCACATAAAATTGGTCATTTACTATTTGTGGGACATTGCTGTGCTTAAATTGGCTTCTGCATTCACCTACACAATTGTAGTCAATCCACTTTACAATATATCCTGTGAAGTATTTGAGATGAGGACAACATCATGCAAGTAAAGATTAGTATTACATAAAATAAAATACTTCTTTCACCTATTCTCTAATTTAATTTTTTTTAAGGTTAAATATAAAATTTACAAGCGAGACAATGACATGAAGTTAATGGAGATACTGATGTTCTCTGTATAAAAGTCACACATTCCTACCAGGTGAAATGATACAATTTCCAGATTTTCCCAACGTCAGTGTCACACAATTTAATATTATTAACCGCCCAGTTAGCCGGGAGTGTACTTGTACAGTTTCTCCCAGGCTTTTGGCTGGATAACATAGAACTGAAATGCATCTTACGTTCTCTCTGGGGCCAACTAGATGTTACTCGGCTTTAAAAGATAAAGGAGAAAAATGACAAGAAGACGAGTGTTCATTACCTTGACAGTGTGCAATGACTGCACTGATTCGTCATCTGCCAAAGAGTGTACACTGGCTTCTGTCTCATCTGGGGACCTCTGTACACAAAGTGATTGATCATATTAACTCAAAATATCCATCCCACCCAGATCATTTACCCAAAGTAGCTTGTTAGTTCAGTACAGAAATTATTATTCTGACAGAAATGCATGACATATTAAAACTCCTATTAAAACAGCAAGTTAGCAATGAGCAGAATTTGACCTTAAGGGAAATCTGCACCCATCATGTAAACTGATCCTCAATTACGGTTTGCTACAACTATCCCCTCGGGAGAAGTCGTCCTGAAATATTTTCTCCATGTAATGTATTGCTGAATGCATCTACCGCCAGTGAGGCTGGAGACAATCTGATGTTCAAGCACATGATCATAAATATTTTTGAATAACCATTGATTTGTGTTAAATCTACAAAGAAAGTCAATTTAAAAAGCATTAGAAAGTGCCATTCCAATGAATCACGCTTCCATTTCTGATGTACACTTCCACAATTTTATGCTGCCGTAAATAACAGATGTCATCAAGATTAGATTTGTTTCAAGCTGCCTGTCATTATTATTTTACCTCATGGTTATCAAAAAAAAACACATGTAAAAAACACGATACTGTGCAGCAGTTGACTGTTGAGAATCTCAGGTGATGTAACAACAAAGACTCTTAAGTTTAAAATCAGCTGTTGTGAAGAAGCAACAATATAATCTGTAAGAAACAACTGTATCTTTACCATTTAAAGAAAGGCCTCTTTAGATAAATGTTGCCACGTACCAAAATCTTATGCCCTTGGCTGAGATCCCTTTGCAGCTTCAGAATGTCTTTGCTGATGTCCGTGGGCACTGGAAGTCTCCGCAGCTCTTCAAGTTGTTCAATAAGGGCATTTCTTTCCTGCAACATAGAAATGCCCCGTTCAGTCTTATAGAAATCTACACAGTACCACTACAGTCTCGACAGAGGTTGGCAACTCTACCAGCAAGTGTCTTTGAGTAATTATTCTTTATGAACCCATGTCCCATTTCTGTGCAGCATATGCCCTGGTCAATGCATTGTAGGCGGGACATTGGTAGTTACCGATCTTTGACAGTATAAACATAAAATGGGAATTTCCCATTACTGTATAAATGTACACCTCCATTTGTTTAGCAACAATAACAACTTGCATTTATATAGTGCCCCTCACACAGAATAGCGCCCCAAAGGGCTTGACAATGGTGGAGCACGACGCCTTATCTCTTCACTGAGACATCTCAAGGAGCTTCACAGGATATACTGTAAAGTGATGTGACTGTATGTATTTTGTGGGCCAACATGGCACCTAATTTGCGCACAGCAATGTCCCACAAACAGCCAAGGAATGAATGATCAATTGCAATACAATACAAATTTACATTTATATTGCACTTTTCACATCAGGAAGGACAATCCAGGGTGCTTCTTAGAATTTAATGCAAGATGTAGTGACTGTGTTTTGTTGGTGAACATGGCAGCCAATATGCACATGGCATCACCCCACAAACAATTATGAAGTGAATGACTAATTCCATTTGAAGGATTGTTAGCCAGGACACTGTTTTCCTTTTAAACAGTGCGATGGAAACTTTAACATCCACTTGATCAAATAGATGAGACCTGTTTAATGTCTCATCCGAAGGACGATACCTCCAGCAAAGCAGCTCTCCCCAGTAATAATAATAATAATAATAATAATAATCCTTGCATTTGATATAGCGCTTTTCACGTCGGGAGGACGTCCCAAAGCGCTTCACAGAACACACTGTAAAGTGAATTGACTGTATATTTGTGGGCGAACGCGGCAGCCAATTGCGCACAGCAATGTCCCACAAACAGTCGTAGATTGAAAATGACCAATTTAATTATTGTTTTTTTTTAGTTTCGGAGGGATTATTATTAGGCTCTGTGTGGAGTAAGGAAACTTGCCCAAGGTTTCGCTCTCTGCCTGGAATTGAACTCAGGTCTCTCACTTGCAAAGCGAGTGCTCTAACCACTGAGCTACAGGACTCCACAAAAGTACTATTTTGGAGTGTCAACCTAGACTGTGAGTTCAAAGTCTTGACATGGGGCTTGAATCCGCAACCTTCTGACTCAGAGGCAAGAGTATTACCAACTGAGCAAGGCTAATGTTTCAAGAGTCAAAGAGATAAATCACCTCAAAAGCTTTTGCCCATCCCGAATTTTAAAATCAAATATTTGCCAGCTCGCACCTCCCTAAATCTGCAACCTTTAGATACAACCAGAAGCTTGATTTACGAGGAGAGAAAAATCATCAACCTTCATCAGTTTCATAAAAGGAAAACCCACGTAGTCAGCATGACCCTGTATTTCTCTTTCTTTTTCCCCTTTTGCAAAGTAAATCATTGGAGAAAGAAATAAAATGTTTGTGGTTTCTGCAAAAAATGTTTGTGGTTTCTGCAAAAAGAAAATATCTCTCCAATTGGATATTTTCAAAAATATGTCAAATGTAGCTCTATCTGAAGTCAGTGATCACACTGCCTTATACAGCCTTACAGTTAATAATTTACAGTAGGTATTACAACTGTCACATTCCTTCTACAAACTTCATGTTTGACAAATTAGTGACAACAGACCCTGATCTGACCCAGAAATTGTACAAGAAAATATAACATGAAATTCAGTTATTCACAATCGGGAAGCTCTATCAATACACTACATCTGAACTTATCTTAGCATAAGTACTATTTGTGTCTAAGACTACATAACAGCAAGGAAGTTACTTTGTGCCCTGTGCACATTGAGAAAGCCTGCTATAAATTTAACTGCATGGTTTAGAATAGTGTACATCAGCAATTCAGAGATAATGTGAAGTAAAACATGAGCTCCCACATTGCATTCTAGATCTGCCTTGGAGGTAAAACTGGTCTGACTTCTGATTCAGCTCAGACAAAACAAAGATCTAAGTTATCAGAACTCCCTCCCTCAATGTCTTCTGTCTCATCCCCTCTCTATCTGTTGCCTTAAAACCTATCTCTTTAACCACGTATATAGTCTGCTCCGATTCCCCTCTCTCCTGCTCGGCATCCATCCTGTCACTGTGACTTCTATGATTCTATATGAAGAGGGCTCTATGCTGTAAATGCAACCTGTTTTAAAATTCCAGCTAGCTTTTTACCGTCAGCTAAGAAAAATACTTGGCCAGGGATTGCAGATTTGGACTGATGGTTAGCAGGATATCAGTTTAACTGAATAACAAAAATGAGAGTAAAACCATATACTGGCTTGTGAATTGTGGCAATCTAATGCCACAATTCACAAACCAGAAGATCAATACAGCTGGCTTCTCACACATGGCCATTGAGAGGGTTGTGTGTGTGTGGGTGTGTATGAGAGAGATGGGGGAGGAGTAAGGGGGGCAAGGTGCACTTCCAAATACTAGTCTGGGGTGGGCGGGGGGGGGTCTTCTTAGAGCTAAACCAGCTCCAAGATGCCAACCTGCACCTAATACTGTCCAGAATTAGGTAAGCAGGATATGAGGAGCGAGTGTGTGTCCCATTCCCAGCGAGAGAATTTCCATGCATGGAATGTACAATGCATGGAATTCGCAGTTCGGTTCGCATACTCTTGAGCACGTTGATGGTTTTCCGCACGTGTCAGATACCCGGCTGGTGACAAAAAGACACTCAAGAACCAGTTGTTGCGTTAAACATATGGTTTCTAAATTGACTATCAGATGTTAATTAACAGATCGCAAAATTGAAAAATTTACCTCATTATAACCTAAAATCTATCCCGCTGAAAGGTGTTCACCACTGTCCAACATGCTGCACTTCTGCAGTAACTCCTCTAAACATTGCCACCTCCTGAATTTTCAATGCATTACAGTCACATATGAGAAACACTTTAAAAAAAGTTGTAATGTGTGCTCAGTGCTCCACAGAAGATAGTTCATATTTTAGAACAATCTCATTGACCTTAAACAAGAGCATTCAGGAAAGATGAAACACTTCCTGTTATTGATATTGCTATAACATACATCCAAAGTAGAGAAATGAACAGATGTGTTTTTATATGCACAGTATTTACAATGTTTAAGTTAAAAGAAGTGACAGGATCAATCTGTCTTTCTTGAGTTAACAAATGGCAGAGTCATTTGATCTTGTACTGCAATAGACCTGAAGTTAAATAAGTGATGTACTTAGAGGACAAAGCACCATTGCCTTTTCCTCCCCTGTTTCTGTCAGTGGTAGTTAATGGGGGCCTTGGTTAATGGGGACATTCCTTCATAGGTGACACTCCTTCAGGCATCAATTGATTCCCAATTTATTTAGAGCGGATACAGATAGATTTTGTTTAATGGGGACAATCTGATAAATGAGACCATTTGATTTTCACAAAGTACTGTATCCCAATTAACAGGCGTCAGGAGTTACCCAGAACTTTAAGGTTTTATGAAGCTCTCCAATATTTGTCCACAAAACGCTTCACTCTTGTCTATTTGTTTTGTAAGTTATTGCAACTAGTCTATGACTGTAGTAACAGTCAACAACAGCACAGCTTTTACAGTTTCATATTTTATTGCAATATTTCCTGCATGCTTATCATTTTTGGATCATGGGCTGTGTGTAGGAATATTTTTGCCCCGATACAAGTAATGAGATTTCTATTCTTAAGTACAAATAATTATTAGCAGGACATAACTAAAAATATATATAAATCCTGTACGCAATTTTGATTCATTTTTCTCGCTTTCATTAGACTCCCTTGAGGGACAGATCATTGCCTAAACAAAAGAGCTGCTAGTCACCAGCTATCACAGGGCTTTGACAGACTAGTCTGTCACGGGCTGTTGGAGCTCCAAGCCAAACAGACTTGCTCTCCTGACTTGCTAACCCAATTCTCTTTACCTTTTGCCCACAAGCACACTTTATAGTATACCCTATGAAGCACTTTGGGACCCCCTCCTGATATGAAAGGCACTATACCAAATGTAAGGATTATTATTACAAACAATATTCATAATAAACAAACATTATTATTATCTTCCAACAACGCAACACAAAGTAAGGAACTTGTGACAATGGAAATGATAGGAATGATATTACATACATATGGCAAATGAGCTATCTACAAAACTAATATGAAAATCTGAAAACAGGAGTGAAAGGATAAGCAGGAAAATGGGCCTGAATGGATAATAATATCATTATTGTTATTATTATTGTTCTTTCAAAGAACCAGTACTGGGGTCCCCAGGCCTTGGCCCTTGCAAAACTGTGCCTAATACTTTCCGGAACTAGATAAGCAGGATGTGTCCCTCCAAGGAGAGAGTGAGCTTTCCATTCCAATAAATATCCCTGGGATTTTCATGTATAGGTGGGATGTAGGGAATTCTCAGTTTGATTAAGCATGGTGTGTGCTCTTAAGCATGGTGTGTGTTGGAGATCAGAGTTTTAGAATCCCATGACACAGAGCTGTGCTGCCTCATTGGGAGATCTGTCATAAATTATCAGAGTATAAATCTGATTTAAAATTCTCTGTAAAGAGTGAATGCACTCACTGATTCCCACTCGCTCCTCTTTTCATTGAACTCATCTTGGAGTAGTCTTAATTTCTGATTGTAATTTTCTCTCAAGTTTGCGACTTCTTTTTGCAGCTCATCCGTCTTAGCAACAGCCTGCAATGCAGAACATTATTTTAATTGAATCACTGATGCTAATATCTGTATAACACCAAACTTAAAACACATCCTGTAGCCCCCAAATAGAAAAAAAAGGTTCTACGTTCCATGTTCCACTCTTGGGTTTGTTCCCTCAGGAAGTATATAAATAAAAGTTACGAGCATTACTGAGTGAGGAAAAGGCACCACCAGATAGAAATATCCATCAAGCTACATTTATTCATCAAGACAGCTTCAACAGAAACAAACATCAGCTGCAAAGATAAAGTGAGTTAATCCAGCAGAATACCTATCGTCACGTTCACATCACAGTTAAAACCTATCTGCCCTGTATCTTGAATTAAGTTGCTTTTTGGTTGCACTTTTCTAATGTGTATCATTTCCATGTGCTCCGAATGGCAGGACAAAGTAATCACAGCTCCTAAACCATTACTGGGGACAAGTCCTTATCAGCATCTCTCTAAAAAATGCTGGTTACAGGAAAGCAGCAGCCACCCAGCGATGGCATAATCTCCCCACTTGTATAAATCAAACAAAAAACGTTTTTTGTTATCATTACTATATTATGGGCAAATGTCAACAGAATTGCCACAAATTCAAGTCTTTCAGTATGCTGTCGCTTGACTATAAATTGCATGTTATTGACATTTTGGCTTGCATTTTCAGACTTCTGATACGCTTAGCACAATTTTGCAATGGCAATGCCTGGTGTCCACATGTTTGGGGTAGGTAGTGATATCAGCATATGGAAGCCTGCAAAATATGCATTCACTACACTTCATATAAATCCTGTGAAGCTTTGAGGTGTGCTCCTGACTTATTACTTATTATTGAATGTTCTGTTACTGTAAGATTCCACAAATGGGTAAATGTTTGCAAATAACAATGATGTATCTTTAATTTACTGAATTGCACATTTTTCAATGTAAGACGAAAGATACTATGCTGTACTTTTAAGATGATGACTGCTCAAAATAATCACAAGAAAAGCTTTTTAGGATTCCACATTGGGTCCGGTGGATGTTAACAGCAACATGTGAAAACAATTGTGCATGTGGGATGATGGCAAAGGTACAAAATGTCATAGGTCTTCCTTGCTCATTCTCAGCTGTAAATCCCAAATTAAGAAAAATACACCAAGTCCACAGTGTTGCAAATGATGAAAAGCAACACATTTCTTCTTCACTTAACCCATTCCAGCAAAGGGCTTTACCAATAATAAGGTTTCATCAATCCAAACTGGCAGCTATTTTTCAGTGACTCCCAGGCCGTATAACTAATCATGTCACTAATGAAATGATTCACTAACCACTTAACTAGTCATGTAGTATTTCATTAATACTGAATGCAATCTTTCACTATTTACATTTACTTGCAGCCCACAAGCCAGTTTGTGAATCAGGCAATATTAAATTGCTAGGACAAGAATGTGATGCATTTCCACTGATAGCAAAATAAATGGCAGCAGGTTCCAACAAACAAGTACTTACATAAGCTGTCTGTGATTCAGTGGCTTGCAACTCAGGACAACTCAGGTTTACATAGCAAGGAGTTTGATTTAATCTGGTCTGTAACTGGCTAACCAGTTTCTCTAGAATTGTTGAGATATTTAGTCTGAATGCTTAGATATTGCATAAATATACATTGATCGATAAGAATGGATGATTCATGATTTACTTTTCAGAATGTTTTGAAAGTGGGGGTAGAAATTCCACTTGGGTCTTGATTTATTCGATTTTCGTAGCATTTCATAGTGTCGAGAATTTATCAAATTCGAATAGAGTTTAGAAGTTAGTTTTCTGTCAGCTATATTAAGAATTATACAAAAACTTCAAAGATTAACAATTTGCCGAATTCTGGCTGCTCTGAAATGGTACACAAATAAAGTAAATCTAGATTCAAGTGCAATTTCTTCCCATTTAATTTGTTTTTGAAGGATTCAAATTTACATATTTTTAGCATTCATTTTTGAACAGATAATATACAGAATAATCGAGAACACATTCCCAATAATTGCATCTGACAAAATCCAGTTATCCCTAATTCAGTGGAAATTAGATCAAGATTGTAAATAATGAGGCAACCACGGACCAAGTATTGACACAGAGATTTTTGAAAGTCCAGCATGTCCATGGACCAATACTTGTTTGGATAAACCCAGAGCTGCCCTTTAGTTTACAGTTAATCTAGTTTGCTTCAAGCATGTAAAGGTCAATGAATGCTGCAACCTTGTCTGTTATCATTTTGTGTTTTCAACATTTGATTAAAGCGATTTTAAGAGTTGTTTGGTATAAAATGAGTAGCTTGCTGATACCATTGTCTGTTCATCTCTTAAATCAATATCACGCTCCAAATAAGCCTCTTCCACTGTCTCAAGGGTACTAGCTCTCTGGCAGAGAAAGCTTCCCATGCTTGTTTCTTGAGGTTCTTCAGACAGCTCTCTGTTCTCAGGATCATCAAGAGGAAATGGAGCAGACTTTTCTGTACCTTCATAAGAAACGTGTAGATATAACATAATCACAATCAAATGCAAATTAACATGATGTTAAACATTTCAGGTGTTTTTATTCCATTATATTGCAGGGTCTAGATTTACTCTATTTTCTTAGCAATTCAGAGCAACCAGAATTTGACAAACTGTTTAAACTAAATTCATTCTTAACCTTGAAGCATGTTTTCTATCGTTGATAAAATTAACTATGGAAAAACGGCTTCAAAATTAAGGCTGTATGTTTGCCGAATTTCAGACATTTCAAAATGCTGAGAAAATAGAATAAGTCCAGACCCAGTGGAATTTCTATCCCTAAATGTACAACATAGATCTCAAGTGCCTTTCTGGAGTATAATAAATAGGAAAACATGCAATTTTGTAGTGACGTAATTCTTCAGCAAAGGAAACAAATATTTAGCAGTACAGGAGTTTGCAGTTTATACTTTCATTGGTTGGAAATTAGATGAATAGTTATCATTAAAAAGCATAAGATGACACAATCACAAAAGCGGTTTGAATGAAGTCTTCAGCCCATTTGATTCTTTCTTTCCAGAATATCCACTGTAACATCCTCTCATCACAGCATCAAGCTGTGTTTTAAATGAGTCTAGTGTCCTGGCATCAATCAACCTTCCTGGCAACTTGTCCCAGTCATTAATTACTCTAGCGTTTATCCTGAAATTGCCCTTTGTAACCTTGAACCTGTTTCCTCCTGTTCTGCTATTTTGGTGCAGCTGAAAGTATTTTTCTGAATTTATGTCCTCAATTCCATTTAAAATGTTATACATAGTACCTCTATAAAGTCAGCTCTGAGATGCATCTTTTCAAGATGGAGAGGCCAAGCTCAACTAATCATTGCTCATTAGATTTTGTCCCAATGAAGCTGTTCATCCCTTGTCCCCTCCACCATCAGCGGCTGTGCTTTCAGCCACTATGCCCTGAAGGTTTGGAACTCTTTCCCTCAATCTTGCCCCCTCCCTCTTTTAGATCACAAATGAAAACTTTCCACTTCGACTGAACTTACGGTCATCTATTCCTCTACCCCCCGGCCACCCCACCCTGGCTCAGAGTCAGGCTCCACCATTGTTAAGCACTCCTAGATGCTGCCCTGCGTGAAGCCCGCTGTATAAATGCAAGTTGTTGTTGTTTATTTGGAAGCAACAGCATTCTGTGGTTTATCAGGTTTGTTTGATTTAACGGAGCCTGGCGAGCAAGGTGTGAAATACAATTCTGCTACTGAGACTGGGCTCAGCAGACACTGAGCTATATATAGCTCAGACAGTAAGCTTTATATGGTTCAGGATCTGAGAGGTTTTGATTTTCTTTCTCATTGAAAAAACCTGAGGAGGAGCTGAGCTATGGTTTCAGGTTGCCAATGAACTGTAGGAGTGAATAGAAATTTTATCCGGTTACCTCTTGTTCTGGTTTCACAAGGCTGATTCAAACAAAACAGGAGGTGCCTCTCCTCTGGATGTTTCACTTACCTCTAGCATTACCAGCTACAAAAACATAGCAATAACAAAACCAACTCGTGATGATCCTCCTGGGGTGATGGTGATGGTAAGTGAGGTCTCCTGAGGCTGAGCTGGCTCCAAACTGACGTGCTTGACAATGAATTGTAAGAATTAATTCAACCCATTGTGGGGTTCTCAGTAGTCTGGCTCCTGCACAGTATTCCAGGGAATTGCTGATGACAGAATAGCCAGCCTGGCTTGTTGGCAAGACTTGAAGTGGCGAACAAGGATTCTGTCCATTCAGCACCTGTTAACTCTGCAAGCTCAAATCCCTAATGGTAGAGTACTGCAGCAGGAAAATGACAGGAAGCTGTCCGGAAAGTGTTGTCATGGTAAGCTATTTGCTTTTAGCTGGGTAAACTCCAGGAGTACCTCAATGCATATTCTGGCATCTCCAAGATTTGGCTCTCACCAACCTGGATTTAACACTCTCTGGAATTTGGTAATCAGGATGCGGGCCTCCAAAGCGAGAGGCAGAGAGTGTGCATTCCATTCCAGACTCAGGAAAATTTGTATGGATATTTGATATTCATTTTGTGAAACTCCCAGTATGGTGTGAATACTCTTGGTGATGGGTTTTCACATGTGTCAGTTGACCCCTGCCAACCCCACCCACCCCAACTCCCACCCCCCACTCACCTCCACACACACACATCAAAAAAATAAATACTAGATCTGAAAATCTACCTAGTCTTAGCTTTTGAGACTATTTTATCTTAAAATGTAAGATTGTGAAGAAATTGTGAAAAATTCTTCAGGTTTGACTTAATTTGGAAGTAATTAAAACTCCATTCATGTATTTTTCAATGTTATTGAGTTTAAGATAACAGATAACAGCCATGAGTTTAAGTTTAAGTCTAACACCCTGAGAAATTTCAGGCCTCACAACTTGTTTGTAAATCATTGGTGTAGACATAGATAGGTCCATTACCTGCATCGGCTGACAAGCCGTTGGAGTTAACACAAGCAGCAGTTATATCATCTCTTTCTTCCCATCTCTCTTTGTCCTGATCTCTCATGGGTTCCCGTTTAACAAGTGATATTCTGAAATAGTCCTTTCACAAGAAAAGAAGCACATTTAGATAGACAGTTCACTTTACTTATTGATCCGCGCTAGACTGATCGCAGAATACCTAGATTTAAAAACAATTAAGAAATTCAGATTTTCCGAGATGAAGTTTTTAATCTTAAAAAAATCACAAAATAATTTAAAAAATAGTTTTTCAAATGTTGTTGTTGGTATTGTTTTTGCAGATGAGATTCCTTCCCTCTTTCTAAAAAAGAAAAATATTTTCTTCCCTACTCTTTTCTTGGGTCTATTCGTATCATGTACTGAAGCACTGTAGTATGGCTCAGTGCTTCTCTACAGTGACATGTCTGAGATCAGCAATTCAATGGATGGTGGATTGAAGCTATGGTCTTTCACACAAAATGTTCCACTGACCGTAACACTTTGTAGTGCTAGATTCTATTTTCTGAGAGTAAAAGGAATTCAGTGTCATTGAGTCATGAACACTGCAGAACCCGAACAAGATCCCTACAAATGTAAATGTTAGGAGAGCAAAAGAAAAGCAAGTTAATAGAAGCCAGGTGTATATGAATCAACAGGGTGACAACCGCAGATTTTTCTTAATTCATTAATTTTATTTTCAGATGATCCAAGGCAACAGAACAAGAAAGCACAGATTCAGCGTTAAAAGGGCAATTTCAAGATAGACAGCAGGAAGTATTTCTTTACCTGGAAGGTATCATAATAATAATCTTTACATTTGATACAGCGCCTTTCACGGCAGAATGATGTCTCAAAGCACTTCACAGGATTTACTGTAGTATAGTGACTGTGTTTTGTAAATGGACGCAACAGCCAATGTTGTGGAGTCCTGTAGCTCAGTGGTTAGAGCACTCGCTTTGCAAGTGAGAGACCTGAGTTCAATTCCCGGCAGGTCAGGGCGAAACCTTGGGCAAGTTTCCTTACTCCTCACGCCTAATAATAATCCCTCCAAAACAAAAAAACAATAAATTGGTCATTTTCAATCTACGACTGTTTGTGGGACATTGCTGTGCGCAATTGGCTGCCGCGTTCGCCCACAAATATACAGTCAATTCACTTTACAGTGTCTTCTGTGAAGCGCTTTGGGACGTCCTCCCGACGTGAAAAGCGCTATACCAAATGCAAGGATTATTATTATTATTATTACACACCATGTCCCACAAACAGCCATAAAATGAGGAACCCATTTTATCTGGGAGATTGTTGACCTGGAGAAACTCCTTTCATCATTTAAAAAGTGGAACAGGTTACAAGTAAGTGTGATTGAGGCCAGGATGTTGGACTCATTTAAGAATGAGCTCAATGCTGTGATGAGAAGGCATTCTGGAAGGATGAAATGAGCCAAAGGGACTTCTTCAACAACAACAACTTGCACTTATATAGTGCCCTCCACGCTGGGTAATGTCTCAGAGCACTTAATAGTGGTGGAGCCTGACTCCGAGCCAGGGAGAGTAGGGAGGTGGCCGTAAGTACGGTCGAAGAGGAAAGCTTTCAGAAGAGATTTGAAAGAGGGGAGAGAGGGTCAAGGTGGAGGGATTGAGGGAGAATGTTCCAGAAGTTTGGGGTGTAGTGGTTGAAAGCACGACCTCTATTGGTGGGGCGGAGGGTGCGAGGGACGAACAGGAGGCCAGTGCCAGTTGAGCGGAGGTGCCGGATGGTAGATTGGGGAGTGAGGAGGTCGGGGAGGTAGGGAGATGCCAGGGAATGAATAGATTTGAACACGAGTGTGAGGATCTTGAAGTCAATCCGTTCAGTGATGGGGAGCAGTGATGGGGAGTCTGGCCAGAACTGATGAGATGTGGCTACGGAGTTTGGTTCAGGTCAGTATGTGGGCAGCAGAGTTTTGAATGAGCTGGATCTTTTGAATGGTGGAGCTGGAGAGACCGGCGAGAAGTGCATTGGAGTATTCCAAGCGGGAGTTGACAAACACATGCACAAGGTTTTCGGCTGCAATTAGGGTAAGATACGGTCGGAGGCGGGCATTGTTGCGAAGGTGAAAGAAGGTGGTCCTGGTCAGGGACTGGATGTGGGAGAGGAAGGACAGCTGGGGGTTGAACTATGTTGCGCACTTTCCAAGTTCTGCAAATAGGATTCCTTCAGATCTCCAGACTTACATTATTCTGACTTGTGGGAATTCTGCACCAATGTGATTTGCTTCCCAGAATAGAATTCTGTGGGTTGACATGAATTCTAACAACATTCCTTACTAAGGAATTGTGTTTAGAAAACTGATGTGAGAATATTAAACTATAGGATAACTGATGTAGGAATATTAAAAAATAATAACAATCTGCATTTATATAGTGCTTTGACTTGGATATTGTCTCGGAGCACTTAAGCTATAGGACAACTAACTCAAGAGTACTAAACTATAGGATGACTGATATGGGATACTAAACTAGAGGTTAACTATTGTGGGGGTATTACATTTCAGCAAAATAATCCGTACATTCTGTAAAATGGAGATTATATGAGCATATTTCAAAAATACATAGTGAAGACTCTTGTTAAGCAGCATTATATACAGCGATGATATATATTTAGTTTATGGGGGCAATATTTCAAGTCTCAGTTTAGATGATATTGTAAACCACCACAGTAAAACATAAATGGTTTATTGACGTCACCTAATTCCTAATATTTATTTGACTGTAGCATTCAGTAAAGAATGTTACATTTACTTCATCTCACTAAATGTCATAGCAAAATAAATGTTTTCCCTCGATGTCGTCAGGAAACAGTTTTATCGCAGTGAATGTTACAGTAACGTATAAAGTTACTGATAGCTACCAGTGTACTACATCTGCTCACCCTTAGCCTCCCCCAGTGATTTTTTTAAAGGAAACCAGATAACTTCAAAAAAGGATATTTATAGATTATTGAAAAAGTCATGAAAGCGAATCTTATATACAGTACCTCTGTGTTTACTACTCAAGATTTATAATCCTTACGTTTGATATAGGGGCTTTCATGTCAGGAGGATATTTGCATAATTAATGTTTGATTTGCAGTGGTTAAGTACATTATTGATATTGCAATCATGGTAATGTACCCTGTATGATAGCTGCTAGGGTATTTGTAGATAGGTAGAATGGTGAACGTCTTCAAATAATAGTGAGAAAAGTAATTTTTATTAGTTCCTAATCAAGAACAAACTGCACATTTCATTTGGTTCCCTCAAGGTGCTGATGTGGACAGAATCTCAGTTTTAAGTGCAAAACCTTCAGAGAACAGCTCTGCTTTGATAAGGTGCAAAAAACACCACAGACTTGTAGTATGTAAATGAAAGTGCAGTCATGTGATCATAAGGATGTAGGCTCCAATAAACTGCATACTCAAGAGTCCACATACACACACACACACAAACACAAAATCCTTCAAATGAAATTTCTCGATTCATCAGGAAGCATTACTTCAACTGAAGCAGGCAACCAAAAGGTCATGGAGAAAAGTTCCCCTGTTTGCTTTTGTCAAGGGTTTTTGACTTGCTTCTGATGCAAGCTCTCTCCAGGGGAAAAAGAAGACTAAAACTTCCTGTCACTCTGAAGACAGTCGTTTATACAGCTGTCTTTGAAAATGTTTCAGAAAAAGCATAAGGGACCTTATGAACTCCCTCAAACATGCTGCTGATATCAATTTGTTCTCATGTAAACATGCACAGAATGTTGTTGCGGATTTGTTCTGTCAACCTCAGGCTGTGCTACAAATTGCTGTACATTGCTTTTTCTTGAACTTGAATTAAACCTCTAAAGAGTTCGGACCAGGTTTTTGTTTGGTTGCCTGCGCATATTTGTGATTTGCCCATTGATAACTAGTGAGTTCACACAGGGATATACAAGTATATATATAAAATTGGATATACAAGTTTTACATTGGCCCTCACCTCCACTACCCCAGCAGCAGTTTTTGCAATGATACAGTACAGAGGGCTTGTAATTTAATTAGGATGAGCTTGAGTTATGTCCATGCTCCTTCTGTCTGTGGGCAAAGTCAAAGTCCAAATAAGATCATTCTTCAAAGCCTAATCTGTGTACAGAGACTTAATACAGTATTAAGGATACAGCGAGCAAAACGTTGGTAGAGAGTGATTAGCTGGGTCCAATGGGTCACCAGAATTTGATTCAGTACTAACCCTATAATCTTTTTATTTAATACAGAGCCTTATCGTATTATCAAAACTTCTCAAAGTGCTTCACAGAATTTACTGTGAAGTTTAGTTACTGTGTATTTTGTGGGCAAACACAACAGCCAATTTACCCACAACAAAGGCCCACAAACAGCCATGAAATAAATGACCAATTTTGTGTGGGAGATAGTGGGCCTGACAACAGCAGAACCTAGTTTTTCTTTTTCAATAGTACCAAACCCACCTGAAGAAGTAGGCTGTGCATTAATTTAACGTCTCATCTGAAGGGCGCACTTCTGACAATGCAGCAAGCTCCCAGCACTGCACTGGAGTGTCAGTCTGGACTGTCAACATCTTGTAATCCCTGTTTAGACTTTAAACATCTAAACAGTTCCAATTGATGTACACCAGTAAAAAGGAACCTGTGGCTCTTTGGGGAGGGGAGGTAAGTGGGGTCTCCTTGCAGCTGAACTGGCTCCAAGGTGATTTACCAGGCCAGTGGAGGCCTGTGGTTCAGTGGTTAGAGCACTTGACTCGTATGGAACTCACTACCCCAAAGGGCTGTTGACGCTCAGTCCTTGAACATATTCAAGACTGAAATAGATAGATTTCTTATTGCAAAAGGGATTAAGGGATATGGGGATAAGGCAGGGTCAGGTTATTAGCTGGAGTTAGATTAGAAGATCAGCCATGATTGAGTGGTGGGGCACGCTCGAATGGCCTACTCCTACATGTTATGTTATGTTATGATCTGGATTTGATTCCCAGCAGGACTAAACACTGGGCAAGTTTCCTTACTCCACAAGTCTCTGTTTACCTAGAAGTAAGTAGGAACCTGGTTGTTAGTCGTTTGGCAGATCGCTTTTCCAGGGGTAATA